ATAAATCTTGGGGGTTCCCCCTCATAATCCTTGGATCGTACGAATTCAACAAATATTTATCGGATTAATAATCCAAGATTTATCCCAAAAGATAAAATTTATCCGGATTGGATTGGGAATCGTAGGAATTCACGGCCTCTGGGATGACAACAAAAGAAATTTCAATGTCCATTGTTCTCTTACTATGATGTCATTCTATCCATTATTTCAAAAATTGATTAAGGAACATTTAATTTTGCAAATTTTCTGTTTATGACCCCCTTAACCAAAATTCCCAGGTAAAATATACATGTACAAACATTTCCCTTGATGATATTGGGCCAGCAGTATTTGAGTTATTGCTCGGACAGATGTACATACGGACAGAAGGAGCCATTCTCTATCCTGTCATTTAAAGGTGGCAGCTTGATCAGCGCCAGTAAAATGGAAAAATTTCTTGAGTCTGAGGTTCTAAAATCAATTGAGACCAGAGAAATTTCCCTTTTTGCCAGCTTTTGACATGTTACTACATTCATATACAACAGGTGATGCTCATCTTAGTAAAATTACATGGCAGAGATCATTTCTACATATCTTAAAATTGTTGAAATAAGAGCAATAATAGTAAAAAAATTGTGACAAATTATCTTGTCACTCTGGATTTCAAGCAATTCTATACATGAATAGCAAGCCGGTGAAAGTGCAAGTGAGAACTAATGAATACATTAGCAACTTCATACCTCAAGCAATGCTGCAATACAGACACAACCTTGGAACAGAGTTTCCATGTCATACGAGCCTGATATAGTTCAAATATCAAAGCATTATGTCAACTATTAATGGTTAAATTCAATGAAAACAAAAAATATCGAACAGATGGACACGGACAACATGGGACAAAAGGGACAACGACGTACAATGTCCATTCTGTCCTATGAAAATATTTTACTCTATAGCTCCCTTGATGTCCCATTTGGAGTATGAGCTAGCTTAACTGTCAGCCATCTCAGACGCTAAGGTTACGGCTGTTACCTTTGCTTGATACTGATAAGTGTATATGGAGTTTATATTGCCAGAATATGGTAGGAAGTTCAATCTAGTGGAGCCACCTAAAAAATTTCAGATAAGAAGCAAAACTCAAGGACAGGAAGGGAATGTTGTGAATGTAGATAATTGTCGGACATTCAGTATATGCAGACATTAGAGGTGTCATGGTTTCCCGATATTGCACCGAATTTCGATCCAGATGCTTCGGTTCGGGACATGGGACAGTAAGGGTTAATATTGGTATGGTATCGGTACATAAATTCCTTCCCTAAAATGCATAAAAATGTGTATAAATAGCATAATAGCATAGCATAAATATTTTCTTTTAATGATAAAACAAATAACTCTCATCTTCGACATACGTTTTCTATTCCTTGGCAATAATCTTTCATTTGGTATCTAAGTAAAACCGAACCAACCGCCGAAAAGTAATTCGAATCGTTCTGAATAGTGGGAATGAAGTACTTTCATTTTTGCGAACACGGGATAGTCAGCCATTTTTCAACATTCAGTTTCGAAACGATAATTTCATGCATCTTTTTGCGTATAGCAGTCATTATAGGCTGTCCTTCGTTAACTCATTCAATACTGGGGCAAAAAGCACTATAATACTGACGATATTTTGAAAATTGCCATATATGGTACCTCTGAAATAATATATATTGTATATACATGGGCATACATATATAGTGTTATATATCATTTTAAAGCATATGATATACTCTTTCAGAATGAATAGTTTTTTAAGTCCCATTTTATAAGTTGTCATGGTTACAAGATTCCCAAAAATACATTGGGTTTGTGCTTGGACTTGATATCACGTCCTTAGTAGTCAACCTATGTGCTTTATGACGTCATATCAAGTCCTTAGTAGCGAATGAGTTAAAAATAATATACGGGAATGAACCTAAGGAAACAAAGAACTCTAGGAACTACCAATTTTTAACAGTGGACGTGTCTTGAGGAAGAAATCGACTCTGGAGCTAATAATTTGGATGTGAAAATTGCCGGTTCTTGCATTTTAATCACTTCTTTACATATTCTTCAGATTTCTCAGCAACTAGTGGATGGATTGCTACCATTTTGGGTAACTTTGCTCTGTAGTGTTGTTTGAATCAGAATGTCGATTATTGAAAAGATTCCTTATGTTTTTACTGGATATATCTAACAATCATTTTCTACAAATTTCAGGAAGCATAAAAAACGACCTCCCTTATACTCTTAATAAGAAGTACACACTCATCGGAGGGCTTGCCCTACAGACAAGCCCCTGGTTCAACCAGGAAAAATATGGAGTTTAGCAAAATAGGAAAAAACAAAATGATAAGAAGTAAGGAATGAAAAGATCAAAAAGAGGAAATTCATTTTTACAATAAATCCAGCTAGATTACTTAGTAAGCCAGGAGTAAATATGATGAGGGTAAAAGAGTTGAATGAAAAAAAATCTGACAGAAAAATGAAAAAATTATCATAATCTTGTTTGAGCAAATTCATCAACATTTCACCAATCAAAATGAATCAAACTACAATAGAATTGAGAAAATATATTCATAATTTGTCTCACCTTTGTTTCTTCTCGACAAAACGTTCAATATTCATCAAATCGGGAGATTTTGTAGCGCTACAAATCAAATTTTGCAAATTTCTTTTTGACCGGGTTCTGATGACGTCATAGATCTATGTGTACACACTAATTTAGGAATTGGGAAATCCCTAGGAATTCCCACAGTTGTTTCGTTTTGTACAGTTTACCGGGAGTTTACCCGGCATTCAGAATCATTCATAAAGCATAATTTTCTAATCCTACAATCAAACATATCAAACACTAGAACGTTTTTTTTTGGTGATCGATAGCCCCTGAACACAGATTTTTTCAAAATAAAAACACCATCTCGTAGTGTTTTCGTTATACCATTTCTTCTAGAAGAATGATAAAGACAATAAAAACATAACGCCATCTGGTAGACCTTTGCGTTACATCTCATTCTTTTTCTTCAGTGGGACTTGGATTATGGATTCCACGTTTTGACACCCACTGACTTTTAAAAATTAACTGGTACTATCTGATTTATAAAACAGTTTCATGCAACAAAATTTTTCATATTTTTCAAAGATCATTGGCACATATATTGACCTTTATGGAAGATAAGCCCCAAACCCAAACCTATAAGAGGATAAGCCTTTTAAAGATACTGTTTGGTGAATTTTAGCACTTTCAGTGTGCTTGAGTCATTTAACAAAAATTTATTTGCTTTTAATTTCAATTAATCTTTTTTTAAGGGGGAGGTTGTCAGAAGTGTCGGAAGATGTCTCCCTCCCTCCAGAAAATCATACCATTTAATTTAAATGGCAATTTCTGTTTGCTTTCTAAAACATTTTTTTTGGGGGGAGGAGGGTGAGTGGGTTGTTATAGGGGATGTGGTTGCACCAAATGCATCTCTTTTCTCACATCTGAAGGGCCTTTCTTGATTGGCAAAAATATTGAATAATGAAAAAAAGTAAGTGCATTAAACATATATTGTAAATCCTGACATCTATCTATGGTGTTCATTACCAAATTCAACACAATATCACACAAAACTGACTTTTTATGTACAAACATGTATATACTGTATTTATCTTACTTAGAATATGATTACAAGATTTAATCAATTCAATGCTGTACATGTACAGTAAAACCTGTATATTATATTAAGTAGAACACCATTTGTACCTTTCAAAGATGTTCAACTTGGGAGGTGTCCAACTAATAGTGGTTCATTTAGCATTAAGTCAATTGGTCATTTTCATCAATTGGACTCTGAAAAATGTTCAACTTATGGAAGTGTTCCACTTTGCAGGTTCTACTGTACATTGAAATAATAATTGGTAGATCATAATATCATAAAAGTCAAATAGTTCATAGGCAGAAGTTTTTACAGTGATTTTACCAAGTTTGGTATGCGTTATAATTTCATAATTATAATTTCATTTTTTATAATTTCATTTTCTCTGATCTTTCAATGTTAAAAATCATGCCCACTTACTGACTGACATCATTGTAAAAGGACATTTTTAATATTTATCATTCACTCAGCCATGCAATATCTCTTTCAAATGCTTGCTTTATTTTATGTTTTTCTAACATTTGCAGTAATCATTGAAAAAGATTCTGAGATTAACACATACTACAGTCTTTTCACCCCAGACAGATTGTAGAAAAAATAATGTATTAAAAACTAGTTCAGCTTTAAAATGTGGTCATCAGGCCATACATTGAGAGTCAATGACCAGTTTCACTTACTGTACTCCCGGTATATTTCGCATGCGATTTAGTTTTGCGCTTTTCGTGATTGTAGTAAATTCGCAAAAAATTAATCTTTGTGAAATTGTCAATTGAATCCACTGGGATTTGTGAAATTACCTGGGACTCCATTGTATTTCATGACTCAATGGCGTAGCGTCATATACGCATTAAACGCCATGGCGTACTCTCAAAATTTAGAAAACAGTTGATTTTTTATGTTGATTTGCCCCACACTTTAAAAATGGCTAATAATTTACATTCTATTCGTCCATAATAGTCGGAATTTCGTATTTCAAACGCCCCAGAACGCTTCAAATGCTATCTCATTTTCTTTTTCACTTTCTTTTTTTTTCTTGGGGGGGACCTCCACCGAACCCCCCTCAAAGCACGTCTATTTCGCTTACTCGCGGCGTACACTCACAAAATACCCACGCTACGCCACTGTGACTTTTACATTTTTTACATTTGTCCAGTCTCATTAGGCGATAAATGAGATACTAAGCAACAATATGTCTGTTACAGTTGCTTAATAGATCAAATAAACTGAAAATGACGATGTAACAGAGGTTAAGGTGCAACGTACCATTGACCAAGATGTAGTAGTAATTGTAAACTGGTGTACTTACTGTTCATGAGGTAACCTTATTTACAGAGCTTGAGGATTCAGAGAATAATGGAATCTAACTTGTGAAATCCGCGAAATTTATTAGTCGCAACATTGTGTTTTCTCAAAATTCACGAAATTAAAACTCGCAAAATTAACTGGGAGTACAGTATATTGGATTTTCCACCAACTTATTATTGCTTTGTAACCACTTAACCAATCATAGGTGACAACATAACATGTTTCCAGAGTGTATTTCACTACATACATTTAAGAAATATTGTCCCTAATTAACTTTATGCAATCTAGTAAAAGGGGGACACCCCAGAACTCATAGATGACCCTATCTCCAAATTAAAGGCCCTTTAGAAGTTCATCTATGATTTATGAGGTATTTAGTTTATATTTACATGGGGATAGGGTCACCTATATGAATTCTGGGATATTTCCTCTGCTTAATGTGAATCAATATCATTGGATTTTAGTGTTGAGCCATTTTCAATAAGATAAACTGGATGAGTTATCTTGTCAGCTGACCACAGAGATACAGTATATCAGTTCTTAGGCTGCTAAGAATCTATAGATGAATAAACACCTTGGTCGGTCCTATTTACAGATTTATACTTGAACTCCACATTTTGAAAGTTAATGCATTCTCTTAAACTTCTGTTTTATGCCTGTCCTTCTATAGTCGGTTCTCTCTTCTAAATATTCCTCCGTACATTGGGCTACAAAGTCTTTGTCTTTATACCTAAAAAATGATTTAAATCATTGCTTAAGATATACATATTGTTACAATTTTGAAGATTGAATTAAAGCCTGATTTAAGGTTTATCAAAGTATCTTCTCTAAAAAGTACATGTCTGTTTAAAAATGTTTTTGTTATTATTTAGGCCTAGCTCCTGAATAGTAAGTTTACCCCATCTTATTTTGTGTAGATCAAATGTGAAATAAAACAATGATCTAACAAAGAATTTGTGCATTTACATTATTAAGTCAACACTGTTTAATGTTTATACTCACCATACTGTTAAACATTCTTGCATTTTGGCATTTTCTTCTCTACATTTAAATGGAAACAGCAAACCATTGTCTTTTCCACATTTAGAAAATACTGAAAAACAAAATGTTGTAACTTATGTATACAGAGCAAATGATTAGTAAATTGAAAGAGGGGAACAAGTTTACATACATGCTATCTCATGTATCTACATGTTTATACCTGCACTTGTTGTCATATTATTGATATATATGTATATGCTCCATACAGGTGAGAGTGTCCCCGGGAATAGGTGATGTACTGTGTAATCATTTCGTACAGTGTAATTGATACATTGGATTACGTCATGAATAAATAATCAGTTTAGAACTCAAATCTTGTTATGTAAAGTTGACACTTGTGATTTCATTATTATTGCATAGTCAGTTGGATTTTAAAATTTGGTCTGTTACTATAAAGTCATTTCAATTCTAGGTTACCTCAAATGTTGTCGCAATAATATATTTATCTAACTTGGGTGCAGCTAGCTTAGATGAGCCAGCTATGTAGAGAAAAATGTATTAGCCCTCGTTCAAACTAAAACTGTGAAAATTATGTGCATTAGAAATATAATACCCTCTTTGTTTGGGTTAGTTTTGCCTCATCTATTTAAATTAGCCTCGTCTATTTTGGATCCAGTTATGTCCCTTTATTTAATAATTGAACAAATGCACAAACTTTCTGAAAATCTTAAAATATATTGAGACAACCTCAGATTCAAAACCATTTCAATTAAAGAGAAAAACTTTCCTTACCTGCTACTAAATCTGTACATTTTTCTATTCTTGCTTTGTCTCGTACCTTCTTGGGAATAATAACCTCAGTTTCCACACGCCGCAAACTTTTATCATCAGGATCGCCTATGTAATAATTAAAACAATGTACGTTTTTCAATAATTCAATTTTATTCATGTAAATGTACTTAATAAACACTTGGTAGATATCAATAAATTTGTTAATTTTCTGGGCATAAGTTGTGAAGGAAATTGTAAGGATGATTGTACAAAATTCACATTTTAAGGATTTTGTACATGAATCTATGATGTGGTATATATCACAGTACAGTGTTTGTGGTGTGGTACATGTTTTAAATCTCATAAGAGTGGTATGGCCAAAGGTATAAATATAGATGAATGGGAAAAAGAAGACTACCCTTCTGGCTACAGTTCAACAAGGAGGATTTGATCCCAGGGAAACAACTCAATAGTTCCAAACAATGACTCCAATTTAGAACGATGTCATAATTTTCACTTTAAATATTGAATCGTGAGTTTTGGTCTATGTCTATGTTAATAATCTGCAAAAGGCTATAAAGCCCATATAAAGCAGATATATAATCTAACAGTGATAGAATTTGAATAGAATATAATTTAAAACCTTAACATTTAAAAATAGATCTATGGTTTACAACTCAAGTACTTCAGCGCCCCAATACTTGCACGTAATGATGATAATGATGTATGACATAGCCTAGTTAGAGAACAAAAGTAAGCCCCGGATCAACTTAATTTGTGTTTCAAAGGTAACTATTATTCAGCTGTCCATTTCTCCGTTGGAGAGCCATAAGTTTCAAAATCTAACATAGCTCTCGAAGTGAGTACAGTGCTGATATAAAATAATAAAGGGTGCGTTTTCAAAGTGATTTTACCATTTTGGTAGAAGTTACACTGAAACGCAAACTCCATGAAACCAAACGAAATCACTAGAAAGAACCATGGCACACACTGTGCGCAGCAAAGTTTAAACCAATCAGATCATTAGATTATTTTGCGCACATGAATTATTTGCTTCTGAGCACTTACCATAAAAGCTAACCACAATAAACAAACCTGGCAGAGACTATCCTTACTTCATTTTAGCAAAATTTCAGCCCAAACTTGTGACAAATGCATTATGCATACGCTGGTATGAAGCCTTTGAGTCACACATTTTGGTAAATATGACTTATGGTGTGTACTTTTCTGCAGATTATATAAGTTATATAAGTCTGAATATTTTCATTTCAAATTTCAAAACAATCTCAGACTAGGGGATATAGTCTAATAGATACTTCCTTGGACAAGAAAAAAAACCGTGAAGGACCTAAAATGTAGAGAATATAGTCTAACCCAAACCTTGATACAACGTCCTGTGAACGAGATTGCATTTTGTGATCCAATCCTCCTTGAGAAGAAAAAATATTTTTGAGAAGGAATGGGCGATAATAGAGAAATATTTTATTCATTCAAACATATCTTCAAAAAACGGGAGTAAATAGATATGTCATTGCGTCTCTATATATTCAATAACAATCTTAACGCAATGCACTAAAACAATGTTACCTAGACCGTGTGGTCCGCCAGATAAACTCCCTGGAAGAACACCTTTTTCTTCTTTCTCCGACATTGAAGACCTCTTGCACACACTATGAAACTGCACGTACTTCTCATGATTCCTTCTCAAACTAAAAACACAGTTAAAATAACTACAATGATTTTCATTTATGCTCGAGATTTCGACAAGGAATACCAAATCTTATCATTAAACCAAGGGCGTTACAATACCCGGGAATTTATCGGTTCGTGCAGTACTTGTTTGTGATAGCGCCCTCTGTAGGTCACTGTGCTTATAGCCTACAGTAATACGGGGTAGGATATCGGGAATTCGGTCAGTTTCTATCCGTCGATTTCGCTATGAATTGAAGCAAGTGTGACCACTTTATCCACTTAAACAATTTGATAACTGATTAAATATTTAAACAAAATCGATAAACACGTTATACACTTCCTATCTCCTTAGAAATTAGCATGTATTTATGGATTGTGTTTTCGAACAAGGCTCGACCCAAACCAATAGGGAAATCCTTATGCTAATTAGTATGACGTCATATTTTCCTGGGGAATCCTAGATTTCAAAGCCTCAGTCTGTTATTGTGTCAAATGTAAACGCTCTTTTGCAGACAGAAAATTGACAGATTAGCTTTTAACTTTCAGCTTTGATGTTTAAATATTCTGTATTTCTACCGGACTTCTTGCTGAATATCATATAATGTTATAACTTGATTTGGATCATTGCCTGATTGCTCATTCTGAAATTTTGATTGTGATTCATGATTGATTGGCAAGAAAAATAATTCCTATTGTTTTCCAGCGAAGTCAAAATGTTACAGCATGAGTTATAATGTCGAGTTTGCATCATGTTAAATTCTGCTAGTGATTAGAAGTCCATGCACAAGCATACACATCGAAGAGACAAACACACCCAGGCTTCAGGCCGTGGATGGAAATATAAAACTATTTAAGGCACAAACTGGTATTAATAAACCGATATGTAGTGTCTGCCATGTATTGAAGGTAAACCAATCTGCATTATTAATGTTTCTTCTATCAATACATGGATTGTGCAATGGAAAAGCAATGGCACAATCAAAAATGTGCATATCAATCGTGAATATCTCTCGGTTCAAAGCTTATTTCCAACAGAATCGTGTCAAAATATGTGTCTGAGTAACAGTTATACATTATTACATCGCAAACTCTTACCAATTATCAGCCGAATGGCTCATTTTCAACGAAATGTCCTTAAGACAACAGCCCTGGGTCGCGCCTGAGACCAAAAACCATTTCAAATAGCCCTCCCCTAATTATATTGGATAATCACATTTATGCCTGCGCGCGCAGCTCATCCACTGAACGAAACGCCACTTCCCGCTGAAATCACCGGGTATTGATCTTTCCCTTGATTAAACGTGCTATTTGGGTAAGGTGTGTCTCAAATTAAAGGGGTCTCCAATCCCACAATTCCAAGTTCAGACATTTTGTAAAAAGTGAGACCGAAAACTTTTCTTTGCATTTTCACTTATAACTCGGTAAGTATAGAAACTTTGGTAGTTTACTATTAAATAATAAAATAAACTATTCATATCTATTATTTTGACATGTTGAATGTATGCGTTTTCTTCACATGACTTCTTCTTTTTCACTCAAAAAGTATCAATTTATTTTGCAAGTCACCTGCCTCAGTGCTTGGACTGAAGGCTACTCTCTAAAAACTTTGGTGTCAGACGATCAAAAAATCCATTTGGCCTTATTCTTAAGTTTTTCCTCCATATATATTAAGTTTTGCCGATGCCTTATCTAGCTTCTATGAGCTCTGACGTCATTTGACCATCGGATAGGAAGGTATTTAGAGTATAGTTGTCTTACCATAATCACTATGTGCACTGTGTGGCCATACTCGATAAACGATACTTCATTTGTTGTATTATACTTGACTTTATATGGGCTGTTTGATTTCTTGATATTGATGTAAATATAATAAAACATACCTTCATACCCAATTCTAGCTCATATTTCCGTCTACATTGGTTCTTGTGGAAGTTCCCAACACTGTTCACAACAGGTAGTACTGAAGGAGAATCTAGTACAAGGATTCCAGTGAAATCGTTGTCCCTCAAGGAACTGTGCATGCAACACTCTGCTTCTTAGTCTATATCAATGATTTATCAATGAATTATCACCAACAACTAGCCTCAAACTATTTGCAGATGACAGCCTCCTTTTCATGTTTGTCGAGAACTAACAAGATGCACTTACACTCCAGGATGACCTTGACAAACTGGTCTCCTGGGCAATTACATGGCAAATGAAATTCCATCCCCAAAATGCTATATGTATTGATTATCTACACATAAATCCCCCATCACACACAAGTGCACTATGTTTGAGGAAGAATTGAAATTTGTGACTTACATTCCATGAGGAAGGTAACGAGGATTTTGGTTTCATGTCTATTACCGTATCATCATCCTCCTAAGCAGGTGTCCAGAATCCGTAACTCCTTCTTCCCCCTGCTATAACCAATTTTGACGCACCCGATTTAACTGAATCATGTGATCTAATTATGCGCAATGACTTATACATGATTCCTGTCGCAGTGTTGCGACAGCCAATCAGATTGCGAGTTCTTAATCGGGGAAATGGTAACTGCTTATCGCAGGGGGTAAAAAGAAAGAATATGTTCTGGATTTTGAAGTCCTGTGTTCGAAGGTTGCCGTATCATACATTTCCATTTATCTCCCTTAAGCGGTGGAAGATATTATTGAACTATGGCGCCCACACAGGGGGGATTAACCCCAGTGTTCAAAGATGACAGACGCTTATTATGTAAACCTGTATAGAGATGACATACACCTCTGATTGGTCCAAATCGATAAACAAAAATGGCGGATTCAAAATTTTCTAATAACACTTACAATAAAATTATGTTAATTCCTGGCTTGTCTACCCATATCATAGCTTGTTATTTCACATCAAGACAAAGAAAGATGTAAGGATCATGCTTACATCAATTAAAACATCACAACGACTTGTTATATTCGAAAACTAACTGGTGAGAATTTGCGCAAACAAAGGTGGTACGCAAGAGATGTAACATGTCAGTCATCGCTAAAGCTCTGGGACTTTTCCCCCTCTTCCGCCTACACATGATACCATGGTATATGAACAAATTATCATACTCCATAGTTCCCATAGTTCCCATAGTTCATATAAGTTGGATTTACTTCAAATAACAAAAAATCAATTATAAAATAAAAAAATGAAATCGACACTTACCGTCTGCCATCTTATAAATGCAAAGGTAATGGCCATTACCTTCGCTTGACACGACCATTGTGATTTGTGTATGTATCGACATTCTGACCTGTTTTTTAATTGTTTAAATAATTGAATTCTGGTCCTTGAATTGATAGATGACTAATGAATCCCAGTGCAATTCTAAATTCAAAAATATGAATTGGTGCCCTCTTGTATGTTAATGATCTTTTGCGATGTATTCTTGAAGCATCTCAAAACTGACTTGGTCTAAACTCTCTGGAGACCCAAGTTTTAATCCCCTGTCACCCTAATCAGTCTTTGTTTCACCTTCTCACCCATTATTGTAAAGAATTCTATGATAATGGTGTCTCTTTTACTTTCAGCCAGATGGATCGTTTACTCCGACTTGGAGCTGGAGGATTGGGAGGTGGACTCGGAGGGGTAAGTTGAGTAAATAGTCTCTCAACGTTTTTGAGTTTCTTACAAAATATCATGATGGATTTACCATTTTTATCAGCTAAGATAATAAATTATATATAGTAATATCCAGGTAATATACATATACAGTGATCTCCCCAGCTATAATTCAAGTAAATGGACTTAATAATTATAAATTTATGATTATGGTAATTCATTTCAGCCCCCACCAAGTGATGCCCCTGCAGTTGATACAGCAGAGCAGGTCTATATATCATCACTAGCTCTTCTAAAGGTAAGCACCAATACATCACAGAACATGAATTGTGGCAGTCACCAGAAAATTGTACACTGACAACTGCAATAACTATTTTACTCAGTTGATCAATCATCTATTTGTACTTGATGAGAGTTTGTATAATGTCTTAATGTAAAAGATTCAATAAAATTATTGATGGTATCCAATGTTAACAGTCATGGAAAATAATTTGATTTCAGTATTTCCTCCTATGTAACGAAATCTGAAAAGTTAATGATGATTTGCTTTACCCTTAAAGTTCTCAAAAATCAACACTTTCTTGCAAGTTTAATGAAATCATCAATTACCCCTACCATTGACAATAAGACATCACCCCTTTGCCATACTTAGTACTCGACCTTGATGAGACTTTATGGAAAGTGACTTGATAGATTAATAATGATGTATTTGTGTTTCAGATGTTAAAACATGGGAGAGCTGGTGTACCTATGGAAGTTATGGGTCTGATGTTGGGAGAGTTCGTAGATGACTACACAGTGAGAGTAATTGATGTATTTGCAATGCCACAGTCAGGAACAGTAAGTTTTATTACTTACTCCCATTTGGTCAGAGTAGCCTGATATAACATAGGATTGTAATATAACTTAACAAATGAACCATCAGATATATTATTATAAAGAGAAATCTTTGGTGTTTATGGGAGAGAATATAGAAAAAAAGTTCCTTCTGGCTCAGTCACATTTGATCTACGGCAACAGTATTTGCCATGTCACAGTCAGGAACAGTAAGTTCCTACTGTTCCTTTGAGATTTTCTGACTCTGATTTTCTGCCATTTGATCAGAGTAGCCTGGTATAACATAGGATTGAATATAAATGATGTATTATCAAAAACTTGACAAACGAACCATCATACGTAATAAAGGTGAATTCTTGAGGGTTCACGGGAGTAAATGTCGAAAATTGTTCCTTAAAAATTGATACAAAATTAGTATAACAAGAAATGGGATTCCTAAAGGCATTCCCAATGTAAGTCATCTGAAACTTGTTTTGTAAACTTTATTCCAATTTTGAAATATAAAAATCTGTTTCCAGGGAGTCAGTGTTGAGGCTGTGGATCCAGTGTTCCAAGCAAAAATGTTGGACATGTTGAAACAAACAGGAAGGTACATGAATAATTAATTTCATCCTTGAGTATAATTTATGCCCGATACTGGTGATAAACATACACATTTGATCATATTTAGACGCTTTTAGTATGCAAATGTATGAAATATAATTTAAGATCTGAATTTTGTATGATAAATTACTTCTATTATTAATTTCTCTGGAATAAAGAAATATTGATGAAATTAGAGCAAAAATTTCAAGACTCTTTGGATGATATGCTGAGGAGATTAGGGCCCAATATAAAATGTTATACAATGAACTAATGACCAGTATTGTTTCAGACCAGAGATGGTGGTAGGGTGGTACCATTCACATCCAGGATTTGGCTGCTGGTTATCTGGTGTAGATATCAATACACAGCAGAGCTTTGAGGCTTTGTCCGAGAGAGCTGTAGCAGTAGTAGTTGACCCTATACAGAGTGTCAAAGGAAAAGTAAGAACTGGTTTATATCATGATACTTTGATTTTGTGAAATATTTCATTTATTGGTTCACTTGATCATAGTTTACTTATTTCTTAATGTGGAAGAGATTTAATATCTGGTGGTCTTCTTGCTAGAATGTCTTAACTACATTAGCATCTTTGAATTATTAAAGGATCATAAAAGCCAAGAAATGAACTGGATGAAAGCATGAATGTCTCATATCAAGACTTTGAATGAGGATGGGCTGCAGTAGCCAGAATTCAAAGCCAAAGATACATGACATGAGTGCATTAAAGCCCCCACAATTTATCCAGTCATATGCTTAAATTCTTTTTATACATTTTTCACATATTTTGTACAATATCACTTAAAAGAATTAAATTCAACCAGAAATCTTTTTGCTCGGGTTTTGCAAGGTTTGACATTTTGACACAAATTTATTAGAAGAACAAAGCATGTCTTCTCTGAAATGCATGTCTTCTCTGAAATGCATGAGGGATATGTCAGTTCGAAAATTATCAATTTCAGGTAGTTATTGATGCATTCCGACTTATCAATCCCAATATGATGGTGCTAGGCCAGGAACCACGACAGACAACCTCTAATCTCGGACATTTACAGAAACCTTCTATTCAGGTAAATAATCTTTTTAATAAGTGATCTTTTTTAATTTTTCATACATTTTATAATTACTCAAGATAATTACTGAGATGATGATTCCATCCTTCACATCTGAGTCCTGTCTCAGTCACTGTTCCACAACTGGATGACTCTAACTGCAGTTAGCTTCATTCAAGATGGTGGACAAAATTCGTTCGTTTCCGATAAATCTCCAATTACAGCCAAACCAAGCTGAATCTTGATCCCAAAAGTTTCGCCATGCAAACTCATGAAGATATTATTGTAAACAACCACAAATAAAGGCTCACGCACCCGCGATATTAGAGAAATTGAAAGAAAACGGCTTCACTTAGAATGACTCTAACTGAAGTTAGTGATGACGTAGGAATGAAGCTAACTGAAACGGGGAATGAAGCTAACTCAATGGGATGAATATATGGACGGCCCTGTCTGTTGTTATAAGATATCTAAATGTCATTGACTGTTGTTATTGGTTGTAGCCATTTGTATTTTGACATGGAGTGAGTTTCTATTCAATCCCATGGCCGGTGATCATAGAAATTGGACGGAGGGGAGCAGACAAATTCTGGTAGAAATGTCAACAAATCTGGAAAATTTACTTTTTCAAGACAAGATTTAGTTTACGATTGAATGGCCAAATGAATAGGCTTACGGTATGGTAAAATATTGTAAGTATTCTAGGATTAAAGTATATGATGTAAAAGGCGAAATGCCGCAAACGTCCGAAAGTCAATGTTTTGCTAGTCAAGCAAGAATGGTCTACACGACCTGTAATTAAAAAACTTGTAAGTGACATTATCGTCACAAAATTAATGTCATTGCTGAGTAATTAAGTTCCCATACGTAATATAAAAAATAATTGAAGGGGCGGAGGGGGGGGCAATATTTCTATTATTCTTCTATTACTATTTTTATTTCTATTACAACTTCACCAAAATTCTTGTATTTCAAAATGAACTCATAAAACGTACAATGTAATATGAAGCTGGATTTTACAGCTCTGAAGAATGAAAAATGGGGAATTTTAAGTTATATGACTTCAAGTCTAGAAACATCTCTTGTCATGTCTGATATACATAAATGCTCCCGATGCTCAATAAATAAATGACTTATCCATCACAGATAATCGTCACATTTTTTCAAGTAGACTAAATGAAGTAGGAAAACCGATTGCGTTCCAATCGACTGTGCGACAATATATACAGGATCATGTTCCCCCTGGGACTATTAGACATTAGTCAGTTACTGAACATGTCCCTCCATTAATTCACCCGTCCCCTTCTTGGCGGTACCAGGCTAGGCGTATACATGTACTGATAACATGCATACCAGCATACAAATAATTCAACAAAAGGGGTAGGCTGCATGATACTTCAAGACTTGAGTGACTTCGTTAAGATAAAGTAGCAAATGTAGGCTAATGACGTACTCTTTATTGTTATTTACGGTAGTCTAGTGTCAAACCAAACTTTCCATAAATTGGCCAAATATTGTGCTTTTGTGTTATTCTATCAACAAGCTAAATGATTTTAATTTGAAATATACTTAAATAGTAATTATATTTAGTTTATGTAACTGGTTTCATGACCATCAATCATTTATGTATCAGTGTATACGGAGTTGCAGAATGTGAGTGTCATCTCCCGGGTAAAGTAAAGGCATATTTTCTGCACTAGACGAAAATAAATCGTGTAATGCCGCTGTCACATCTATCCATCTTCTTCATTATTTCCAGCACTCTTTTCATTACCCCTTCAAGTTCAGTTTCTGCAATAAATCAAATTAAATTACCAACATTTACACGATTGTGCTTCAAATAATCCATTATTATATCTTGATCAATTGTATTAAATGTTATTGGAGCATTCGCAAACAGCTATTTGTACTACAGGGTTAACGTAATTCGAAACCATGCATTTTACTCATATCTTTTGGCTATACCACAGGAGGATGAACATTAACATTGTGACTATCAGTCCGATGGTTATCAAATGTGTTAGAAAATTGAATGATGGACAAATGTGCCAAATATCAGTGAGTAATTTCTTAAAATAAAAAAAAGGAAAATAGCGACAGCATTTCCATTTTTACCCGTAGATAATTATTTTGTTAAAGACTGATTAAATTAAAATTGTTTAAGAGTACTCAAACAACCAACATGTCTTAATTAATCGAATTTCACAATTCCCATTGGCAGACTTGGGGGATGAGGCATACGTATGTTAACGAAATGTGAAAGCAGAGGGTGTTGGCCAAATGATATTTTGTTTGAAGGGTGCTTCCAAATTACCCTATTTTTATCAAGTGTCTCTCATTACCTGTAATATCACTTTTGACATCTTCGATTCTCTCTTCGTCAGTTCCTGTAAGATAAGTGAATTTATACGTATAAAATTTGAACCAAATTATTATTTGAGTTATCAGATGTTACATTTTTATGGAGTGGTGACCATTTTGAATTAAACGGGCATTTTAATTAGTTATCGCCCTTACACACAGACGGACGGTCGGCTTCTCTATTTCCCTAAGAACTTCGTTCGGTGGGATAAAAAAAGTCATTAAGTACGTAGTTACGGCGTCAAATTATTTAAAGACAACTCACCTTCTGTCTCATCCAGATCCAAAGCAATCTGTTTATCTGCTCGATCGATGGGAGATTGTGCCTGTTCTTCAACTATGTAAAATATAAATAAAATAAGTATGTCAATTACGAGTATAAAATGACATGAATGAATGCGTATATCTCTTATTCAGATTCTATATCTGTATATTGACGTATGATAAACCACATTTTTGACATTATTTTTATTTTGCACACACATGATACACATTATATATCCCGGGGTATACTGTAGGCCTTTCGAAGTTGCTGTTTCACAATCAAAGTAAAATAAGCCATTTGACATACTATGAGACATATTTAGTGAAAGAAGAAGCATTCTATATTTTGTCCAATGACCCACCACGATACAGACTCATAGTCGTCTTTTACTTTACTCCAAGGGGTTTACATTTGACCATTTCGACCCAAAATTACTTGCAAATGGACACGACGTGTTCTAGTGAAAGAAGAACCCCATTTAGTACCTTTATAAAGCCCGGTATACACCAATGGGGCAAAATCCCACTTGCCCCATCGAGTCCCATCTTGCCCCATCGAATCCAAATTTGCCCCATCGAATCCCACAAAGTCCCATGGGACCTTGATGACTTTGCCCCATTGTGCCCCATGGAGTCCCATCAAGCCCCATGGAGTCCCATCAAATCCCACCGTGCCCCATTGGTGTATGTCGGGCTTCACACAACACGTCATATGATCGAAAATCCCACGATGCCCCATGGAAAGAATGAACATGTTCATTCTCAATGGGACTCCATGGGACTTCGTGGGATTTTGCCCCATCTTGCCCCATCGAGTCCCACCGAGTCCCACGTGGGACTTCATGGGACCTCGTGGGACTCGATGGGGCAAGATGGGGCAAATATGGGGCAAAATCCCAAAAGGTCCCACGCAATGTTAAGTCTATGGAGGTCCCAACTTGCCCCATTGGTGTATACCGGGCTTTAGGGCCATCACGAGACGTGTTCTAGTGAAAGAAGAACCTCAATTTCGTATATAGCCCTAAAGCCCGGTATACACCAATGGGGCAAGTTGGGACCTCCATAGACTTAACATTGCGTGGGACCTCGTGGGACCTTTTGGGATTTTGCCCCATGAAGTCCGTGGGACTCCATGGGACTCCGTGGGATTTTGCCCCATCTTGCAAACTATGGACAACCACGAGGCGTGTTCTAGTGATAGAAGTAGACTTGATTACCTATGTCCTATAGAACACAACACGAGACGTATTCTTGTGAAAGAAGCAATTCACTATAGCTTCATGGTTAATAGGGACTTGTAGTATTCAACTTTGACAAATTTTCATATTTTATGAGATGTTTCAATGGAGAGGTTTCACTGGAGTTATTAAAACATCTATATAGCTTACCTTGAATACCATGTGCTTGTCTTTTAAAGGGTTCCGATTAGCAACCCGTATAAAAACAATATGGCGGCTCCAGGCGAATCAACTGGATCAGTCCATTTTTAAGAAATAAGGGGAGTTCTGTAAAATCCAGTTTATTGAAATTGTCTTTGAGATAAAGTAATCCATTTATAATGATTTTGAAAACGTTATCCAAAGAGTGATTGCGTTCAAATAATACATGTACAACAGCCAATATAAATTCTTGTATTAGAAACCGGTTTGTCTTGCTTTGTTTCATTTGTAGGATATTTCATATGCCAAGCTGTGTGCTATTACGTTATGGGGAAATTTAGATGCCAATTTTTCCTTATTATACACAAATAGAAGATCCTTCACCCATAAATGTGGAATTGATTTGTCAAAATAAAAATCACCCTTTTATAAATGTGTGACGATCTATAATATACTTATGCTATATAACAGTTAGAGGTGTTGACACAACGACCTCGAACCTGTGAACCCTTGAGTATTATTCCGGGATCGGGCCTTTTATACTAAACGGTGAGCAACACCAGAAACGAGCGTTCGATTTGCTAAACGATATGCGTCACCCTTTAAGTCGCAGTTTCATAGAAGTCGGGTCAGCGATTACTTTGTTTCCCTTTGCTTGTAGTTCTTTGACTTTCACTAAAGATACATTGAAATGTCTTGATGCGTATTTGTGTCTACCACTGGCGGGGTCGATCATATGTTCACGTTTACTAAAATTTTCAGTGATGTGATTGTTCAAACAATGGCTGAGAATTGCGTCAATTTCATCATCTTGTCTCGGGCAATAATAGCACATGTATTGAGCTGGAATTGATAAGTAATATACATTGACCAAAAAGGTTTTTACAACATTATATTCTGCATGACAATACTCGTATGCGCAATCATGGGCTTTCAATAGACAAACTTTGACCGATGGTAATCAGGTAACATAATGTAAAACCTAGTTCCTCATTGAAATATCCATGGTGTATGCACTGTTGACCGATGGTAACCAGGTAACATAATGTAAAACCTAGTTCCTCATTGAAATATCCATGGTGTATGCACTGGTGATCCACTCGATTACGCTGGTTACCAAAACGAACCGTTTTGGTAACAAAATGTCGGAACGTCGAAGGCACGATTTTTCTTTTTTCCTTATTTCACGTGTTGTAGGCAGAATCTCCACGACGTTTTTTCTCACAACGTACATCAGTATCATATGTTCTAGAAAATTTACATGTTTGCGAAAAAATAGCTCAGAGAACAACAGAATCGTCGATTTACTTCCTCACTTAAGTTACATAAACGGTTTTTCGAAAAACAGTTAAGATCTGCACTTTTAAGCCAAACCGTTTATGTAACTTAAGTGAGGAAGTAAATCGACGATTCTGTTGTCTTCTGGACTATTTGTTCGCAAATATGTACACTTTCTTAAACATATGATACTGATACACGTTTGTGTTAAAAAATGTCGTGGGAATTCTGCCTACAACGTGTAAAATAAGGAAACGAGAAAAATCGTACCTTCCGGATGTTCCGACATTTTGTTACCAAAACGAACCGTTTTTGTAACCAGCGTAATCGAGTGGATCACCAGTGGTATGGCTTATAGAAGAAAATCAAAACGAACCTGCCATTTCAGTTTAGTTCAGTTTCCCGTCACGACTCACTACTCATACTAATACCAACTGTAGTGGTCCAGTTAGATTTACATCCTAGGATATATCCGTGTCTTAACTTATTAGTAGCTGTTTATCTCGTATTATCCATTGTGTGATCCATTGCCAGTGTGATCTGTAGTATTCTTAACTACTGTACTATCCCTTGGAATGCACAGCCTGTGGGGGAACGAGTGCGGTTAATGTTTTCTTTAACCCTGACATGTACGCACCAACTACTTAATATTTACACAGAACAATTAACCACCAGTATCATGGGAAGGCATCATCTGTGGTCACGTGGTTACATAACAAGACAAAGCCCAGTGCGTATGACAAAACACAGTCTCTCACAAATAATCTAATTAATTAAGGAAATGTGTTCGAAGTTTAAAAAAGGGAGAATAAGAAGGTGAATTCTGTCATAGGCAATAATTTAGTAAACCGTATATTATTTTGATAATGCATTGAACAAATAAAAATGAACATTGCCTTTAACTGCATGTCTTCAATATTCAGGTTGTTACATCATTGTATACAATATTGTTGCTTCACGATAAAAGAAACCCTTTTTATCCATCAATCGCTTACAATTTAGAATGATAATATTCTCCGGTGCTATTCGAATCGGGGGGGGGGGTGCTTTTTGATAGTTTTGTTTAGAAAATCGTGCGAAAAGTCCTCAGAGTGGTGAAAACCTGCGGGAATTTGAAATAATTTCTGGCCAGGGAGGGGGAAACTACCGAACCTCCAGCTTCCCCTGGTTACGGAACTGCTTATTGGTAATTTGTATAGCCCATTATAAATCTCCATTCAGTTAAGAGTCATCAATGGTGAAATCTATGTTGGAGTTAGCTTCATTATCAACCTCAGTTAGAGTCATTCTAAGTGAAGCCGTTTTCTTTCAATTTCTCTAATATCGCGGGTGCTTGAGCCTTGATTTGTGGTTGTTTACAATTATATCTTTATTAGTTTGCATGGCGAAACTTTTGGGATCAAGATTCAGCTTGGTTTGGCTGTAATTGGAGATTTATCGAAAACGAACGAATTTTGTCCACCATCTTGAATGAAGCTAACTGCAGTTAGAGTCATCCAGTTGTGGAACAGTGTCAGTGAAAACATAAAATGCATTCGTCCAAATATGAATGGTTACTACTTATAGAAGAAAATCAAAACGAACCTGCCATTTCAGTTTAGTTCAGTTTCCCGTCACGACTCACTACTCATACTAATACCAACTGTAGTGGTCCAGTTAGATTTACATCCTAGGATATATCCGTGTCTTAACTTATTAGTAGCTGTTTATCTCGTATTATCCATTGTGTGATCCATTGCCAGTGTGATCTGTAGTATTCTTAACTACTGTACTATCCCTTGGAATGCACAGCCTGTGGGGGAACGAGTGCGGTTAATGTTTTCTTTAACCCTGACATGTACGCACCAACTACTTAATATTTACACAGAACAATTAACCACCAGTATCATGGGAAGGCATCATCTGTGGTCACGTGGTTACATAACAAGACAAAGCCCAGTGCGTATGACAAAACACAGTCTCTCACAAATAATCTAATTAATTAAGGAAATGTGTTCGAAGTTTAAAAAAGGGAGAATAAGAAGGTGAATTCTGTCATAGGCAATAATTTAGTAAACCGTATATTATTTTGATAATGCATTGAACAAATAAAAATGAACATTGCCTTTAACTGCATGTCTTCAATATTCAGGTTGTTACATCATTGTATACAATATTGTTGCTTCACGATAAAAGAAACCCTTTTTATCCATCAATCGCTTACAATTTAGAATGATAATATTCTCCGGTGCTATTCGAATCGGGGGGGGGGGTGCTTTTTGATAGTTTTGTTTAGAAAATCGTGCGAAAAGTCCTCAGAGTGGTGAAAACCTGCGGGAATTTGAAATAATTTCTGGCCAGGGAGGGGGAAACTACCGAACCTCCAGCTTCCCCTGGTTACGGAACTGCTTATTGGTAATTTGTATAGCCCATTATAAATCTCCATTCAGTTAAGAGTCATCAATGGTGAAATCTATGTTGGAGTTAGCTTCATTATCAACCTCAGTTAGAGTCATTCTAAGTGAAGCCGTTTTCTTTCAATTTCTCTAATATCGCGGGTGCTTGAGCCTTGATTTGTGGTTGTTTACAATTATATCTTTATTAGTTTGCATGGCGAAACTTTTGGGATCAAGATTCAGCTTGGTTTGGCTGTAATTGGAGATTTATCGAAAACGAACGAATTTTGTCCACCATCTTGAATGAAGCTAACTGCAGTTAGAGTCATCCAGTTGTGGAACAGTGTCAGTGAAAACATAAAATGCATTCGTCCAAATATGAATGGTTACTACTTAAAAACATTTTCAATATTTGCCAATTTGTATTTCCCTTGTGGTCGGTCTGCTGATGAAAACTCAAAACTGGAAAAACCTCAATGCAACTTGTACTTTGCATATACTTGACTCCATGGTATATCAGTATTTGTGTATTCTCTATCTTTTAGGCACTTATCCATGGGCTAAACAGACATTATTACTCAATAGCTATTAACTACAGGAAGAATGAACTTGAACAGAAGGTAAGAATTCTTACTTTTTGGGAGTCTTTGTAACTTAAATTTTCTAAATCGGAAAAACAAGTACATTGTCATTAATCTTGAATTGACACCATTGCATATAGGGCTGTGTCAGTGCTGCGCTGCTGCCATCTTTCTTGACAAAAGTCAAACATGTAAGATGAAAATGCAAGGTCTTTGAGAACAATTTTGACAATATTGTAAAAAAAAACGTTTTAATTTTGTCATGATTTTACCCCCCCCCTCCTCCCTCAACTCAACTCCCATACAACAAAATGTGAACGTTTTTGAATGACGACTTTTACACCAAACCAAGGGAGATCCTCCAATGCCAATATGCTTATATATATATTCCTATAGACTTTTATACTCCCTATATCCCTCCATCCTTATATGTGTGAATGATTTCCAGATGTTACTGAATCTCCATAAAAAGACCTGGATGGATGGGTTAACGCTAGAAGATTACAATACCCACTGTAACAACAATGAAAAAATTGTCAAAGAAATGTTAGAACTCGCCAAAAATTACAATAAGGTAAGATATTCATTGTAAAAACTATTATCATCTATTTGTTAAATATCTCAGATAAAGGTTTGATTTTAGAATTTTTCTTGCAGGATTTGTCATTAAGGATTTGGGCTTGTCGAAAAGATGAACACTGGACCAGTTGCAATGTTATTTTACTATACACGCTGAAAAAGTAAACTGGCCCAGACCAAAAGAAACTTGCTCTGGACCTTTGGACCTGTGCTTAATTTGCACCCTGTTCTTTAGGGATTTTTGGCCATATTATAAGAACAAAGTTAAATTCATTTCCTTAATTCATATTTTTTCAGGCTTTAGAAGAAGAAGAAACAATGACACCTGAACAGTTAGCCATCAAAAATGTTGGAAAACAAGTAAGCTCATGATTTGTTTGTTGATTTAAAAGCACCTAGAATACCATATGTAAAGTCCCTTAAACAAGTCCGGAAAAGCATGATGATTTTGTCAAGCTTTTAAATTAACTGAGGTACCTTATTATATTTGCTCTCGTCAGAGCAATTTCCTGGTTTGTATGCAGCACAGTTTATGGACTTGTGTTTGGTCCAATCCTTTAGAAAGTTTATTTTCTACTGAAACATTCTACAATTTGCTGAATTTCGATATTGATCTTGCATCCTCTACACACATAAGTAATTTAGATATAAACATAACACAATCTTTTGTATTTTATCAGTTTGCATTTATTTTTTACAAATATTATGTGTTAAACAGTATAACGAAAAGATCATGAATTAGACTTTTGTCCCTGTTTCTTAAACTTTGCAGTGACACTTGAATTTATGAATCAAGTTTCGTTACCAGACAGATAAGGCCTTGAGTGTTAAATGTAAATTACGTAAATGTACATTACTGAAATACTTCAACATTACTGGGTATAAAATCCCATTGAACATTTAACAGAGGATTTATAGTACAATAAATTACCAAATTGAATTATAAGAATAGAAATAAGGTTTTAAATGATTTAATTAAAGTTGTATATTCTTTTTAGACTTTCACATCAACTTCAGTTCCATCCATCATGAATTCATTTTCCATGTATAAAAAGTATTTTTGACTGATAACCCTTTCCTGACGTGATAAGAGGAAAATGTTGGACCTGGTGATGGATAAGTAAGAGCGGAAAACTGCAAATTACCTACACCCGGGTATACCTTGAATTTTTTATTTATCAGGATTATATAGTCACATTAGAACAACTTGTCAAAATTTGGTGTAAAAATACTGAATAGAACTGGAGATATTGCCATTTCATCGATGTATATAAATAAAATGATGGTGCCAAAAGGAGCCAATCCTCATGAAAGGTATTACATAATGGGTCTCTATTTGGAGCCTGTCGTCGTGAAAGGGTTAAGCAGTAGCCATATAACGCTATAGTTAACCACACATGCTTGTTTCTGTGCAATGAAGTGCAAAATTCTACTTTAAAAAGTCAAGATTATTCTGTAAGATAATAATTTGAAAAAATCTTTTTTATCACTTTCTTTGCCATTTTGAAGGCTATTTTCTCATAATGAAGAAAATATGTTTTCTTGGCCCATTACAAACAAAAATAAAATTATCATGTGTATTTTATTCTGTGATTCATATCTTCTATTGCATTGAGCAAAGTAAAGAATACATATAAACGATAGGCCTAGTCAGATCTTTTTTAATCTTGTGACTAAGTGAGTGAATTAAAAAAAACTTCTCATTTGGAAATGACTTCTGACAACTGGTGTATAAACGTGTTTACACAAAATAACTATGATTGTGGCAAATCGGGCTCTTATAGTCCGTAACATATTTGTAGCTGAATAAAATTTAAACTTAGGTTACCATCTTCACAATTATTTATTTTTACAAAAAATGCTTATTTCTTCAACTTACAAAAAAATTTAAACTGAGAGTATTGAAAGAGGAGCTTTTGATTTTTATGGTTCTTAAATCCTAAATCATGCTTTCATAGAGTTATCACACTTTGCCTGTTTGGGTTCACTATTCACCTCCATGTGAATACTTTGAGGCAGGGCAAGGCTTGCATTCTCGATGGGCAAAACAAACAGTTTTACAGCAAGATATCCCCCATCGCTAAAATTGATTAAAAATTTAATGCCCATATTTAGCCACAATGTGGCGAATGGTGAGCCCACATGGCTAATGTGTCAGCAACTTAAGACATTAACTTGAATTTCATGAAAAATTGCATTTTGTCAAGGGCACATATATAACTCATAATATAATATAATATACATAACATAACAAAAGTTAGCCTTAAGTGTCACAATGATCACTATGATGTCACTATGATAAACTTTGTGTCAATATGGTGTCACTATGATACACCTTGTGTTGATATGATGTCAGTATGATACACTTTGTGTCAATATGATGTCACTATGATTCACCTTGTGTTGATAGGATGTCGCTTATAATGATACACTTTGTGTCAATATGATGTCACTATGATACACCTTGTGTCAATATGATGTCACTATGATACACTTTGTGTTGATATGATGTCATTATGATACACCCAGTGTTGATATGATGTCACTATGATACACATTGTGTCGATATTATGTCACTATGATGAGCCTAGTGTCATTTTTCTCATTCGGGAAAATGATGGGTTGTGTGTCCGATCCCCACTGGGTTGAACTGATTTTTATTAGCGCAGAATTTCATTCTATATTTTTATTACCAACATAGTGTCAGTATGATGTTAGTATAATAATACTAGTGTCAATATACTGTGTGCATGGTCTAAAGTGTAAACACGGATGTTTTACTTTTACCCTCACCATGATTAATAATCTCTGTTTTTTGTCGTCTCCTTATTGTTACAAATATTGCTATTATGCTGGATATGATTAAATACAGAAGAACTATTATGATTATCGCAATAACATAAGGAGCCAATAGATGACGGTGTTCTTTTTTGTCTTTGCATTGCATTTGTGCAGGAGTAATTTTCAATAGTTCGATCTTTGAAATTGAGCATTTGATTTGAGATTTGTTGGTCAATATGTTCTGAATTTCTCTAGTCCATTCAATGAACCACATTTTGTCGCAATTACAGTCCCATGGATTCGCATGCAGGCTGAGTTCTTCTAAATTTGTCAAGTTTCTTATTACTTTAGGCAAGCTTGCGAGCCTGTTATTCTGTATATGTAACTGTTGTATATCAACCATGGCAGCCACAGCCTCCTGTGTTACGTTACTCAGTGTATTATCACCCATGTTAAGGTACATTGTATTATGCAGATATGTGTGATAGACCAATGTATGAATTCTATTGTTATTGAGCAAGATGTGATATTTAATATCTGAATCCTGGCAGGGCACAGAATGTGGCATCTCTGTGAGGCTGGTATTAGTGCAGTTTACCTGGAGTATTGTGTCATTAAAGCCAGTGTGTGTTAATGTATCACAGTGGCACTGAGCTGGGCAGTGTGTCGTTGTATTACACTGTGATGCATGATTGGTTGCGCCTGTTATATGTAGCACCATCAATAGCACATAGCCATCCACTTCCATGTACATCTTCACTCCCCTCTCGTATCAATTCAAGGAAATCAATGTAGAATTGGAAACACAGATTATGATTTGTCCAGTGTTATATCTCACGAAATCAGCTGTTATCTGATTTATCGCAAGCTTTCAAGTTCATCTGTATATATTGGCAGTCCTGACATTGACAAATTCTTAATGTGTTGTACATGTACATTATCATATACAGCAATTCTTCACTTGTGATGCATCATTGTCATCCTTCAATAGGCTTGCCTCTGTTCAGGTGAAGGTTAGGCTGGATGGAACAAAAATCCAGGGCTTCCTGAAAATTACATAATAGTACTGGGTAAACTATAATGTGGTTATCTTGTATATGTGATAATGATTGCCATAATAGATCACATTGCTTTCACTCCTACCAGAGGAAATCATGCATCATCTATTATGGGCTAACAGAGCTTAACAAGGACATAGTTAGGCATGTTGCGGAGTACAGAAAAATATTCACTCAGTTTCACAAGTTTATGTCTAACAGGGGCGTAGCTAGCTATGAGGAGGGCTACAGAAAAATATTCACTCACAGTTTTTTCGAATGAAAATGTGAAGGTGACAGAATCCCAAAAATATTGCCTGTACTAAATGAAGGGATACCATTTATTCATAGAGATTTATCTCATCCACACTTGGAGAAATTTATCTGTTTATACTAGGTATTCTATTCATAGTACTATATTCCGTGCATCATGGGAAGATGTATTTTTATCTTATGCAGGTTATTCAAGTTCAGAATTGTGAAATCGAAGTAAAGGTTAGATCACATTCAATATTTTTTTTTATCCAAATTGGAGCTAAAAGTCTAAAGTTTAATTTTATCAAATTAATTTCAAGTACATGTATAAACAATGTAACAATAGTTGTACATTGTGATATGCCTGATATGATACCTATTATATCTAGCATTGTCAAAGACCCTATGTCGATATGACCTAGTAGCTATAACAAGAGTGACAGTTAATTTTATCATTTATACCAGCAATATGTAAAGTGCTATATTCTGTTAAATATCATAAACCCTTTTCACAGAATCTGCAATGAATCTACAATTAATGAGATTTATGATATGTGTTTTTGCATGTCATCACTATTAATATTTTCTTTAATTACCTCTCTTGTTTATCCATCTCTAGGCACAACATACTCCGGCTCAATAAATAGAATCCATCTTGAATAAAAAATATATCCTGGAGAACAGATTATCAATTAGCCAGTGGCTTGAAATACTGTGTATATAGCACTGTTCTGTCTTAGTATTGACTATACATTGTATACAGGTATGGGGCCTCAAATGGTTAAAATCAGTCCTTTGTGTGTATGATAATCAATATCAGTAAAAGACTCCATAGAGTATTATTTAATTTGTGTAAATGAGCATTGGTAGCCTCATACACTATTGATTATAATATGCTCATATTAGCACGTCATCAGTACTACCCTTCTAAAGAATATATAATTCTGATATTTGTGTGAAGTGTTAGTTCCTAGAAATGAACTAATTATGAACATTTGTATTGGTTATTAATAGGTGAAATCTGTATAAATATACAGGGTGTCCCGAAAGTATGGGGCCCCCCTTACCAGTGTCGTCATAGTATGTGTCATATATCATTTTAAAGCTTATCCAAAGTTACATTGATTCAAGTATCATGGTTCAACTCTCAAATGTGAAAAAATTACAGGCATTTAAAAACTTAGTGTTTGGTCAAAATTAAGTTCAATTTTACAATGGTCAAAATTAAGTTCAATTTTACACCAAATCACTAGTCAATGTGTCTTTCCGGGCCATCTTAACAGCAGCAATTCTTTTCGGGTAGGATGGATATTGAGTTGGAAAAAGAGAATGGTGAGGGTAGAAACTCTTCTAAAGTGCCTTAACAGGTTTTAAGAGGGTTATAAAATTCCACACCCCTATTTGAAGGGCTTTTAAGGTCATATCTGAAAATAATTACTGCTGTTAACATGGCCAAGGGGGGACTCATTGACTAGTAATTTGGAGTAAAATTGAACTTTATTTTGACAAAACACTAACTTTTAAAATGACTGTAACTTTTTCCCATTTGGGAGTTAAACCATGATACTTGGCAAATCAATGTAACTTTGGATAAGCTTTAAAATGATATATGACACATACTATGGGGACAGTGGAATATATCTGCCTAGGGGGGCCCCATACTTTCGGGACACTCTGTATACTTGTAAATGATATCACTGTCACATTGATATAGAGGTACAGGGGTGACAAAATTGAAAGCATTATTTACCAAGTAAAGATCAAATATAAACAAGGGACTTAGGGGAACATGGGGCAAAACGGCCCTCTGGGGCAAAGTGGCCCATCGAAATATCTTTTGAACTATAAAAAGATGGTTCTTCAAAAGTCACAAAATTGAATTTTGAAATATCTGCCACCTTCTCGAGCGTCCATTTTTAACCAAGCAGCGTCTCGCTTTACGTAAGAGGTAATTCTACTTTTCACCCTCTTTTTTGGAAATTACCCCTCTCACGAGAATCTCTAAAAAATCCGGCAACAATAGAATATCGTTTTGATTTAACATTTTACATAGAGTGTGCACATTTATTATTTATTTGTAAAAATTTCGAGCTTCAAATATTAGGCAAATTAAAATGACGTCTATTTGAAAATTCACATGTCTTTGGGGCAAAACGGCCCACACATGTTATAACATACAAAAATCTTATTGTGCAAGAACAATTGGTTTTCAAATGTAACAATTTTAACATCTGGCTTGTGCCTAATTTCCTTCCGACACATATCGAATGACTAGAATTATGGTAGGGGTTAAGAATACTTTATCTGTCAAAGGTTTGAACGTCTGAGATAAGATGTTTGTGGACGAGTCTTGTAATTGATTAATTTTGGTTTCAAAACCCATGTAACAGAGGGTGGGCCGTTTTGCCCCACCCATGGGCCGTTTTGCCCCACTCTCGACAATATTTTTGACCATTGAAAAATCACAGAAGATAGTCCTAGGAAAGTATAAAACACTCGAAAAATGTAAAGCACAAACCATTAATAAAGTGGAACATCAAAGTGCGCGATGATTGACAGATACGAAAATACCCCGTACAGTACAACTTAAAATTAAATTTTTTGGGCCGCTTTGCCCCATGTTCCCTTACTCCATAATTAAAGAATGTATGGAAATATTTATATTTTGATGGATGGTAATGTATTATTTTGGACATTTTTGAGGTTTTTGTAAAAGAAAAAAATATGACAAAAAATGAACAAACCAATGAATGGTGAATATTTAGAAATGATTTTTGATGAAACATATTTTATATATTTTCAGGATCCAAAGCGCCATCTAGAGGAGCATGTTGATGTTCTGATGTCATCCGATATTATACAATGCCTTGGAGCTATGTTACATACAGTTGTCTTCAAATAAAATAACTCTCAATACAGACTAGTGGAATAGATGAACATAATATGTAGACCATCACATATTTCTTAAAACATCTCAGACAGAGAAATTGTACTGAAATGCCACATTTTGTCAAATCTGAACTATTGGATACTGTATACACAGATTGGTACTGTTCAAACCCTTTGTGACCTGCATCATTGCTAGTGAAAGGTCTGCAGAGTACCTGTATTGTCTCCACTGATGTAAACATGTTGAACTCAACATCCTTCAATGTGCTAGGAGGAGCATTTTGTTCAAATTCTGATGCAAAATTAATCAGTCGCCTCTCTTAGATCTCCTTTAAGTACTAGAACTTAGTACAAAGTCAACTTAACGGCTTGTATCATTTTGAATTGATTTTGCCTTAAACATCTTATATGGGGACCAGTCAATGCTATTTTGCATTTTCATATTTAGCTAAGTATTCTGTACATCTGACAGTACATGTTTTGAAGCTGACCTTTTCACTGAAACTGGTTTTCCATTAAATATGAGTCTCCAAATGATACCTTATTTGCTTTTGATTCCATAAGTTGAATATATTTCAAGGGTGATAAAATTCTCCATTGTGACTGAGATATTGCATAGACTCACACACTGTACATGTTACGACTGAAAAAGACAATAAACACAGGTGTAATATATTATATAATACATGTTTTATTTATTCCTGTTATAATTTATATAATTACATACAAGTTTCACATGTGCCACATGGGAATAAGGTCTGAAATGACAAATAAATTACTGTTGGCAAAAATAATGATTGTTATACTAAATTACCAGTACTTATTGATCACCCCTCGTATATTTTTGCTATTTTATAACTACACAATTGGTCAAAATAAAAAAAATAGTGTTTTAAATGAGATTTTTTTTAAAATTATGATCATTTAAGTGCCTTCAATTTGCATAAATGGAAAATATTTGAAAATTGATGTGAATTCCCCGTTTTTTCCAAGATACCTATTGAGAAACATAGTTTTAAATGATGAACATTTCTATGTGTAAAATCATCTCCCCATATATTTCCCATCAAATAAGAAATAATATTTAAGAAATTGCCTTCACTGACTAATGGATGGAACTTCATCTGTTGGAATAATCAAAATGTCAATAAGCAAGATTACTCATTCATTCCTGAAACATTAGTGTGATACATAACATACAGAAATTATATCCTATTATTTATAACACTGAATCTCAAGGCATTGTCATGGTTGTCTTAATTACTGTTACCTCCTAAGAGTAACTAGGAATCAAATTCATTTCCGGGAATAAGTAATTAATTAAAGTGAGAACACACACCCGAGTCCTTTTTCATATTTCTAGGAAATAATAGATGATCTTTAACAAAAGTGGAATTAACAATTTTTCAATTTTCATTTTTTAATTATTGAAAGCCATGCATCATAAAAATAATATGGACATTTATGGCCCATCAGAATTTGGCTCAATTGTGAGGATAATGTATACATTGTACAATACTTTATGTAGTGTACTGGAATATTTTTATGTCTGATAATCGTTGTCTATGAATTAATTTGTCTGCTGTATCCATATTTCACTTTCAAACTTTAAAGAACAAAGTGAGATGTTAACTAATAATTAAAGTCCAAATACTACGAAAAATTTTAAAATGATCATCAATCATATGTATGATATAAATAAATGTGCATGACTTGTACAGATGTAACATTTAGATACACATCTGTAATTATAAATTACTGAAATAATTTGTTCAAAATAACCTCATAGATATTCTCATTTAAACCACATTATTGCTACCATGCTTGTGTAATTCAAACAAATGACACAATTTAATCACCCTATGCAGACAGAGCCTGTGGGAAATATTGGGTGCGGCGCAAATGAGCGGAGGGTGCGGAGCTAACGGTCATTTTTGAATTTAAAATTGGGATATTTCTGAAACTAAGCCGTTTTGGGACTTCAAATATACCAAGATATGTGTATTTGACACCAAATATCAATAAAATTGTGAAAATAGTAGTGCAATTCATTTTATAGCGACGCAGTATGCCTTAAACATTTCCCAGACCTATATATTTTGAGACTATCCTTTTAATACTGCGTCCCCAGCATTCATAAAAAATGGTGTTCAAGATACACTACCCATGCAAATTATTTTTGCATCTTGGAAGCCAGGCAGTATCTGTGTGATTTTATAAAAATTCGGAAATGTTCTTCAGATATGAGCCCCTCTAAATATTGGGTGCGGAGCTACGTTTATGGAGCTGCTCCGCATTCTGATGCAAAATTAATCAGTCGCCTCTCTTAGATCTCCTTTAAGTACTAGAACTTAGTACAAAGTCAACTTAACGGCTTGTATCATTTTGAATTGATTTTGCCTTAAACATCTTATATGGGGACCAGTCAATGCTATTTTGCATTTTCATATTTAGCTAAGTATTCTGTACATCTGACAGTACATGTTTTGAAGCTGACCTTTTCACTGAAACTGGTTTTCCATTAAATATGAGTCTCCAAATGATACCTTATTTGCTTTTGATTCCATAAGTTGAATATATTTCAAGGGTGATAAAATTCTCCATTGTGACTGAGATATTGCATAGACTCACACACTGTACATGTTACGACTGAAAAAGACAATAAACACAGGTGTAATATATTATATAATACATGTTTTATTTATTCCTGTTATAATTTATATAATTACATACAAGTTTCACATGTGCCACATGGGAATAAGGTCTGAAATGACAAATAAATTACTGTTGGCAAAAATAATGATTGTTATACTAAATTACCAGTACTTATTGATCACCCCTCGTATATTTTTGCTATTTTATAACTACACAATTGGTCAAAATAAAAAAAATAGTGTTTTAAATGAGATTTTTTTTAAAATTATGATCATTTAAGTGCCTTCAATTTGCATAAATGGAAAATATTTGAAAATTGATGTGAATTCCCCGTTTTTTCCAAGATACCTATTGAGAAACATAGTTTTAAATGATGAACATTTCTATGTGTAAAATCATCTCCCCATATATTTCCCATCAAATAAGAAATAATATTTAAGAAATTGCCTTCACTGACTAATGGATGGAACTTCATCTGTTGGAATAATCAAAATGTCAATAAGCAAGATTACTCATTCATTCCTGAAACATTAGTGTGATACATAACATACAGAAATTATATCCTATTATTTATAACACTGAATCTCAAGGCATTGTCATGGTTGTCTTAATTACTGTTACCTCCTAAGAGTAACTAGGAATCAAATTCATTTCCGGGAATAAGTAATTAATTAAAGTGAGAACACACACCCGAGTCCTTTTTCATATTTCTAGGAAATAATAGATGATCTTTAACAAAAGTGGAATTAACAATTTTTCAATTTTCATTTTTTAATTATTGAAAGCCATGCATCATAAAAATAATATGGACATTTATGGCCCATCAGAATTTGGCTCAATTGTGAGGATAATGTATACATTGTACAATACTTTATGTAGTGTACTGGAATATTTTTATGTCTGATAATCGTTGTCTATGAATTAATTTGTCTGCTGTATCCATATTTCACTTTCAAACTTTAAAGAACAAAGTGAGATGTTAACTAATAATTAAAGTCCAAATACTACGAAAAATTTTAAAATGATCATCAATCATATGTATGATATAAATAAATGTGCATGACTTGTACAGATGTAACATTTAGATACACATCTGTAATTATAAATTACTGAAATAATTTGTTCAAAATAACCTCATAGATATTCTCATTTAAACCACATTATTGCTACCATGCTTGTGTAATTCAAACAAATGACACAATTTAATCACCCTATGCAGACAGAGCCTGTGGGAAATATTGGGTGCGGCGCAAATGAGCGGAGGGTGCGGAGCTAACGGTCATTTTTGAATTTAAAATTGGGATATTTCTGAAACTAAGCCGTTTTGGGACTTCAAATATACCAAGATATGTGTATTTGACACCAAATATCAATAAAATTGTGAAAATAGTAGTGCAATTCATTTTATAGCGACGCAGTATGCCTTAAACATTTCCCAGACCTATATATTTTGAGACTATCCTTTTAATACTGCGTCCCCAGCATTCATAAAAAATGGTGTTCAAGATACACTACCCATGCAAATTATTTTTGCATCTTGGAAGCCAGGCAGTATCTGTGTGATTTTATAAAAATTCGGAAATGTTCTTCAGATATGAGCCCCTCTAAATATTGGGTGCGGAGCTACGTTTATGGAGCTGCTCCGCACCCAATATTTAGAGGGGCTCATATCTGAAGAACATTTCCGAATTTTTATAAAATCACACAGATACTGCCTGGCTTCAAAGATGCAAAAATAATTTGTATAGATAGTGCACCTTGAACACCATTTTTTATGAATGCTGGGGACTCAGTATTAAAAGGATAATTTCAAAATATATAGGTCTGGGAAAGGTTTAAGGCACACTGCGTCGCTATAGAATGAATTGCGCTACTATTTTCACAATTGTATTGATATTTGGTGTCAAATACACATATCTTGGTATATTTGAAGTCCCAAAACGGCTTAGTTTCAGAAATATCCCAAATTTAAATTCAAAAATAACCGTTAGCTCCGCACCCTCCGCTCATTTGCTCCGCACCCAATATTTCCCACAGGCTCTGTCTGCATAGGGTGTTAATGGCAATTGTCAATACCCTATATGTATATGTACTGACAATTTACTATCATAAGTATACATGCAGTAGGCACAAGTTTTATACAGAACATTATTGACCATAACATTAACATGTGACATAAACATATCTACAATTAAATCAAAATAAAACCTGCTTACAAGGTATATATGGTCCCAAGGGCTAAAGCTTTATAGTTGCATCTGAACACTGAATTATACTATAACCACATGATGGATAAAGCTTCAGTCACATTTGCTCTACAGTGGCCGTAGCTTCACAAAATAGATATAGAATATCTACATCGTACTGCTCATTCCTTTATTTTATGATGCATATTTCTGCTGATTTTAGAAGCTACGTCCACTATTTACGACTGAGGCATAAACACGAACAAAATCCAACTCATCAGAAGCTATGACAGTATTTCACCTAGAGGGGATGGGGATATCCCAGAATTCATAGATGAACCATGTAAATATGAATGTATATACTAGTATTTGTCTTTACATAGTGATATGAAGATCTAAGGATTCTGGGGTATTTCCTCCTCTTGTTTCACCGAAGCTAATTTTGATCATCAAATCCAACTAACTGCATGTTACTCTATCACAACTGCTTTGACCTATATGCTCTATAAAGCGAAAGCCCTTCTGGTTTACCTCAAACCATGTACCTCTGATCTCAGTTCAAACTGCACATTTATTGTTAAGAAGATAGTGGATGTATAAGGTGGTAGGATGATACCTTACACAACATTCTCCCATCTTGTATAAGGTTGTATTTCTAGATGATACCTTATACAATATTCTCCCAAATGGATTTATCATCTCACCCATAAGCATTTCCCCAAGCAATAATTACACCTAGCTATTGACTGATTCTTTCAAGTATTGTAAATTTACATAGCCCCTATCCAAAACCTTAATGGCTTCATAGGAGTGACAGTATGTCCAAATAAATCTGACTTGGAGACATTACAAAATGCTGGAGTGGGGATAATATTTTCAAAAAACATTATTCTTACTCTGAATACCTCTGATAATTAATTACATGTTGTAGTTGACATAGTTTATTAGAAAAAATCTGGACTTTAATAGGGAAATATCTGAGATACCTGCAATATTTGCAGTTAATATCTATACTGGTACAAACTGGTTCCAATGGGAAAATACGACATCATCACAAAATACATGCACAAATCCTCCTTATTCATCCTCTACCCTCAAGTGTCCTAATCTAGTCCTATAATAATGGCTGCTGTTGTTGCTGTTGCTGAACATACATCTGTTGTTGAGGAATAGTTGAAGGAATAAAGTTCTGAATCTGTTGTTGTGGTGCTTGCGTGTTTGTTAAATGAGGGGCCATTTCTTGCTGGTTACTATAGGTAGAGATTGTGGAGGCGGGAGTATAGCCGTTGCTGGGCATGGATGTATTCCTGGAAATAGTGGAAACATGCTTATTATATAATTCATATGACAACTTCACTGGAGCTGAGAATATTTTTAAACGAAATTAGTTAGTTTGCTGGTATTTCATTGTTCAACACAGAAGCAAGAATTTAATTAAAGTATTCAATGACTTGCTGTGTGCCATTCTTGTTTAAAGTTTTTAGCTAGAGTTTTGAGACATACATAACAAAATTTTACAAATAATATTTCATAGATTTGAATACAAGGTCATCTTTTCCAGTTTATTGTTCAACATAGCATATCTATCTGTTCTGAATGGCCAGAAAGCAAAAAATTAAAAAAATTGTGAATATTGTAAATATTGATATAAAATAACTCACTCTGTATACTGTGGTTGATTAGTTGGTGTAGGTGAATAACTTTGTTGTGCTGGTGCCATATGACCTTGAACCATGGGTTGACCTTGAGCCATAGGTTGACCTTGGGTTATGGGTTGACCTTGACCCATACCGGCCTGGTTTTCTACAGGTCCATGCAGCGAGTTCATCTGAGGCTGGCCCATATTTGGGACCTGACCCTGGCCAGGGAGAAATTGCTGACCATTATACATCTACAAAAAACAAAAATTATATAATTTGTTGCTCACAATATTCAATATTAGGGGTTTCAACCAGAACAACGGCAACGCCAAAGCGTAGCGAATCCCATCGAACAGCCATGGATGGCATTTTTACAAACAAAGGATATAGCAAAAATGGCAGCCATTTTTCAAAATGGCCACCTTCTACCAAAAGTGCCATTAGACAGTGTGCCGTGCTTATAGTATTCACATACCAAATATAAACAAAATCATTCCACTACTTTTCGAGTTATAGTAAAATATGTTAAAATGGCGGCCATTTTGAAAAATGACCGCCTTCTACCAAAAGTGTCATTAGACAGTGTGCCATGCTTACAGTATTCACATACCAAATATGAACAAAATCGCTTCACTACTTTTCGAGTTATAGTAAAATACGTTAAAATGGCGGCCATTTTTCAAATTTTTTTTCAAAATGGCCACCTTCTACCAAAAGTGTCATAGGACAGTGTGTCATGCTTATAGTATTCACATACCAAATATGAACAAAATCGCTCCACTACTTTTCGAGTAATAGTAAAATACATTAAAATGGCAGCCATTTTGAAAAATGGCGGCCATGGCGGCCATTTTTCAAAATGGCCACCTTCTACTGAAAGTGTCTTTAGACAGTGTGCAATGTTTATAGTATTCACATACCAAATATGAACAAAACCGCTCCACTACTTTTCGAGTTACAGCAAAAATCGTAAAATAACGAGTAAAGACCGCCATTTTTCAAGATGGCTGCCATGTGCTTCTTTAATATCTACATTTTTAGCTTTATTAATGTCCTATATAATTTTTTTACATCTAAAACATATTTCTATTACAGTTTTACATATTGCACCTAAATTACTGTAAATTCGGCACTAAAATGGCCGCCATTTTGAAATGAGCGGCCATTTTGAAAATCGGCTCTCGAGCAGAACTTCTACCCCCATAGGGTATATGTGTACAAAATATGAACAAAATCGGGCAGACGGTATTTGAGTTATTGCCCGGACGGACGGACGGACGGACGTACGGAAGGACGGACGGAGGCGTTCCCTATATCCCTCCGAACTTCGTTCGATGGGATAATTAACTCTTTCAATGAGAATGGTTCCAATGGTTTTAGGTATTTTCAAAATATTGATAATATGTACTGACACCTTGACATTTTCATTTATTTCAGCTTCATTTGTGAAGGATTTGTATTCTGTATTTGCAATCCCATCAGAATAAATTGGGACAACTTTTACATCTGCATGACAAATACAGCATAGGCCTTTTAAAATGTCTAAGTCAAAATGCCCTGTTCTACTCGGACTACCATTTATAAAAGTACCATATTCTCTCAAATTAGCGCACAGTTCCATTAAACACATGCAATTTTTATGATGAATATGGTCTCAAGAAAACACAAAGTGAATACATTAGTTTTTATTATTTACACATCAATTGATGATTATAATGCAGAGAAAGAAATACAGGAACTGTAAAGTTAACCTTAGTGGTAACAACTAAAAAGATTAATGGCGGTAATTTTTCTTAATTTTGTATATGTGGCCTTATTGGAATATCTCAATGTCTTACCCCTTTAAGTTTCAATTTGGGAAGAGCACTGTGGGCTCATTAGAGAGAATACGGTAAATTAGATGTATTGTACACCAGAAAATTGACAATAGGTGATTCATACCTGGTTTGGAATAGGTTGTTGTTGCATGCCCATATTTGGATATCCACCGGGTGGTAGTGACATCTTTTGTGCTGATGGTAAGTAAAGACCCTCCTTCATTAAATTATTGTACATTTGTAGAGCATCTATCACTTGTTTGTTAATGTCACTTAATCTGGCATGACTCCTGCAAAAATACATGAATTTTAATTACAAAGAAAAAAACACAACTTGTATTTCTCTCATACTTTATTAGAAAACCAAGAAATAACCAGAAATATGGTTTGGTAATGAAATAGAGTCTTTTATCATGTATGCAAAATCAAAAACATACATGTATTTTACATGATTTAAGTCAGGGAGGCATTGGAGGCAATGTTCTCTATGTAGGTAACTGCCATTTACAAAGTACAGCCATTTGTCAACTAATTTTCTTACATGATAAATATATATGCCTGGCTGTACTCTCATAACATCATGCTATCGCAAATACCAGAACATACATTACACCACAGCTAAATGTTGCCTTAAATAATGAAACCATTAAACATATTTTTTGATTTAAATATTTCATAGAAAACAAGGAATTTTTACCTATCAATTTTTTCTAGCTCTTGGTCTATGAGGGGTCCCATTGCCTTGCATTCACTCTCAAGCCCCAACATCTCTGGGGTGTCTGGTCTAGTCTCTCCTGTAGGGTCGGCATTCTGAATCATCTCAAGGCAGTCATCTATCCGGCTCTACAAATAATGATTGGTTAAGTCAGAATTAATTAGTGTCCTAATAATGTACTCTGCAAATATACTGTTATCAGAAATTATCAGTGATCATCCCCAAACATGTCACATCATACAACTCTCAAGTACATACCTCGTCAATCCTAACTGTCTCAGGTAGCCTCTCAACCGTCTTCACTTCAACCTCCTCATTAAACTGAACAGATTTCTTCTCCTTTACTGAAACAATAGAGTTCTTGGTTTGGAATAATTACATTACATAACAGAACATTAATGACTACAAGGTGAATTATGAACAAGGCATTAACATGCAAAATGTCACCATTTGTAACAGAAGTGAACACCAACTCCTGAATGTCATCCACAAAAAAGTTGGAGACTATAACAATAATTAAACTTGTGGTGGTGACATAATAACCATTGATGACTCATTCATTGAAATTTCAAAAACAATAAATTATATACCAATAGAATTACAAAGAACATGCAATTTTTATTTGATTATTTATTTATTTATTTTATTACGAAATAATTACATGCAAATTGATGTTATTTTGTTATCTTCTTGTGAAAATAGTTGATGATTGTAGTTTCTGAGTTTTCCAATCCTTTTTAATCAACATAGTTGTTCTGGTTTTCAAGTATGCAGCTAAGTCCACCTTTGTGGGCTATTTCACTTCCAGTTTACATTAATGAGTAACATATTTTATGTATAACATTTATTGATTATATTATTTTTGTCGGCAGGATTTACTTAAAAAATCCTAATTTAGCTATACAGGGTGTCCGGAAAGTAAAGATACAAATGCTCTAATTTCAATAGATTTACCTGTTGTGAGATGAAATTGCTACAGATTGTAGAATGACATTGTAACAATTTATCCTGCAAATATCATGACAAATAGTTTCAAAATAAAAAAGTTATGGTTGTTATGGTGACAGGAGTCGCGGGTATGTGGAGCAGCGTTACAATTATGTTTTATAAATCTTTTCTCCAGTTCATATCATCTTGACACTTTGTCATCTGTTGCTATTATATATCAAATTATGTACCGCAGCAGCAAAAGGATTAGTACTGTAACATTATTTAGTCATTTGGCATTACTTCTGGTATCTGGTATTATGTATTTCCCACCATTATCTTAACATTCTTGGTGCATTTTGACTGGTGATTCCAAGATCTGACAAAACCGCCGCTGCCCATCTCTAGGATTGCTGCTAACATTGGTTTCCAGCCGAATCTCATTTTCATGTTGAACTTCTAAGAAATATTGCTTTAAGATATTCATTAATGTAGAAGTCCAACGGGACATTATCAGACCAAATATTGACCATTGTACAAAAAGGTTCAATGTTAAGACATTCATTTGTGAAATTTGTTTTCTTTGCTTTGTGAATTGGTGCATTTACTGTGGAGGTAGACTGTTGACTCTTCTATTAATCCTGGGACCCTTTTCCTAAGCACATATACTTTTTCTTTGATTATACTGGTGACATTACATAGTTCTGATATGTATCAATGATATCATTAAACTAAAGAGAATACTATGGCAGCAAGAATACAATATTGAACAAAACAAAACATTGATAGGAAATACCAAAATAAGCACTGTTTCAAATGGTTATATTTTAGCAATTTATCGCAATTTAGTGATATCCTGGAACTGCTCCACATACCCCTCACCACCGTAACCATGACAACCGTAACTTTAACACGTTTAGACTGTATGTTATAAAATTTGGCAGATGTATTGTAATATGGTTCCTCTACAATCTGTAGCAATTTCATTACGAGAAACCTAAATCTCTTAAAATTAGAGTGTTTGTATCTTTACTTTCCGGACACCCTATATGTTGACATGTTATCATGCTGCAAGAGTCAAATAAATTCCTTATAATACCTGGTTCCTCTGGTTCAGCAGTTAGATCTGCTGTTACAAAGTTGGCGGGAAATAGTCCTTCTCCACGGAAGTTTGAGCCTTTCCACCAGTTGACATCAGAGTCATCTATAACACCTATTATCTCACCAGCTTTAAATGTTAATTCATTGTCTTCAGCTGCCTCAAAATCATAAATTGCACGAACCTGAAAAATATAATAACTTGAAATTGGCAAATCCACGAGTAGCAAATCACAACGAACACTATATTCATGAATCTATATATGTCACAATGTAATATTTAACATCTACTGTACCCTTGATTAAATTAAATTATTGACAAATATTAAAAGACAAAATCATGAACTGCATTGCAAAAACCTGAAAATAAAGTAATGAAAGACATCAGAGATTGATGTGTAGCCAATAACGATATCAGTATGAACATGAAAACGAGTGTATAAACTGAATGTCTCTCAAATGAAATTTTAAAATGGCAAGTAAATTAACTATCTGCATATATGTATCCATAATTAAAAACATATCAAACTCATCATACTCTTTCCATGATCAATTTCACATCAAAATGAGCAAAATACAAGATTTCTAGGATTTCTGAAAACATTTATAGAGATGTTGAAAAGGTATCTTTAAACACCTCATGATAAATAACTAAAACTTTACTTTCTTGTCTAAAACCAAACTTGTATTTCTTAGTTCTTATATTGCACATTTGTAATTCACTGTTACTACTACAGTGTCTCAATTCAACCCCCAAGTCCATATAATGACCTTTGGTCATGCATAAATAAATGTTTCACTCAACACATGAATAGAAATTAAACACTCAGGGTTCTTATGCAATTAAGTGATGCATGAAACTCAAAGGGGTGAACCATTACATCATCACATCTTCCCCCTTTCTTTTGACTGTTCTTAATTTAGCAACATCTTTCATTAAAACAGTCACACAAATCTATATAACTACTTGTAAAACTTAAAGTCAAAAACTTATGATTAAAATCCATATGTCACTTAAAATATATCACTTTAATTAATGTAGTCTTGGTCCATCATACACAGGGAATAGATTAATTATCCATTTACAGTAGTTGTTGTAAGGTTTGGATTAGGTAATCCTGTCTAGGTTAAAGAGTTGGCGATCCTTTCTTCTTTAGAAATGGCTATCTTTGTCTTGTGGTCGGATCGGTCGGTATCCATTCTTCAGATTCCATGATCCTATCTTTGCACTTGAATACTTGGTCTTATTCTTATATATGTAGAAAATCCTTTTTTGTGTAGTAGCACAATACGATTGCCGAATCCTTGCGATCAAACGTTGATCACTTTCTGGGATCAAAGTTATCTTCAACTTCAAATCCACCCTGAAGAATCATATGATGCTATAGTAAAACCTGTAGATATCCTCTTAAAGTGACGACTTTTCGTGCACCCGGAAACACAGCGTTAAACATGCTTAACTGCTTTTCTTTACAGTGTTCGCTTCAGCCTTAAATCATAGACTCTGTTTCACAAAATTGCACCAACATGTCAGTTTCGTCGACATTGCTGATATTCACCTTGCAATTTCTTCGATCGTTCATGCATTTCTCAAATAGTTCATTTTCGTACATATATTACTCACACTGATCTTTGCGTTCAGATCATGTGTTCGTTCCTTCATCGTTTCTAGGGTTCTTCTGGTTTGAGTCATCAGTGTTATCACTTGAGTGTTCATTTGACTTGAGATGCATTTGTTATTTGCATGGGCGTTACATCTTCCAGTAGGCCTTCATCAATTCTGTCAAAATCACATCCTCTAAAGTTAATTTCACTGGAAAGCGTATAGTTCGTTTCTTTTTCGCTGCCACCATGTAGAGATGTTGAAAAGGTATCTTTAAACACCTCATGATAAATAACTAAAACTTTACTTTCTTGTCTAAAACCAAACTTGTATTTCTTAGTTCTTATATTGCACATTTGTAATTCACTGTTACTACTACAGTGTCTCAATTCAACCCCCAAGTCCATATAATGACCTTTGGTCATGCATAAATAAATGTTTCACTCAACACATGAATAGAAATTAAACACTCAGGGTTCTTATGCAATTAAGTGATGCATGAAACTCAAAGGGGTGAACCATTACATCATCACAGTAGACAAGTTTTCTTTTAATCTTGTTCAATATATATTATGGCATTATAAAAACAGATCTCAAAACAGTTACTTACCACCCTTCTTTCTTTTTTCTCTGGAGTACTGTTAGAAGAAACTGTTGATATTGCACTGGCACCTCCCCCTCCCATACTTGGGTATAAACTTGATGTTGTTGTGGTTTTAGTTTTGCTGGACTGTTCTTCCTTCAAAGACAATGCTATGGCTGAAATGAAGTAAAATCATTAAATAACTTCTAGAAATAGGATATCTTCTCGATCTCTATTTCAAAAATGTTCAAAACAAAATGCAGTTTTTGAATTTTTATTTTTACACAAGCTTTTCTTGTATCATGTAGAAACTGTTTTTGTTGCTAACATAGAATTTCTTATTGATTCCTTAATTATTCCATCTGATGCAGAAGTACACCACAACGTAACATAAGAAGTGAGATTTTGAACAGAAATATACTTAGAAATTTATCCAAATGATTTCCTCAGATATATAAAACTTTTTTATGTTGTCATTATTCTCAGATTCTGCTTCTTCTACAATACCTTTTGCAATATCATCTTCAAGAATTCCTTTTGCAATATTATCTTCTACAATACCTTTTGCAATATCATCTTCTACAATACCTTTTGCAATATCATCTTCTACAATACCTTTTGCAATATCATATTCTACGATACCTTTTGCAATTTCATCTTCTACAATACCTTTTGCAATATCATCTTCTACAATACCTTTTGCAATATCATATTCTACGATACCTTTTGCAATTTCATCTTCTACAATACCTTTTGCAATATCATCTTCTACAATACCTTTTGCAATATCATCTTCTACAATACCTTTTGCAATGTCTTCTTCTACAATACCTTTTGCAATATCATATTCTACAATACCTTTTGCAATATCAACTTCTACAATACCTTTTGCAATATCTTCCTCTACAATACCTTTTGCAATATCATCTTCTACAATACCTTTTGCAATATCATCTTCTACAATACCTTTTGCAATGTCTTCTTCTACAATACCTTTTGCAATATCATATTCTACAATACCTTTTGCAATATCATCTTCTACAATACCTTTTGCAATATCTTCCTCTACAATACCTTTTGCAATATCATCTTCTACTATACCTTTTGCAATATCATCTTCTTCTTGCTGACTGTTGACCACATTAGGGTCTTTTGACAAAGTCTCCACTTTCGTACTGGTCTAAAACGTAATAAAATTCTACAATTAAGATAGATAAGTAGAAAAACATCTTGGGTTCGTTACAGATAAAGCTTAAAGTCCCACTAGGAGTAACTTAAAGTACTGTAATAACAGGTTACAGAGGTTTAACACAACCTTCATGTTGATATAAGACAGTTACACTCGGTGACTCAGTCTAGCACATTCTACTTGTATTGATGAAAAATCATGTGATTGCTACTTTTGGACATAACAAATTAGTAAACTAATCTTAATCGTTTAATCTTAAAACGTCTTATAAGTATACACTTTTGAAAATAAAGTAATATGATAGCTTGGTATTTAAATTATATGAACTAAAATGTAAAGTTTGACTACACAAGTCTTTAGTTTTAAACAATTAGTATCATGACAGTTGCACAAAAATCATTCATACCTTTGTATCAGATGTACTAAAATCATATCCCTCCTTTTTAAGACTGTTATACAATGTTGGAATGAGACTGAAATTAAAAATGCAAAAGCAGTTATGGATAAATGTTTATAAACTTTGCTTCAAAGAGAGCAAATTTTTTAGTATTGGACAGATGGAACTTTTTGTCGAATGAATTCTTTGAAATACTGTATATGGGATTGTACAGATTGAATTCAAAATATCTGGTAACACCTCTCTGAATCAATCCATAACTTTACAAGTTTTGAACTTCTAAATCGATACATTATAATCCACCAAAATACATAAAGTCATTTTTCCATATGATCGATCAATAGATTAACTAAGAAAATGTAAGTCATAATTTGACAAAACTCAATGGTACCCTGATATGCCTTTTTAACAAGTGAAAATATAAGATAGTAAACACTGAACTTACTGAAGCGAGGCATCTGATTTGAATTCATTTTCTGCCCATTTCTTTACAAGTTGTGCTAGTTTCTCTGCTACCCTTGGATGTGCCTACAAAATGGTAGAACATTGTGATCAAAACTGACAATATCGCTTCATGGTTTTGGGAGCTTTCCTTTTTCATCACAGGATCTTAGCAAGTGGTCAAAAAAGGACTACACTAGAATTAAAATTTCAAAGCTGAAATTGCTGAATAAAAATGTAGATATTGAAAGTAGGTCTCTGGACCAATACTATGATCATTTCACAAAAATGTTGATAGCCTGCACCTTTGTTGGACAACCAAGTAACTTTGGAAAACAAGACACACAGTGATAAATATCGCACTTTGAAGAGCAAACTGGCCACCATGCAATTTACCCAGCATGGCCAAAACCTAATCAGACCTTGGCACTAGTCTGCTCTTGCATCTGTAAACATTTCAAGTTGACAAGGTTAGCGGTTTTCCTGCAATTTTGATGAGAAGAATTTATTTGTAGTCTTGAACTTTGGGAAAATTTAGATAACATTGTTTGTGACCTAATTTGATGACCTTCGACCTTGAAAATTTCACTTTTTCAGACCTCAGTAGGTGTTTTGTAATTAGCTGACCTAAATTTAAATCCAAAATATCAATTTAGAAAATCAAATTTTTGATCTTTTCAAGGCCACTGAAGGTCAACGAAAGGTCAAATCTGAAATCTAAGGTCAGATTTGAACTTCTGAGAACTTGTAGATGTTTTTAAAAAAAAATTTGGTCAATTTGGAGCAAGTTGAAAAATTCAAAATGGCCGCCAAATTGAAAAATTCAAAATGGCCATCATGTAATTCAGCCAGCATATCCAAAACCCAATCAGATCTTGGCAATAGTCTGCTCTTGCATCTGTAAAAATTTCAAGTTGAACGGATAAGTGGTTTTCCTGGAATTTTGATGACAAGATTTGTTGAAAAATTCAAAATGGCCGCCACATAGTTTACCCAGCATGCCCTTAACCTAATCAGATCTTGGTACTAGTCTGCTCTTGCATCTGTAAAAATTTCAAGTTGAACAGGTAAGCAGTTACTCTGGAAATTTGATGACAAGATTTGGTTTATGTCCCGCCCGCCCGCCCGCACGCCCGCACACCCAAACGCCCGCCCAACAGCACAAGACGACGACGATATAGCACTTTTTCAAAGTGCGATAAAAATTTGGTAGAAAATAATTTGTTTTATCATAGACATAAAAACAGAATCCAACCCCTACTTTTTTCAAAATGCACTCCTAGTGAGAGTACTGGACAGCTTAATCAACAGAGCGAGGAAAATATTGTGAACATCTCTTTTTCAATTCAAAATTTCAAACTCAATAACCAGTCAAGTTAAAAGGCATGATTTAAGAATATAACAACAAGCACTTTCAAATAGTTAATCTTTCTGATTATGAGTTCTTTGTAATAATTGTCAAGAGTTCGGGACACGTTGATTAAGGTCAATTTATTCACTTATCAGCTAGTTATATTGACCCTTCACCACACTAACATGATCAGCCCTTTCAGTGAAGTAATGTATGTTTATACACATGCAGAGTTAAAATGGATATTTTTTGTTTTGGAAAGAAGAGGAAGATAATATTTGAAAGAAGCTCAATTCACTTACAAGATTATAAAACAAAATACAGCATGAAACTTTGATTTTATTAAATAGAATGATGATAATTTATCCAAGGGTTGCTCAGTACTTACCTTACCACCTAATAAAACTCTGACTTCAGATATAAAATCTCTAGATGCCATTTCTAAATGAAATTGGTGTCCACAGTTGCTAACACAGGCATCAAGCACCTAAAATTATATATGTATGAATTATACATAAATTTTGGGAATTTTTTACTTTTCTCTACATGTATTTGATATCTATGATCACCATTTCAAACTTCAGTTCATAATTGTTTTGAAAAAGTAATCATCACCATTGATTGGTTCTGTCAAATCTGACAAGTCTGACCCTGAAAAAGTGCAGCTATAGCAAAAAAGCTTTATATCTCTTATTGACTCTTTGATTAAATTACAGAATGTATAACTAAAGGTATAATAACTGCCCTCCCCAGGATTTTCTATCTGGAGATTTTGTCATTTTCTTGAGTGCAACATTTTAGGATCTTGTAGTTTTTGTGCTACATTTCACGAGTTCATATTTCTATTGTAACATATTTTAAGGCTCATTGAATTAATAAAGGAGCATTTCTGGTGTTTTGAAACACATGGAGGTGCTGCACCTCAGATATTTCAATGTGGCAAACAGGACTCACTGTTAGTGACTGCATGGCAACATGTGGTACTCTGTGGTTCATTCTTTTAATAATTGAAGTCAAACAATCTTTTGGTCTGGAAAAAAACAATAGATACATTATTGTACATCAAGTCATGCAGATTTTTTCAATTTGATATGCGAAGTTTACATTTGTGTAACAAGCTGGCTACTTTTTATGTCACACCAATAAGACTATAATTTTACAGATAGATAAATACAAAGGCTAGAGGAAACAAAACAACTTTATATGGTCTTATTGCTGCAAATTACTGCATTAATATGTTTGGATTTTTCACAAAATATATGAATGACAAAACATAAAAAAGGCATCAACATGCAAAATGTCACTACTTGCCATTTGTTACAGATGCCGAATGCCAGCCACTTTTGGTGGTAATATAAAGATTAATCCATTATTAAGAAAACTGCTACCAGCACATTAAAATCCTTTACATATTTTCTTTTTACATCTTTGTTGCTTTAAATAAAGAATTTATACATACCCATTTGAATTTCTGCCTACTTTGTCACATAATTCCATTATTAATGCCCAGTTTTCTGTCGTATTGAGCTCACTTGTGGCTTTTTCTGAAAAACAGATATGAAGATTTGAACTAATTGGAATAACACTGAAGGAATTTACATGATCAATTGGGGGCAAATAGATTTTTAACAAAGTGTAAGAAATTCATATTTCCACTTTCAATTTGATGCACTGTATGGAACATAAATGCTGGAATAATGTTATTGAATTCTGATATAAAAATGTACAAATACAAATGAGCAACTTTAAAGAGTAGAAAATCCTAATAAACATAATATGTTTCAATAATTTTTACTGGCTCCCTAGACTCCAAGGGTGATTTTAGGACTTTCAGCATGATGCCTACTCATAGATCTTGACTAGCCTTGCCTAAGTCGGTATTTCTTGATCTTCAATTGTAGTAATATAAAGAAACAAGACACTTTGTGAACAATATAACACCCTTGAAACCTGCAGACAAAATAGCCACCTTTACATTTACCCAGAATTCCCGAAAACGAATCGGTTATAAACTTCAATATATGTAGAAACATTCCTGAAAATTTCAGATGAATCCCCCAAATGGTTTCACTGGAAACCTGTAGAATGGTTACTACCGACAGACTGACCTACCACCCACCCACCAGACAAACTGTATACAAATAACATTATAGCCCCCAAGGGTGATATAAAAAAATACACTGACTTAGGCAAGGCCAATTATTGACAGTGCCAAAGAATTTTGTAATAATTTTACTGCATCAAAAATTCTTGATTCGGGTAGTGATTTTTACATCGCATTGTAACAATTCAATCAGGAAGTGAAATGAGCCTTTGATGAACATAGCTTGCATCAATTGATACCTTTTAAGAATAAAGAGGTTTCACACAAATTATAGCTAAAATGTATCCGTAATTGCATCTTATTTTAATTCAACTGATACATGTAAATCTGGTGAAACCTCACTACTATGATATCAAAGATGGATATGCATTGAACATTTTGTAATTGAAAGTAAGTGGCTGATTTCAGTATCTGTTTAAGGTTTCATGACTTTAAGGGATTAACTTGAACTTTAAGGCTGAGAGTACAAAAGAGAGAACAGCCTTAGAACAAGGAAAATCCTTATTTTGAATATATATATTTGATTTTCCTGCAGTCTTATTGTCCCACAATCATTTTCTGAAGGCTAAGCCATTTGACTTTCAATTTTCTTATTTAGTAAAATTAAGAAGTGGCTCTGAACAACAAAGGCCAGGGTATAAATCATAGATACTAGTATTCCGTAATTCCGCGGCGTGGACGGAATTTGACAAAAAATTTTTGCAGAATCCCTGATTTTCATGAAAATCCCGTGGAATTACCAGAATTTCCAGAAATTACATATTTTACGATCTCCTACCTTTGCGGGGTATTTGAAGAGTGTCTGTTTATGTCCAACAATCAATCATTATTGAGTACAAGTACGATTTTACCGTGAAATTCAACATTCTATCACGTTTAAATTCGCTAAAGCGAGTTCGCTAATGACGCGCAGTTCTTACCTAGAAAGTAGCTGACTTCCGTTTCCGTTTTTCATCGTTTTAAAAGATTTCAGAATTTGGACTTTTTTTGAAAATTTGTGCAGAATTTCAATTTTCTCCTTGCAGAATTTGCTTTTTTTCTTGCAGAATTTTTTGCAGAATTTTGAACTAGTATCTGTGATAAATCAGTGGCATTTTCACATACAATCTTGACAAACGTATGCACCTGTCCACTTTTTGATTCTAAAATCAAAACAAACATCTTAGCAGGTATCAGGCAAAGTATAAACTACCCTCTCTGTGATGAACACGTACTTAGAGTAAACATATTCTTGTAGCTTCATAATAGGTGTTCACTATACACAGGTTTTACTGCATTTGGAAAATAGAGTCATCAAATGTGCTAGACTAATGAAAGCAATCATAGACTGACAATAGTTATAGCAGGTTTAATTGCTACATTATGAAGCATTCTGACAAAATAGCTTCTTGCTAGCGCTAGGTTTCATTTCAACTTTTGGTCCTTTTCCTTTGGCACCTGTGCTTAGATATTTTGAAATGCAATCCTTTGAAATTTTTGCTACAATGCAATTTAACCCAACTGTATAACAGGTACCATTGTGTTAAGTCATCCTTGTAATTGCAGCGATGAAACCTCAGATTTTTATCATAGAATAAAGAATGAGATAAGATTTTCATACCTACCTATCTCAAACCAAATTTGGAAATCAAAATTGTTCCTTAATTTAACCATTGGCCTGAGGTAGACTTCATGATTGATTCTTGATGAACTTCATCTAATCAAGACAAATATCATCACATTTGTCCAGTAGTGACCCTGGACATCTAAGGCTTAGAAAATCAGTCTATATAACAGTCAGTGGGTAGTTATGATTTGGGGCAAGACAAAATCATGATCTATACGAACTTCTCAAAGAAAGTAAAGATCATAATTTGGACTTGCCCCAAATAATAACTGTACATTGACTGTGCTATATAAGATATTTCAAAACAGAATGAGAAATTGAATCAATGGCACCTAAAGTAAACTTACATGTACCTGGTTAAGAAGGTTAAGTACAATGGTTCGAAAATCAAACTATTCACAAAGGTAAACGAGAACAGTCTATTCAAAGAGTGCAAATGAGAAATTTTACAAGTAAATTTTCTATTAATTACAATACAAACCTATTCCATGACATATGCTAATACCCCTAATTTGGAAAAATGGGCAAGTCCAAAAACAACAGGATAACCTGAATCCCTCTAGGTCAACTGACCTAACACCCCTTTATATGCTATATCTTCATAATTGTACGCAGTAAAACTTAAAAATACTGCGGGGAGGCCGGGTGGGCCTATGGTCATGGAATAGGTTTGTATTGTAATTAATAGAAAATTTACTTGTAAAATTTCTCAATTACATACAATCCAACCTATTCCATGACATATGCTGAATTCAAAGTAAAGGAGGTGGGACCCCGATTAAGCCAAAAGTATAATAAATATATATACACAAGTACTTATAATAAAAAGTAAATTCATATTACCAAAAAGTACTCTGATCTCACAAACCATAGTGATCCCTAGTAGAACAACCACCGTCATCCATTGTAAGGCAGAGGCTGTGACACATCTGTATAACTGTTATTGTCCTATCATAGTGAGCAGTCTTAGCCATCTAAGGGTAATGACCAACTCCTATGAATAGAGACTGGTTAACCAAGGATGGGCCGTTTAACCAAACGAGGCAACCTTGCAGTTCTTCAAGGGTCCAGGTCACAAGCTAGTTGAGTTGAACCCTTCTGCAAAACAGTTCAGCTACACATCTGGGAGACTGTATGTCCTTTCACAGTGAGTATCCTTACCCATCTAAGGGTTGCGAATAACTCCTATGAATAGAACTGGTTAGCCAAGGATGGGCCGTTTAACCAAACGAGGCAACCTTGTAGTTCTTCAAAGGTCCAGGTCACAAGCTGGTTGAGTTGAACCCTTCTGCAAAACAGTTCCACTTACACAAGAACTGGATAGACAAGGAATGGCTGTGTACAAGATAAAGACAAACCAAGTCCACCCAGTGTTACTTCCAATCACCAGACAACAGTGCAATACTGAGTTGGTAACAAGTTGCAGAGTACTTAAAGTTGTATATAGTTCTTGAAGCTGTAGACCCACCTGCAGCTTGGATGAGATATACATGAGTTAATCCAAGCCATTGTTGTAGTTCTTGTCAGTGTAGACAAAGGCATCATCCTTTCATCCATTGGAATTCTAGGAAACTGCCAAATAAATCAACTACCATGAGTCACAGCACAGGGTCCTAAAGGAACCAGTCTTGCATACAAAGTGAGGTGGTACACACTACAGCTTGTCTTGTATCTGCTGCGAGGTTGGTACAGTCACCAGATAACTACAAGGATAAGTCAAACCATCTTCTTTGTAGTACCAATTAGTATTCATCATAGAACAGATCAACCATTACTGCTGACCTGGGCAAGAAGAGACATCTTCCATCTGGCCAAAACAAGTTGTTCAATGGACAAACTAGTGCATCTAGACAGTCTATCCATCTGTATAAAACTGTAACACAGCTACCCTAGTAGACACAGTGGCACATCAAGCACAAAGTAGAACAGCATACAGGTCCATACTTATCTATGAAGGATTAGTATGGAGATGAATCTAAAGGTGGTTGGAAACAAGCTTGCATTTGTTGGTAAACTTGTTAGACATCTTTAAGAAGGTGAGGATATCACTGATATGATTGTCTATAGTGGCCATAGCATAACGGAAAGTATTCTACTGCCATCAAAGCACTGCTAAGTGTTGTTCCCACGAAGAGCTTGGCTTGGAATGCAACCTTCAATTGTTGTATTCGGCATTGTAGTTGAAAACTATTGGATTGTGGTTAGAACATCCATCTGTCCAGGTTGTAAACAGCAAACATCATAGCTAGTGCTGCATATTGACAGAATACTGCAGAAGAATTCAGAACCTCACTGGATCAACAAAATTCTTGGCCTGGAACCAAAAACTTTTAAATGTTCTTCACAGGCTTGCAAAAGGCAGACTAGTGGTATCTTCAATGGAAAGTACATCTATCTGTCTATAAGAGTACAAGTATAACAGTATTGAACGTAGATACTGCTACAAAAGGAAGCACTACTAGTATAGTATGAGAGTATAGTAGTGCTAGATCCACCAAAATCTGTGTCCAAAAACGTAACCTTTAAATTCATCCAGGTTTGTAGTTGGCATCACTGGTTGACAAGAATAGTCCGCTTTTTCTCCCGGGTCTGTCTAAAGCTACCAAGAGCATACATCATGGATGTAGGTGTATAGGAACACTACTGCAGTATGTAGTAAGGTAGTGCTGGATCCACAAAGTTCTTGACTTGGAGCATAACCTTTGTAGATCAAACTTGGCTTGGAGTTGAAACTCTAGTATCAACAGCGTAAACATCAGGCCCGCATGGTCATCGAAGTACTACTGCATGTGTCTACCAGTCAAATGTTGGATCCATACAATGCTTGGTCCAAGAACATTACTTTTCAGTAGTCTTAAGCCAAACTTGCAGTTGCTCAAGGGAAAAAACTATATCATAAAAAACATGATAAGTTTATCCAATTGGTTAAAACTTCCAGCCTTTTACTAGTTAAATAGTAGTATTAGTACTATGAACATGAACTAGTAATAATATAAAAACCAAATGAAGTCTGGACTGAAGTGAAACCTTAAATCAATCCAGGCCCAAAAAGCCCAAGATTAATTCCACAAATAAGGTGACTTGTAGTTTCTCAATGGAAAAAACAATATCATAAAACATGATTAGTTTATCCAATTGGTTAAATCTACCAGCCTGTTCTAGTTAAGTAGAAGTATACGTACTATGAACATGAACTAATAATAAAATAAGACCAAAAGGAGTCTGGAACTGGAGTGATACCTGAAGGCAATCCAGGCCCAAAGACCACAAAGATGAATTCCACAATAAAAGTGACTTGCAGTTTCTCAGGGGAAAAAACTATATCCAAAAAAAAATGGTCAGTTTATCCAAGTGGTTAAAACTACCAGCCTTTTACTAGTTAAATAGTAGTATTAGTACTATGAACATGAACTAGTAAAAAATATAAGACCAAATGAAGTCTGGGACTGGAGTGAAACCGTAAAGCAATCCAGGCCCGAAAACCACAAAGGCAACTTTCACAATCAAAGGGATGTGTTTTCAATATTAGATGAAAACCACCTTGTTTGAAAATAATAACCAATCCACGAATGAATAAGTACTATGGTTATGAATAAAAACGAAAATGAAAGAAAACAGGCTCCAGATAATAAAAATGAGAGCCCATCACTTAGAAGCATGTTTAAACACAAGATTCATGGTATAAAGAACCTGAACCGATGTGTAGAATCCTCTCTTCTACTGTTGATTGAATAATATAAAAATATATTTCACTCAATAAACTCATGATATTATCAATTTAAGACAAGATTCAAACATGTGTGAAGGTACACCGCTTATAAAGAAACATATAGTTACTTAGAAAATATGCATGAAACCAATCAATACCAGAAAAGGAGTGATTGATAAGTAGCTGTTAAAGAGTATGAAGCATATTTTAAGGTGAGCCACTCCTTAAAAAAACTGTGGTTAGGGTAAAACTAACCAATAGATTCTAAGACACAGAGTGGACCTGAGATATGTAGATAAACAATAATGTAGATCTCCATAAAGAGACACAAAAGTACAAACAAAACAAACAAAAAAAACTTAGTAAAAATTATCCTTGTAAAATTAAAAATAATGAAACAAGATTTGAAAACCAAGATATCCAAAATGATTGTAGAACAAACATCCTATGCCCTGGTATAAATAAAGAATGAATACGTTGTGACCAGAAGGCATTAATGAGCCATTCAATGTATCTTAAAGTAAGGCTTCTGTAAACTAACTAATTTTACACGAATGTAAAATTAGACCTAAAAATAGTTGATGAATAAGAAATACAAAAGTAAAAGCTGAGTGTATCTGTAAGCAGAAAACAAACAGAACATAGAAAACAAGTGATGTGAAGAGTAGCAAGTGAATGAAACGTTCACATCTCTTAAAATGTCAAAAAACTTTCACATCTCTTAAAATGTCAAAAAACTAATATTTTAAATTAATTGACTGCTAAACCACACAATTCCATAAAGTGCTGCAACCAAGAACCCTACAAAGGGTGTAAAGTGATTGTGAATAAAGATGAGAATTAACTACATCTATGAACAATGCAGATTCAATCCAACTGAAAAATATGTTATCTAGTCAAGCTAGTTACTAAACTAGAAACAAAGTTGAGACTAATTCTCGAGTAATAAAAAGTAAGACAAAGAAACAAGAAAGATCAGCAAAAAGATCTTTCAATACTAATAATTTACACTCATCAATAAGTAGAGTTCTTAGAAAAACTCCATCTATTCATAATCCCTGAACACAACATTTCAAAAAAAGAAAACACTGTTCAGTGGATAAGCACAGCTTGAATGTAATGATTACTGAGTGAAAAACTAAGGAATAGTCATTCAAAACAATGAACTCCAACAAAGCTACTGTAGGTGCATGATAAAGGGGAATAACCTTATGAACCTAGAAGGCCATCATTACATAATATACTACACAATAGTATAGTCATGAACTCAAAGGATTAGAACCCTTGGGCTAGTAAAAGTATACTAGTATAGGGTTAAAGAGTAAAGGTCCCTTATAGAAAGGTTCAAGGTATGAGTGAAAAACCTTTACAAAAAAGATAATACAAGCCAGTAGGGGTCAAATAAAGTTCAACTGGGTCTGAACTTATTGTCCCAAAGACAAGCTAGGCTAACCTAAAGTTGACTGTTAGCTAAGCGTGTAGCTTGAAAATAAAATCCATGGAAGGATTACCTAAAAACTGACCTGTTTCTAGTGTTAGAAGTACACTAAAATACAACCACAAATGAGCTCACTGCACTGAAGAATGACTTGTGACTCTGTCCAAGTACCTTCTGCTGCTGAGGAGGCCCTGCTGAGGTATAGTCTTGAAGATCTACCATGGGATGGTGGGCACCAACTCCCTCAGTAAACTGCTACTCAAGTTGTGCATGCTTCTAACAAGCACCTTGCTGTCATCTGTGCCAGTTCAGATTGTAGATTTTCCGACTTCTGTAGACTATCACGTTGACTAGGTTCCCGTAACAAGCTGGTAACCCCTAGTCCTGCATATATCTGCCATCAATTTACCAATTATCTAAGAAACTTCTAGCAGATAGAGTAAAAAACTGGACTCTAAAATCTTTCCACTTTTCCATACATAGGCAAGTACAATTATGAAGATATAGCATATAAAGGGGTGTTAGGTCAGTTGACCTAGAGGGATTCAGGTTATCCTGTTGTTTTTGGACTTGCCCATTTTTCCAAATTAGGGGTATTAGCATATGTCATGGAATAGGTTGGATTGTATGTAATTGAATCATATGATCATGATGAAAATAAAAAATTCGGCGAAAATAAAAAATACACAGCTTTCAAACGTATATACCAGCTACATTTCAACAATATTGTGACTTTAACTAGGGTCTTTCAAAGCTTTAGATATTAATTTATAGTTATCCTTACCTACATCACCGTCAAACGGTGTAGAACTAGAAAACAGAGGCATTTTGTTTAAAATTTCGTCTTTTGTTGAATATGTTATGAAGTTTCAATATTGTTCACTGCGCATGACAGGAAACGCAAATGATATCATCACTGAACGAAACTGTACTTCAATAATGTGATTCCCGGGAAGTGGGCAACAGCAGGTTGCTGTTGCTCCGAGTCTTGATGACAGAATATGAAGTTTTATAAAAGTTAAAATCTACCCTATTTTCAATAATGATGATGATGAGGCAGTTGTAACATTTGATGCAAATAGCATCTTAATGACCCCAAATGCATCTATGGAAGCCATTGAATTAATGCACCATTCAGAGGTTTGCAGCATGAAACCCCCACATGGGGAGGATCGGGAATTTGACATTCAGTACTATCGCAGGGGCAGTTATCCCGAGAGTAGGGACCATGTTGGTAATCAGAATTTTGACCAGCCATTATTGCTCCTAAGGCGGGGAAACTCACTAGGTTTGCTCCCAGTGCAGTGCAGTGCAGTGCAGTGCCATGCCGTGCAGTGCCATGCCGTGCAATGGCATGCCGTGCCGTGCCGTGCCGTAACGTACAGTGCAAGCCTTTGAAAGTGGGGGGAAAGTTGAAAAGCTACACCTTTGAGATATTCCCCGGTGATGGCAAACTAAACGTACTAAACGAAAATTAAACTGGTATAGCTACCATTATTCACAGCTACCAAATGTTCTAATACAGAAAATAACATCCGGTTGAAAAGCGTGAACTCTTTTTTTAAACACTTTAAGCTCTCTATCATGATATAGATTGCTTATCATACCATACAAGTAGAAATACACTAGCTATACTATGAAAGTTAAATTACTGTGCAGGAATCCGGACGAATATATCCGAGAGACTAAAAAAGACATTCATAAAGGTATGAAACTTTTTTCTCAACTATTTAATTATTTATTAGATCTACAGAGTTACTCAAACTCCCATGTAGTATCTCGGAATAGACACTGCGGCGGGCAGATGAAGAAATAATCCACATTTGAAATATATCCCCCTTTTCATCATAGACCATAGTCAATTTTCACACTACTTATTTTGCTAATTACTACAGTGCTCACCATAAATAAATGACACCTGGATTTGCTGAAGCAGTCAATGTGGTACAACGAAAATGGGACTTTTGCGCATGTTAAAATTTTTTTATCAAAACTCAACGTTTGTTCAAGTTGATACGATTGTCTTTCGAACTGGAGACTTACCTCATTCGAAAGATCATAAAATACTTTATACTGAAAATCTTAGATCCCAGCATAGTAGAATACGCGTCGGTCCGTGCAAAATTGATTTATAAACGTTATTGGTCAGTTGGTTGATAGTTTTCTCGTGAGCATGCGTGAACCCTGATGAAAACTTATGAAGACCAGAGCAAACATTACTAGCTCTCGAACGAAATTCCAAGATTCAGATCATTTCTCCGTGTTTGCTAAGCATGTATACGTGAATGACAAGTTGTTTTGAGTAGATCAGGTACCTGTTTTAAACACATCATTGATTTAGCTTGACATTGATGTGCACATTGGCACTTTTGAGCATGTTAATACAAGTTTTTACACTCTTAGCAGGAGACGGGTTTTCGAAAAATCTGTTATCTAATTCACTCGATTATCGTATGGATATGTATTTCCGCAGACATTTGAACACTACATCACATAGATTTACGATGCAGAATGATAATAAAACACAAAACAACTACTAAATTCCACTTGTTATTTCCCAGGAGGTAAAAATGCACACTGTCTAGATTCTTTGAAAGGGTTGTCAGACATTGGATTGGTCGCCATATTTGAAATGAAAATATCACTAAATAGAGCTTTGTGCATGTCGTAACATATCGACTGGAAGTGAGGATTTCCCACGTTAAAAAGAAGAGAATTTTCAAGAGACTTAATACATCAGTGGTTGAGAGTGTACAAAATGTAAAATATACAAAACTTAAGGGATGTGTATCTAGACATTATTGGAAAGTATGAAGTCTCAAATATCACCATGGTCCGGAAATGGTGATAGAAAATCCAGCAAAATTGAAGGATAGTGATCTGGCTAGGGATCTGTGTATAGTATAGTTATTAGTTACACAGGATGATTAACTGGAGTCTCTATAGCCAAATTATTTAGCTAGACATCATGGCATGTGGAACTCCATAATCTTATGAAAGGTTTTCCTTGCTTCAAAGATTTAATTTCAATTAAATTCTAAAATCATTGTAAGAATACTAGAATAGTTCATGTATTGAAATTGAAACTTGTCCTTCATGCAATATTGCATGATGATTCCGTCTATCTTATTGTATTAAATAAAACATGATAAATAAAAATAAAAAAATTCCGTCTAAAATTAGAGTAACGGCTCCGAGCAATGGCGGATATTTGACAGCAACTATGAAAACTGGACGAAAATGTTGTTATGTCTGACATTATAACTGACTGTATATTCAAAGTACTAATCCAAAAAATTTGATTACAAATATGTTGATCGCTTCTTGTGTGTTTTGAAATTTTTTGTAAAGTAAGACCATGGGCTTTCAGTAAGACCAAAACTCAGGCAATTCAAATTGTGAAGTTAAAAAATTGAAGCTGGTTTTATTTCAATTTTTTGACATGAGTCTTATATGGCAGAATAAAACATACAGGGATTTATGATTCGCGTAAGGCTGCTACACAGTGGAAGCCTTAGACGTAAGTAACACCGGATGCATATGGATTTATTGATATGCTGTGTCAACTTTGAGGAATCTGCTTCAGCCCTATATGTGAATTTTAAAAGCCAATAATTTTTGGCACAAGCTTTACACCTATTTCTAAGCTAAATGAATTACAATATAGCATTCAGTCTCTTCTCATGACAGAAAAGTACACTGAGAAATCTTTTGCGGTCTATTATCTTAACTTTTTATTTTTTTTTATAGTTCCGAGAAACTATGATCCTGCACTACATCCATTTGAAGCTGCTAGGGAGTACACAAAGGCCCTGAATGCATCCAAGTTAGACCGTGTATTTGCTAAGCCATTCCTCGGATCTCTTAATGGACACAGAGACGGCATTCATTGTATGTCATCACACCCCAGCAGTTTATCTACTATACTCTCGGGGGCTTGTGATGGTGAGGTAAGAAATGAACTAACCTGTAAATAATGTAGGTTATCATCACCAACTATGCTTTTCTCTAGGTTTATAAGTACATGTACACACTTGCTCATATAACCCTCTATCTGAAAATTCCTCTTCAATATATCTTATTTCCCATGAAAGGAACATGATGATACTTCACTATGGCACATGCTGTTCTATACTTTACTTTATACATTTCAAAAGGACAGGTATATATAACTTTATATGTTTCTAGATTCGCCAGTGGGACTTGGCAAAGAGAACTTGTACTCGTACAATCAATGCACATGAGGGCTTTGTGAGAGGTTTAACAGTAACACCATCTGCTGAATCTTTCTATTCGGTAAGAATACATATTGGCAACATTCCATTGACTTTATATTTTTGAATATGTAAATAAGTTTCCTGTATAATATAATTGAATATGATTTGTAATAACATGCAACTTCTTGAAAATGTGTTGACATAAAGAAAATAAAAATATGATACCCATACCTTTTAGTGTTGTCGCGATTAATTTTTCTGGGGGTGTTTCCTCCTGAAATTATTTATTATAGCACATCACAACAACGTTTATTACCTATTACCTATATATGCATTTGATATGTTTAGCTTATGTTTTTCTTACAGTGTGGTGATGACAAAATAATTAAGCAATGGAGAATGACACCAGAAAACCCCAGTGAAAAAGAGGAACCCACACATACAATAATAGGCAAAGTAAGGATCAATTATGTATCATATATTGGAAAAGTAATGGGCAATGAGGCTCAATGAAATGAAAATTGATGCAAAATAATGGACGAAAAGGCTCAATGAAATGAATATTGACACATATGGGCAAAATAAGTTATGTAAATAGTCCACAATGTTAAACTGAAGACGGTATTTCTTCCAAGTTGATATGTAATGGACCAGACAAATGATAATTTTCAATGGTCATCAACAATCTTAACAATGGGTTGTCAGAAAATGTTCATCCATTCCATAATTCTCACATTGCAAGAGAGACAAAGTGTTATATGAGTACATATGTTTATCCCAGACTTTATAAGAATATATTTCACCTCATTAGTTGAAGCTTGGACAATATGTTGTATGTTTATTCCAGACTATATATGAAGGTATCTCACATCATTGGCGGGACAATGTGTTTGCTACATGTGGCCAGCAGGTCGACATATGGAATGTAGACAGGGCTGAACCCGTGAGGACATTTACATGGGGGGTGGACAGTATTAGTCACATAAAGTATAATCACATAGAGGTAGGAATTTTGGACAAATTGGATAGAACTCTTTGTTAAATTCAGTTCAGGTAAAATCATAAATGTAATTCTTGTGATCTGGAACCAGTTAATGACACTTAATATTATTACTGTATTGTGTAATTTTATTTAAAATTTGTTTAAAGTTGGAGTTAGAGTGCATCCTTTGTGCTGCTCATGTTTACATGTATTACATCTAGCCTTGATGCGTTGATGTACATTTGTACTGTATTTTGAAATCATGCTATCCTGTTAATATTTGTTTAATTGTTTTATAATGTTCTGGCCAATATTAAGGTTACTTTTCATATTTTAGACACATTTACTAGCTGCCACAGCCTCAGACAGGAGTATCATGTTATATGATATGAGAGGATCAAATCCTCTTCGTAAAGTGATTTTAAAACTTCGCTCCAATGCAATAGCCTGGAACCCTATGGAGGCATTCATCTTTACAGTCGCTAATGAAGATTATAAGTAAGAATCCTACTACTTTCTTCAATCTAAATGTGTGTTTTTGGACCATTTTTGATTAAAAGATTAATAAACCAAGAAAAACGTTTGTTTGCCAAATTTTATCATAGATTGATTGAAATATGAATAGTCCTCGAAAGTTGTTGGTTGTGACCTCATTAGGACTACAGTTTGCAGTCGATCTATTATCAGCTAATATTAATACTGGATCCTTAAACATGAAAACATCATTTAAATTGATATTCAATTTTGAAATTATGTTTCACATAGAAAGAGATGTTTTTGTAAAAGGGAATTATGAGAAATGGTAAGTCTTCTCTTGTAACATATATTGTTACAGCCATCCTTTCTTTTGTTACCTGAGTTAGGCAGATAGTTACACTTTGGTAACCATTTGTTACTAGGTGATGTTGTCATGCCAATTGCAGTGTTCGCGTTGACGCCGTTTTTTGCCATTTTTACGGAAATTTCAGAAGGTTGGACGTAAAAAGCAAAATCAACTTACGTCCCTAGGACGCAAAAATTATAAACTGCTTCAAGATAACTTTTACTGCAGCACAGTAGCGGTGAAACATGATTTTCATCAAGATTTTCAAACTCACTACCTTATATGCGAGCAATGATCCAGGTATATTTATATCGACAAATCTGATTGGCTATCATGACTACCGAAGATTAACAGAGTTTCCAGTATGAGACATGGATTTTGATTGGTTCCGATATATTCCGGAAAATGCCGCAATCGAAATGGAGGATCAAAACATACAATATTGCAGAAATCCCCTGTGGTTCCCCACAAATTGAAGCGATTGTTTTTCACGATTATTTTTATTATTTCCACTAGAAACCATTATATATCGATATAATGTTATACATCAAGATAATTGTTTAATGATAGATCGAGGTTTTTCAGAATAAGGAGAAATGCTAATAAAAAGAAGCAAAAGTTCACGACCTTGACATGACCTTCAAGATCGCAAGTTTGTAAAATGTGAAAACAAAACTCTTAATTTGAGCATTTCCTTTATTCATTTCGGACTATTTTGGTATAACATTACTTAAGAATTGTGTGAAAAGGACCCAGTGATAGATATTTATCGGGAGGATGCATCAAATTACAATATATGTCATTTTTATCCCATTTTAGTGTAAGCACTTTATTATCGCCCACTTTATTTTCACTTTCACAATATTTTCTTGAACTTTGTGAAGAAATAAGAGGGACGCAAAAAAATTAGATGGGGACTCAAATTTTTCAAATGGGTTGCGTCCCTGGGACTCAGAAATTTTAATGGCTAGCGCAAACACTGCAATTGTTATCTTTTATTTGCAGTTTATATACATTTGATATGAGGAACCTAAAAGAGCCCCTAAATCTTCACATGGACCATGTCTCTGCAGGTAAATATTATTTTCTATTCACTTTTCAATTTATATTTTACAAACTGTGAATGATATAGTAAAGTACATTTAAATCCTGTAAAATAATTATTTTTGTCCAAGAATGTTATTTTTCCAGATACCTTAAAACTTAGGTTTACTAATTCCTGTTAAAAGTTTATATACCACATTAAAAAGGCATATGTTAAAAAGGCAGCAACATTGAATGGCCCTTTTTACTGTGCTATTGTACTTTTATATATGATTTTTTTACATTCTATTGCAGTGCTTGATGTAGATTATTCCCCAACTGGTAAAGAGTTTGTCAGTGGAAGCTATGATAAATCCATAAGAATTTTCCCAATTGAGAAAGGAAGGAGCAGGTAGTGATAGGATTATTTTATAGTAAAGGGAAGCGTGTGTATTTGAATACCTCTTTAAACACCTCTCAATCACCCTATGCAGACAGAGCCTGTGGGAAATATTGGGTGCGGCGCAAATGAGCGGAGGGTGAGGAGCTAACGGTCATTTTTGAATTTAAAATTGGGATATTTCTGAAACTAAGCCGTTTTGGGACTTCGAATATACCAAGATATGTGTATTTGACACCAAATATCAATAAAATTGTGAAAATAGTAGTGCAATTCATTTTATAGCGACGCAGTATGCCTTAAACATTTCCCAGACCTATATATTTTGAGACTATCCTTTTAATACTGCGTCCCCAGCATTCATAAAAAATGGTGTTCAAGATACACTACCCATGCAAATTACTTTTGCATCTTGGAAGCCAGGCAGTATCTGTGTGATTTTATAAAAATTCGGAAATGTTCTTCAGATATGAGCCCCCTCTAAATATTGGGTGCGGAGGTACGTTTATGGAGCTCCTCCGTACCCAATATTTAGAGGGGGCTCATATCTGAAAAACATTTCCGAATTTTTATAAAATCACACAGATACTGCCTGGCTTCCAAGATGCAAAAATAATTTGTATAGATAGTGTACCTTGAACACCATTTTTATGAATGCTGAGGACTCAGTATTAAAAGGATAATTTCAAAATATATAGGTCTGGGAAAGGTTTAAGGCACACTGCGTCGCTATAGAATGAATTGCGCTACTATTTTCACAATTGTATTGATATTTGGTGTCAAATACACATATCTTGGTATATTTGAAGTCCCAAAACAGCTTAGTTTCAGAAATATCCCAAATTTAAATTCAAAAATAACCGTTAGCTCCGCACCCTCCACTCATTTGCTCCGCACCCAATATTTCCCACGGGCTCTGTCTGCATAGGGTGTCAATATGGATACTTTTTTCAGATTTTTTTTAATCTGTCAATAGACTCGCCATGTTAAAAAAAAATTGAAATGAGAACACCTGCCAATCTGAACACTTTTGGCTAGTCTCAGTGTTGTAAAAATTAGACAGGTTTTACTGTATGTTGTATCCATTCAAAAATTACTTAGTTACAAATCAGTGGATATATCCAGCTTTTATTCAAAACGAAGATTCTCCACAGTGTACTTGATGCTGTTATAGATCACTCAGTTTGTTTTTCTCAAATGTGTGGCAAAATCTTCTCATATTTCATAATACATGTCTTCTATTATTTTACAGGGAAGTGTACCATGCCAAGAGAATGCAACGGGTATCTTGCGTGAAATGGTCAAGGGATAACAAATACATTCTATCTGGATCTGACGAAACTAATATAAGAATCTGGAAAGCTAATGCTTCTGAAAAACTAGGCGTTGTAAGTTATTAATGACAATAATACAAGGTATTTTTCATTCAACTTGTGTATATAATTGTCTGTTAAATCTATATAAAAGGGTCAATTCAATAAATTTTTGATGTGAGTCTCCTGGAAACCATATAAGATGTCTTTTTGGGTTCTCACCTAGTTTTCAGCTTTCTTTCAATCCTTCTATAACAATCTCGGAAAAATATTGATATTCTTGTTGTAGTCTCATTTCACTCTTAGTTGAACTTCATGTCATATGATGTATTTCCAAGCTATTTTCTATTTGTAGTATGAGTACTGAGAACTCATTTTTCCTAAATTCACTCACTGTGGTCAAACGGAAAGCGCATTGCTTAGCTGTAGCAACTTAAAATGATAATTTCATTGTAGTTGAAACCAAGAGAAAGGGCAGCTTTCAATGAAGTCACTAAGTTGAAAGAAAAATTCGTTCATCATCCCAAAGTACGACGTATCATCAAACATCGCCATGTACCTGGTATGATTTACTCAGCGAAGAAGGAGCATGCTATCATAAAGGAATCACGCAAGAGGAAGTGAGTAGAGTTATTCAGCTCATGTTATTTGCTCATGTATCAAACATGTTGTGTACGATTTTCACAAAAATTTGATGTTTTCAACAGTGTTTGCTTGTGCAAAATTGATGGATTTAATTTTTTATAATCTATACATGTAATGTATATTCTAACAAAATGTGCAATAACAGGAAAAATCTTCAGTCATATTGGCTATTATACCAGAAAATCATAGAATCTCATCTTTATTCATCAAATAAAAGTAATTTTCACAAGTTTGAAATGTAAATCTTGTTCCATAGTGATGTGTGGTATTAATTGGCTATTCCAAATTTGCCAAAAAAACACTGTTTACTGCAGTAAGGTAGGATCACCTCTCTTGACTTTCTCCTAAATTATTTGTTCTTGTTTCAGGGAGCACAATAGACGAGTCCATAGCAAGCCTGGGGCTGTACCATTTGTGGCAGAGAAGAAGAAACATGTTGTGGCTGAGCTAGAATAAGGTCAAAGGTCAGCATGTAGTTAAGTGGGGCTTCATGAATGGGCCTGCATGCGGGAGGCTCCATTTTGGAACTCCATGTTGGGGACTCCCTGAAGGGGGATTCCTCATTGGGGACCACTTTTTGGGCTCCATTTGGGGAAATTTCCTGACGGGGGACTCTATGAAGGGAAACTCCATGAAGGGAGCTCTGAGTCATGATGTTGTGAACTAATGTATAATAGCATACATATGATATACAGCAAAGGACATTGGATATTATATATCACATTCAACTTGTGTGATACATTGTTAAAAATATGGACTGCTAATTATAAAATTGAAAAGTGCAAATTGTTCTTTTAAAGTGAATCTTTAAAAGATGAACATGGGAAGAGGATATATTTAACTATAATAAAAGTACAAATGTCTGTGTAAATAATTGTAAAAATATACGGTTTTGTAATTGTTATTCCAAGCTAATGAAGTTTAGTTGGAATATTGAGAAGCTCTGTTATAAGCTTGTTATAATATTATCTTAGTATAAGAAATTTATTTCCATTATTACCACCTTGTCGAGCCTGTTCTAAGGGTATTAGTACTAGTTTGGAAGGCTTATATTTTACTATGTTGATCTGAGCAATATGTGATGTCATAGTGGCAGGCTGTAGTAGCGGGCCAAAATTGATATTTCAGCCTGGTAATGTTCCCCAGGAAATGAGATAACGTTCAGTGCGTATAATTTTTGTTCAGTTGCAGTCCATTCTTGAAGTTTTTAGCCCTGGGCATAAGGTGGTAATAATACTAATGACCTCATATCAGCGGGCAATATTTCACGATATTGCCTTTTGAAATGAGGTTATTTGTATATTGAAATTGGCTTATTTGAGGTTGTATTCTAAATCCAATTTTAATATTTCCCCAATATTTAATTGGAAGATTTGTTGTATCTTGGATTTGTATAAGGCCACAGGAATATTTCTGTCCATTTTCAGATAGTTTTGTTACTTTAGTGTACAGAAATTCATATTGTCAGTTTCAAATTTATTTATTTCTCATCAAAAAATAGGTAACATTTTATTTCACTTTTATGTTCTACACTCTGCATCCTCACTTTCTTATTCATTATATTCGCAAGGTGTTGGTTTGTCTGAAATAAGAAATCAATTATGCACAATCAATAAGTTAAATATAGTATATGAATATCATTGTATATGTGGCCTTCAGTGGTTTACATGATGTTGAATTTTTCCATATACCTTTGAATTTAAGCCTACAAGCTCAATCACCACACATTATTTATCAATTTAGAGAACATAAAATGCATGGAAGTAAAATATTACAGTAAAACCTGTCTTTGTGAACACCTGTCTCTAGTAGACAACCTTCCTCCACACATACTCTACTGACTTCTGTATAAATTACCTTCTCTGTAGTGAACACCTACCAACATTTAACATTATTTCCTGACAAAAATGTTCAATATACACAGGTTTTATAGTAGATCTGTAGTTGTATATTTGAGGGTCATACCATGTATATTTACTTACCGGAGCATATCTGCTCAGTTAGATATAAATTGACCAAATCAAGGTCTTCAAATGATCCATTCTCAGATGGTCTCTGCATGTCTACAATGGTGCAACCAATTGGCTCTGAAGCCATGTGCTTCCATTCCCGCTCATATCCATCTATTATATTATTGTTATTTGGAAGTCCTATTTTGGAGGAAAAATGATATGAAGTCAAAATACACAACCAACTGTGAAAACAATATGAAATAATTAAATATATGAAGAGAAATGGGGGAAAAGGATATTGGTTAACCTGGGATTGCTAATTATATGGTATTTTAAAACAGTTGTTTTGTAGAAATTGCATTTAAAATAATGTTAAGTAGAATGTATGTTACAAATCACCTGTTTGGCATTTGGGTAACATTTTTTCTGTTACTTACTGAAGTATAATACAATGAAAAAAAAATTCTTGAAACGTTATCCTCCACAATGGTACTTTTTATTATATTATTTAAACAAAGTAACAGAAACACGATTTTTACCAACTATACGCAGTTCTGCTCCATAATCCTTTAATTTCTTGGCCGCTTTTATGGTATCTTCTCCACTATCAACTGCCCTTTGCTTTGGTTTCCAAGTTCTGCCATCAGTTGCTATTACAACTGTTTTCTTGCATTCTCTTTTAGATGTTTTAAGTTGTTCTAGGGCTTTCTCTGTAATATGCAATACATAAATGTCGTTCTCAGGGTTTCATAATTGTTCTGTAAGAATTATTATATATCTAGCTGTTGGGCAACAATTTTGGCAGCTAATGTTTTATTGGTGTCTTTACTCAGTCTTAAGCTGCATTATCTAATTCACAAAATGATCTAAGGCTCTATTTACTTACCTAGGGCAATATGGGTTGAAGTGAATTTTGTTGTTCTAGTTGAGATTTTTTTCACAATTTTGATGAGATCAGTCTTGCCATGCTGTCCTAGTTTGGAATGGATGGTTACTTTTCCCCCATATGTTAACAGTGCAATCTGAAGTAGATACAAATGGGGAATTTGTTGAACAGAATCTTGATCCCTTTATGAAACTGGAGCTTTGAATTGAATATAAACAGTGAACAAAGTCAATATTTCACCAGGTATTTATTTGTTGATAGAATACCTGGTAATATGTGAAGTCATAGCGGCGGCCTGTAGTAATGACATTCCTTAAATATATATGTGGTACCTTGCCCCCTTTTCTAAGTGTAATACTTTTCTGTAATGAAATAAATATTTTACATACACCAAATATATACCTGCAGTCCTTCAGTCCTATTGAGCATAGCTGGTTCCAGTATTGTTTTTTGAACATTCAAATAGTTTTTGAAAAAATCAAGCAAAAGAACAATATCCTTTGTCTTGATACTGTTTGACTTGTCCAGAATAAACACCACATCGGCAGCTGCACAACAGGGCTGCCCTACAAAGTATTTCAAGCATCTTATTTCCTACTTGGATTGAAGATATTGATTTTGAGTTAAAAGATTCATGGTCTAATGTACAAAATCTAGAAAAAATAATTTGTGCAAGTTACATTCATTATTTTGTATTTTGAGCTTTTTGTCTTCTTTTTTTATCTGCTGAAATTGTCCATCATTTTCACAGTAATCACTGACAAGTTCCATGACAGAACAAAAATAAGTTGATTGCAAACCATTTCAGCTCCTTAGGTGAATGGCAAAAAGGTATACTTGTTCATGACATTCTTACCTGTTCCATATAACAAATGAATATTTATTGTTTGATCCTTATTAACCCCAAGGTTCGAACATGGAATCAACTCTGGATGATAATCATGTTGTCCAACATGCGCAATTCTTGGCAAAATTGACCACTCATCTACCCCACTTGCATCTATTATATTACTTTTAGTTGGAGGAATCCTCACCACTTGGATGTTTATCGAGCCTTCTCTCTGTATTTCAAGTGCTGCATTCATAGTTTTGGTTTTTACTTCATTTATGTCAGTATAGAAATCTCCTCTAGTGATACCATCAGTGAAGATTATGATGTGATCGGAAAAGCCATTCTTATCTTTATTTTTGAAAAGTTTTCTACATGCGTCTAGTGCTTTATATGTTAGGGCTTGGCAGTCAGTACATTCTTCATTCTTTGTTTCTCCCCACACTTCTTTTATTTTCTCAACCTCTGAAGACCATGGCAGTATAACTTTTGCATCTTTGCTATATGTCACCAATGAAAAACTTGGATTTGCAGCTTTGTCAAGTATTGTAAGGATGTCATCTTTTACACTTTTCAGAACCTCGGCTCGCCGTTCTTCAGTCTCACGGCAAGATGTCTGGACAATGAAGCAGTAATCATCAAAGGTTTCATCTAGAATATAATAAAATATGATATAGCAGCAAATGTCAATATCAAGAACCATAGGGTGAAGCCTGTAGGGTGTAGATTATGTAGTTTGTATTTATATTTATAAAGCCAGGAATTATTTTAAATCACTTACTTTTGCATCTTGGTGGGTATGTTTGTGGTGACAGACGAACACCATAGCGGTCTCGCAAACTCTGTATACCCACTGCTTCACTCATGGGCAGACTACACAGCATTACCAGTGTTGTGATTATAAGAATCGACATTGTGGACAAATGCAGCTTGAAAAGTATGAAGAGCAGCAAATGAATTTCAAATTATATTAAATATTGACAATTGCATCTTCATTTACTGAATAGAGTATTGAATTGATCATTCAATGCAGCAACAAAACTATCAAGAATTCTTAATTTGACAATAGAAAAAAAAATTTCTTGTTTCTCTTATTTCAAATTCTGAAACATTTGTGACATGTAGAGATATTCTTTCCAAATGTACATAGATGTGTGTTTTAAATGTTTACATGCAAAGCCTATTTCATCCATAAACAGAATTAAATTAGTGTAACTAAGAAGCAGTTTTCAGTATATTTTGTCCATCATTTCTTATCATTTCTGTTAAGTAAGTAATGAAAGAATATATACATTTATTTCTCAGCAAAGCCTTTTTTCTGAAATATTCAAAAATTCAATCTCACTAGGAAATAATGCGAATAGAAAAGAAATTAGTAAAAACTTACCTGTTGTTCACTGTGTAAAAGTGAATCCTTACATAAAAATATCTAGTTTTTATACATTTGGAAATAATAGAATAAATTACTTTTACCACATTATATTGTGGTTGATCAGATTAAAACTCCTCCCACTTACACTGACTGTTCAATCAGCTATATTATTTTTTGTTATACCACTGAACGAAGTTTGAGGGGGATATAGGAAAGCTGTCTGTGCGTCCGTCCGTCTGTCTGGGCGATAACTCAAATACCGGTTGACTGATATGACTCAAATTTTATAAGCTTATGCCTTATGGCGATAGAACCTCTGCTCGAAAAAGAATTTTCAATATGGCCGCTTAATTCAAAATGGTCACCATTTGGTTCAAATTTTATATGCTGATGCCTAGGGTCAAAGTAGGTACGCTTAATAGGAGATTTTCAAAATGGCTGCTAAATATTAAAATGGCGGCCATTTTTCATAAAGAATGTAATCTTTGATAACTCAAATACCAGTGAATGGATTTGGTTTAAATTTTATATGACGATGCTTAGGGACAAAGTAAAATTGTTCAAGAAACAATTTTTAAGATAGCGGCTGAATTTCAAAATTGCAGCCATTTTTCTTAAAAAACGTAATCTTTGATTGCTCAAATATTAGTTGAAATGGCCGCTAAATATCAAAACAGCGGCCATTTTTCTTAAAAAACTCAAATATCAGTGAACAGATTTGGTTCAAATTTTATATGCTGATGCCTAGGGACAGAGGAGCTACCCTGAAGAAGAGATTTTCAAAATGGCTGCTAAATATCAAAATGGCAGCCATTTTTCATAAAAAAACAAATACTCAAATACTAGTTGACGGATTTGGTTCAAATTTTCAAGAAAGAATTTTCAAGATGGCGGCTGAATTTCAAAATGGCTGCCATTTTTCTTAAAAAATGTAATCTTTAATCAAATACTAGTTGAAGGATTTGGTTCAAATTGTATATGCTGATGCCTAAGGATAAAGGAGCTACGCTGAAGAAGAGATTTTTAGGATGGCTGCTAAATATCAAATTAGCAGCTATTTTTCATAAAAAAATCTACATCTGCTGAATTGAACACTTTAAATATTGAATGCATCCTTTGTATATACAAAATTTACATTGAAAGTTTAAGGTCATGACTTTGAAATTAATTTAAGAGATTTTTGAAAGTTTAACCTTTAACTTATTAATACAATTTTACACCCATTGGAAAGACTGTACTGTGACTGGTTGAACTGAGTTGTATCAATCATACATTTAACTGCATGTTGCATGGCAAATAAGGTACAAATCATAAACAAGGAAGTGCAAAATAAGATAGGTAAATAGAATAAATGATAGTCAATAGAAGACTTAATTTTCCCCCAAAATTTTGACAATATTTGGCTTCTGACAAAAGGCGAATTATCGAAAACAAACAGAGATTTTGGGCACTCGCCCCCTGCTATTGAAAGCCCAGCTCTTGGTTAAACCAGTTGAGAGGTGGACAACAATCCCGGGAGTGTTTTTTGTTTAGCACAGCAAAAAATGTGTACGAATACAACGAATCCTGACGTCAGGATACATACAGGATATGCACCCAGTGTGCCAAACCTGTATGAATCCTGATGCCTGGATACATACAGGATTGGCACCGAATGTACATATCCTGTACATATCCTGTGTCAGGATTTATACAGGATTGGCGTGTGTAGGAATCCAGTATGAATCCTGCATCTGGATTCATACAAGATACGCTCGCAGTGTGCCAATCCTGTATGAATCCTGATGCCTGGATACATACAGGATTGGCACACAATGTACATATCCTGTACGTATCCAGGCGTCAGGATTTATACAGGATTGGCGCGTGTAGGAATCCAGTATGAATCCTGCATCTGGATTCATACAGGATACGCTCGCAGTGTGCCAATCCTGTATGAATCCTGACGCTTGGATACATACAGGATTGGCACACTGTGTGCATATCCCGGATTACATATCCTGCACATAATTTACAAATTATTGATTGCTATTGTTACTAAAATTTATTACAAAATCCATGTTAATTTGATAAAAAAACAATATTTCAATTTTTTCAATCAAACAAATAATCTACTTTCAAAAGTACCTGTACTAGTATCCAAAAGTGAATTTCATTAAAATAAGAATGAACATTTTGCCATTATTCACAATTATTTTTTCCCTGGACTATTGTGATTTGATATTTGATGCTTAAGAAGCTATAAGACAAATAGTATATATAAATAGCAATATGACATACTTTTAAAGAGCCTAATGTCTGCAACCATTTTATAACAGACTTTCAATTAAAAGCCCATTATAACACATAGTCGCAATGGTGGAGGGATTTGGATATTTGGAATTCCCCTGGCGATTTATCATAACTTATCTGTTTTCGATATTGTTGGTATTTTGCAACCCTTTAATATTCAATTAGCGCTTCAAAAAAGTATTGTTTTTCAAAAGGTAGGTCAAAAGGGTCAAATCGAGGTCAACATGACATTTTGTGATAAATTGTTAATGTGCGAAAGTACGAAATACGTAGTACAGGTATGTTCCAGGCGTGACGAGGCGTTTTTATTAATGTTCTACGAATCTAGATTTTATATCACTTGAAACAATGCATAGCCCTTGGTGAGAGGGGGAGGGGAATTACAGACATCTAACATAGCGTTTTAGTTATGTATAATCATTAATCAAAACAAATAATACCAATTAGTCCACCTTTCTGATTACATTTTGTCCATGTATTTCTGGACTTATTTACTTAAGCATTTAGCCAATATGATACAATTAACTACACTTGCGTCAGCCCTTCATCTCCATGCAAATATAATTGTATTCATGTTCGACGGGGAATAAGAATTTGTTTACCGGCACCCCTGATCATTATCAAGCCCCCTCTAGATATCAGGCCCGTCACAGGCACGTATCCAGGGGGGTTCGAGGGGTTCGATTTACCCCCCCCCCCGCAAATAAAATCTTTCAAAATCATGCGGTTTTTCACCATTCTGAACACTTTTTAAGTGATTTCGGCCATTTTTGGACCAACATTGGCACAAGTAAACCCCCCTTTGGAATTGTTCAAGAAGTGAACCTCCCATGGCAAATCCTGGCTACGGGCCTGCGTCATACTGTATGGCTAAAACTCCGGGCTTTCGCTGGAGAGGCGTGCCTTAGACTACCCATGACCCGGAGGTTAACTTAAAAGTAACGCAAGGTAGATAAAACTGTATTTAAGGGAAAAGAACTACTGTACAGTGGGCCCCTGGCTTAGTCAAAATAATGTACATTTATTGTTTACTCTGGAGTTCAGATGGTAAAATAAGCAACAGATGAACTCTCTTCTTTTGATAAGCTAAAACTATTGAAAGGATAATTGCTATTGTTATAATCGCTATTACCAGTGAAAATTCAAATTCACTAATGATGATTGATAATTTAGCTACAAGCCCCGCCATGAGTGTGTGAATTTTGGCTGAAATAGAGGGGGATAGTCTGGAGGCAAGATTTTTTGATTGCATATACCGTACTTGTTTTCAGGCATCATACTATTTCCATGAGTGAGTGTCAAATTTTAGGACTCATTTTCCTTCTTTTCCTTCTCATGCGAATTTCAAATACGATTTGCAAATGCATCCTAAAATCTGATTACGTTAATGCTCATCCCCCCTCCTCCAATGTGATGCCTGTCTACTATAATTACAAATGCGCAAGGGAAACAGTTTAAATGGAATGAAATGTATCTCAAATCAGTCTCAAATGCTGAATGCTATGGCCGATATAATTATTTGGTTCTACACGCCTCTTCATCATTAACATGGTGACTCTTCGACCTAGACCGTGCTTTTGTGTATCAGTTGGAAGACTGGTTTGTCTCGTTTTCGTCGACTGGTGCCTAGATGCATTTGTAGACGCAACGCACATTCCAGGGCGCACATTTCAGTACTATGTCATTTATGAAAAAATTGAATTGAAAGGCATCACATAGAGTGGAGGGGGGGAATGATCATGATCAGAGTTGTGGCTAATACTTATTGTTAAGAATAAGATATGTCTGAAAACAAATATATAATATATATTGTACCTGTTGTATATGTTATAATATCAAAGTAAATTGGATTATTTATATACATGTCGTCTAGTTCGGATGTTATTTTAACAAATACAGCAATCAGACGGCGTATTCGCAATGTAACTTATGATATCAGTTCTCACATTTGTAAAGCCAAGGGAAAATGAAATCTGAATTAAAAATGCTTTTTCTAGCATCTTGTCTCAGAGTAAATTATATTTTGAAAATCGTTTTGACTCATAATCTTTAAGTGTACATACTAAATGGCGACAATGACATACATAGAGTCTACATATGCATCACGCGAGGATGGATGATGAACATGTACTTTACATCTGCACGTTGTCAATATCTATATCGGCGGTTGATGTCTCATCTTCCCAAAATAATTAAAGTGATAATGTTCAAAAACAGAATATGATGTGTATTATTGTCTTGCATCACTATAGGAGTAATAATTTGATTAGAAACCCGGGATTAGAATAACTCTCCGAATCTGAATCATATATTTGAAATCGAAGTAATGCTCCGGGTACAATGACCCGTGTCTTCACCATTTACTCTCAATCCTGATTATCTATCAATGTCTCCAGTGAGTTTGCTTCTGTGTGCCTCTCCAAGTAACATTTCTAAATGCATATTTTACACATATCGCCGAACGTGGGCCCGGGACTTGAAAAACAGACGTAGACTTCGACAGTGCAAGGGGGGGGGATTATAATGTTGTAACTTTTTGTTTTGTCAAATAGCTGAAATAGTTTGCCACAAATTAGAGGCAAGTTTAAGAAATGAGACTAGAGGCAAAGAATAATTATATTCATAAAATCTAAAGTAATTCCTCGATGATCTCTTCTGTAATCAAGGTGGTACACTTCCGCAGTTATAAAAACAAAGACATACACTAAGTAATTAATCTTTTGTTATCATTTAATATTAGTTACTTACAGCATTAATTTGTCTTGGATTTCCAAGGTATAATGTTTTGATTGAAAATCAAACTGGGAAACGAGTATGCTCCTTACAGATGTGAATATCAAATCCTGTGAAGAGAATCAATTCAAACTCACCCCCCCCCCCCCCAATCTAGTGTCTCTTAATTACAATTATTTCGCAAATGAAACAATCCAAAAATGTTGATATGTCAACATAATTTTGCAGAACTGAACGAAACGAAAGGTGGGACAAATCAGATTAAATATTCTATTCTGGATATGCACAAAAGGCAACAGTTGAAGAACTAAACAAAACAATTCACGATCCTACAACAGATAGCCGTTTGAGAATTCTGCTTTATGGTCCGCTTCTATAGTGCCCCCATTGTCCCTGTTTGAGATACATATGCTACAAGGAAGAGACGCTGCAGTAGAAGAATAGTAAATCCAAAATTAAGATCATATTTCATTGTCTTAACATTAATACTTTCATGTAGTGTCAAATATTTAAACCCTGAGCATTTTAACATGTTGCATATTCGTCATCAAATCTGATCATATACCCCCCCCCCCCCCATCTGCAATCATGATAGAAATCTGACTTCCGGTCTCAAAACTGAAAAATAAAATTATCGATACCCTAACCAATTGACCAACCGACTGAACCACCCCCGGGGAACCACCTACCCATCGATTGACTAATCAAGCAAACTACAAAACATCCAAGCAACCAACTTTCAAAGGAAGCGACCAACTTTGCAATCACCAGTCAACAGAACGCAAGAAACTGACCAAGCAAAAACAAAGCAAGCAACCAAGCAAGTGTGCAACCATATAAGCAACAAACAAAGCGAGGAACCAAGCAAGCAGCTAATTAAGTAACTTTACATGGAAATACACGTAAGAAAGCAAATGAACAACAAAAAATCCAAGTTGAGGCTGATATGGACATCAACTGCACACATTTGATTAATTTAATGCAAATTCCAAGTTCAAAATGAAGCACAAAGGTTGACATTTGAGAACATAACTGATACCAAAAGGACGCGTGAAGACAAAGCTACATTTTCTAATTCTAGATGCTCTTACTGGGTAATACTTTTCAGGGTTACTTAAAGAGAGAATCAGATCTACCGAGCAAGCCAAAACGTTTCAATATGTCTGACTTATATCACTCATTGCCATGTCTAAAAATCTCCAAAGTATCTGTATATGCAATACATAATATACCCTTCAACCAAGCTCTGCATTCTAGCACTCGGATAGTTGGTTGATTGACAATATTGACTTACACGATATGTAATGGCTAAACTGAAGTGACGATCAACTCCCCCATCCCCGGGCCCCTATCCCAGGTGCCCCAAATGTACACTCATTTCTTGAAACGGTCCTATTTCAATTCTTTCCGGCCTAGGGAAAACCTTTTAAGATTTTTTTTGATTTTTTTTATTTTTTTTATTTTTTTTTTATTTCTCTATTCAAACAGTACAAGTACAATAATTAGAACAGTTCAGATATTTTTCACACCACCTCCATTCATTCAGACATTTGCAGCAGTCATAATTTTAAGTTCAGGTACATAATAAAACATATTTTTTTCAAATTGCGCCTCATACAGATTGGTATTCACTTCGTCGAACTCTTTGATAAAAATATAGTACTTAATTGCAAGGGTAAGTCTATCTGGTAAGATATTTTTCTTATTAGCTTGCCTTCCAAAAACCATGTCCTGGGCGTTAAAATCGATATCGACTTTAAATAAACGCTTTAAATTCCCTTTGATTGCTTTCAGAAATATTTGAATCCTTTTGCACTCCCAGAATTTGTGTTTTAACGTATCTCGAAAGGCACAATAGTTCCATTTAGAGTCATTTTTAATACCTATCTGCGCTAAAAAGGCATTTGTAGTGCAGATACCATGAAGTATTTTAAACTGAAGGTGTCGCTTTTTATTCTGTTTCGTGCACATATAAGGCATTTTAAAATAATCGATTCTCTTTAATTCACGATCATGTTTGTCTTTATATAACGGTTCCAAGAACTTGTTTCCATTTAATATTGTTTGAATTGATTTTACCGTTATACTAGAGATTGTCACCTGTTTTTCACCAAGTTTCAAATACACGAGTTCTTCCTGTATGCTGGGTTCAAAGGTCGAATTTAAATCTGATTTCAATAGAGATTTCCAATCATTTGGTATAGCCGATATGATTGAAAAATACTCAAGAAAGTTGATATTAATATTATACTTAGTCTTAAACTCATTGTACTGTAAAAAACCCCCATTCTCGTTAAGAAGGTCATTAATATAAATGACTCCCTTTTCCATGACATGTTGGTACATCACCTCCTTATCATTAATTAGAATTGATTTGTTATTCCAAATTATTTCACCTTTAACCCCTGAACTGGTTCTAGGCGGCAACATATTTCTTAATTCTGAATAGTGTCGAAGCAAATTCATATAAAAGGTAGGAACACTGTGTGCCAGTGTTTTAATATCATAATTACACTGCAACAAAAAACTCAGTCCTCCAAGACGCTTGAAATAAACTTGAGGAATAAGCTTCCAGTGACTAGTTCGTGTGTCAAGTACACGTCTTAGCCACATTAATTTCAAGACCCCCATCCTCAAAATCCCCTATTAAAGTATTTCGCTTAATTTTCTCACCCTTTCCTCCCCATAAAAAAGAATAGACTAGTCGTTGAGCCTTCGTCAAGATATCATCAGGCGTATAGGTCATTGTCATCGAGTATATTAGCTTCGACACTGCCTGGGACTTAATTATGAGTACCTTTCCATAAAAAGTAAGATCTCGCTTTTAAGATGAATATATGTAAAGTGTTGATATTTTGCATTACACATATCAATTTTAAATTCAAGGTACAGAAAAACCAGTCGACGTTTTTTCGAAAAGGTAGAACTGTATATCCAAAACCCGGATCTAAAACAATATCTTATTGCTATTAATTTATTGTCCAGTTCTACCTTTGTTATTAATGCCAAATTCTGTTGTTTGTAAGAAACATGATGAGGATTGATTTCTATATGGCAGGTTACTTTGATTTTAAAGGCCTATGGTAATATTTTTACATCAAATTTTAGTTGTTTATCTGTGATATCTAAAATGAGGATTTAAAAATAGTACTTCATAAAACCTAATGCATAGACTGCAATCAAGGCCCGGAATCGAGGTCCCTTGAATATCATACCCGTGAAAAACCAAAAATGCAATCAAACAAATATATACGTAGAGTAGTATTGTGTGGTTAAGATCAATGATCAAGGAAACCCATTCGTGGGATTCATACTTATCTGCTTATTGTTGATTTTTTTGTTTACAAGAAAAGGTTTCGTACACGTATTGATATTGTCCTTCGTAATAAAACCCATATTGAGTCCCTACCAGTAAATAACCACTATACGTACATTTGCAAAATATGGCCGCCATAGAATATTTGGGAGTCTAGGCAAGATACATGTACCAATTGTCCCATCCTTTCATCATCAATCCCTTAATCGATTTATAATAGTGAGCTTAAACCGGATTAAACCATCTCCCTCAAACTTATACAAATCTTGACTTAGAGTACGTAAAGGATTGGTACACTCTGTGTGCATATCATTTGTATCCTGGCGTCAGGATGCATACATGATTCGCGCACAGCGAGCCTATCCTGTGTGAATCTTGACTCAGGATACGTACAGGATTAGCACACTGTGCATATCCTGTATAAATCTAGGCATCAGGATTCATACAGGATTGGCACACTGCGAGCGTATCCTGTATGAATCCAGGAGGCAGGATTCATACTGGATTCCTACACGCGCCAATCCTATATAAATCCTGATACAGGATATGTTCAGGATATGCACACAGTGTGCCAATCCTGTATGTATCCAGGTGTCAGGATTCATACAGGATTCGCTCACAGCGAGCATATCCTGTATGAATCTTGACTCAGGATACGTACAGGATTGGCACACTGCGTGCATATCCTGTATGAATCCAGGTGTCAGGATTCATACAGGATTGGCACACTGCGAGCGTTTCCTGTGTGAATCTTGACTCAGGATACGTACAGGATTGGCACACTGCGTGCATATCCTGTATGAATCCAGGTGTCAGGATTCATACAGGATTGGCACACTGCGAGCGTTTCCTGTGTGAATCTTGACTCAGGATACGTACAGGATTGGCACACTGTGTGCATATCTTGTATGAATCCAGGCGTCAGGATTTATACAGGTTTGGCACACTGCGAGCGTATCCTGTATAAATCTTGACTCAGGATACGTACAGGATTGGCACACCGTGTGCATATCTTGTATGAATCCAGGCGTCAGGATTTATACCGGTTTGGCACACTGCGTGCATATCCTGTATGAATCCTGATGTCAGGATTCATTGTATTCATACGCATTTTTTGCTGTGTAGTTCAATACTAAACAAAACATGAACTCTCATGGAGAGGCCAACAAAACTGCAAGGGAAACTTTACATCCTCCTTTTGAAAACATTATTCACTATTATATTGTGAACCTCGTATATGTCAATAAAATAACTCAAGTAAATACATTACGCATAGAGAAAATAGAAGTTTGTTCATGTTTATGTGGAGGCCAAATACAAAGTTGGCATATTTAAACTTTGTTTGTCAAAAAGAGTACAGTACTTCTTATGTTGTCAGATTATTTCATAAGTCACTTTAACCATCGGAAAAGTGCAGTACAAATTAATGGCATACCAGTTTAATAACATTGCATACTGGTATTACCAGGGGATAAATGTATTACATACCTCTAACCAGTAGATAACTGTACTATACTATTGGATGATTGTATAACATTCCATAGCCATTGGATAAGAGTATTACATACAAGAGAATAAATGTATTACAAACCAGCGGATATTTTTATTACATACCAGTGAACAACTGTATTATATACCTGTAGATAACTTTATCACATGGTTAGGAGTTTCTAAGCATTTTGATTGGTCAATTGTGACAACGTATATTCCATATCACATGACATGTGACTAATTTTCATGTGATATGGTGGGCTGTATTACTACGGAGTGAATAGTAACAATATGACATCTCTGGTTATATCACTTCGTAGCTAAAGAAAACAGTATGACCTCATATTATTTCACTATTAAGTATGAATACAACAGTGTCACTCATATTATTTCAAAGCGAACTTTCAAAACACACAAAATCATAATAGTTACCGAGAGTACAGAGTACAGAACACAATCATAATGATCAAATCAAAATGCTTCAATTCAAAATTCCAAGACATGTGATAAAATCGTCATCAAACGTTTCAGCTTTTGTGATACAGGAAATATTCCACTCGGGTAAGAATATATCACCACTCAAGCTTCGCTTTCGTGGATGAAACAGTATTACCTTTCATGCTGAAACGTGTGATAACCGATATTATTACATACCAGTAGATAACAGTATTACATACCAGCACATAATTGTAATACATACCATAACCTTTGGATAACTGTATACCAGTGGACAATGGTATTACATATAAGAGGATAAATGTATTTCACACCTGTAGAAACTGTATTATTTACCAGTGGATAACTGTATTACATACCATAACCATTGGATAACTATATACCAATAGATAACTGTATTACATACCAGTGGATAACTCAGTATTACATATCAGCAGATAACGATTACTCATCCATAATGGAAAGAACAACCTTGGTGCTGTTTTTTCTTGCTGTATGTTTCATGAATGTGAAAGGATTATTGGTAAACCAATCATGGGCTGAAGAGCTACATGAGATCAAATACAACAAAACAAGTGAAAACTCTGTGCTCCAAAATCATCAGTGTCAGGAGTGCAACTGTAGCTTGGAAATTGCAGACTGTAGTGCTAGGAACATAGATTCGCTACCTTTGGATCTCCCAGGAAATATAACAATGCTGAATTTATCGAGAAATGATATCAAAAACCTAACCAACTTTTTCATCGGTAGAGATTATAAAGACTTACAGAGTTTGGACATAACATACAACTCCCCAGTGTTGCATCTGCATGAAAATGTATTTGAAGGACTTGACAAACTGCAGAAACTTTACATTGGAAAATTTGCAATTGTACATCCTCTTGTATTCAAACCTTTAAAGGAGATACGAATCATTGAGGTGAAAGGAGATGGTAGCCGCCTGTCAATTTTTTCTGTTGCAAGAGATGCTTGGCTCAGAGCACTTAGAGGACTACAAAATTCAACCATTGAGAAAATAACTTACGAACACATATCATCAATACCATTTATATTAAGAAAAAAACATTTCAAATATTTTACAAATTGCCAATTAAAAGAATTATATTTACCCCATAATATGATATCTGCAATAGAATCAGGCTTTCTAAACTATCTCCCAATGCTGGAAATACTAGATTTATCCAGAAACATGATAGCCACACTCATTCCTGTTTCAGTTACTTTTAATATGATTCAGTTATTTAAAATGACTCATTTGAGGGTATTAAGGTTAGATGATATGAACAATAGGGTTGTTAAAGACCTTAACCGTCCTCATATCGAAAAATGTGTAGATACAGAATGGCCCTTACCAATGGGACTTGAGGAACTCAATTTTAAGTGGGCTTCATTTGATGATCAACCAGCATCATTTCCCTGTGAACTTAAGGTCCAACCAGAAAACAAGCTAAAGGTTCTTAATGCTGCTTACACAAATGCTGTGATCTACTTTGGGGGTCCTTTGAAAGGATTGGTAAATCTACAGCATTTAATTTACAACAACAATGATTGTAAAATTGAACCTGATTTTTTCACATGTGCAAGTGGCTATTTTGAAAGTTTACAAGTTCTAGATTTAGCCTACAACAAAGTCTTATTGACGAAATCAAGCTTGAATTTTTCTCTCTTTGAGAACTGTTCCAAGTTGGTACATTTAGACCTATCATACAATAACTTGGCAGACATTCCTTCTGATATGCTAAAGGACGCATCTTCCATAGAGACTGTGAACCTAAGTGGAAACAAGCTGGTCAAATTTAATTTAGACTTAAATGCACAAATCTCCCTGGAATTGCTGAACTTATCAAATAACAAACTTCATGGCCTCATTGAAGCTGCCAGAAATAGTATTGCCAATTCTGATGAGAGATCCAATGGCAGCCTCACCATTGACCTTAATGGCAACCCATTGATGTGCACCTGCGATGCATTCCCATTCATAAATTGGATAAAGGATCACATGGACGTCATCTTTCAAGGGTCTGATCTAGAATGTCAGTATATAAATGGGTCACAGATAAAGTTCACACACTTGGATGTATCTCACATGAAGATTGCGTGTTTGAAGAGTGCTTTTATAGCATCTGGGATATCAGTGGCATTCGTTCTGTTGATCGTTGGAGTTGTTATTTATGGATATAAGCGAAGGTATAAGATTATTTACATAGCTTTACATCTAAGGGCAGCGTTGAGGCGTAACAACTTGCCAGGCATAGACTATGACTTTGATGGTTTCCTAAGCTACAGTTCTTTGGATAAAACCTGGGCTATTAATAACATCTATGGTCAGTTAGCTGGTCAGTATGGATATAACATTTGCGTAGATGACCGCAACTTCAGACCTGGCACATATTTATCTGATATTATCGTTGAGAGTATTAGCAAGAGCAACAAAATCATACTGGTTATCAGCCAGAACTTCCTAAGAAGTGGCTGGTGTAAATTTGAAATGAATCTTGCAAGGGGTGAGCTGGCCACAAGAGGACGCGACTGCTTGATCTTGATTCTCAAAGAGCCAAAAGAGTTGCTTCCCCAAGAGCTGATCACACCAACACTGCGCTCTCTACTAGATACAAGGGTGTACCTGGTGTGGAGTGAAGAAGAGGACAGAAAATTGCTGTTCTGGAGGAAGCTGCAGGATGCTCTAGGGGAACCTAGATTTAAGGGAGAAGAAGATACTCCCTTTCTCTATCAGAACAATGATGGAGATGAGGAGATGCTTCAAAACCTCATATGATTACCACTTAGAGTTGATATCTATAGAGATAAGGAGATTCTTTAGACTTATAAAATTAACACTTAGACTTGATGTCTATAGAGATGAGGAGATACTAGACTTAAATAATTGGCACTAAGACTTGATGTGTTTAAATATGGCAAGATGCTTAGAAACCTCATATAGTTATTGGTTAGACTTGATGTGTATAAATGTGAGGATATCCATTAGACTTTCATAGACTTGATGTTTATAGACGAGGAGATACTTTATGCTCTCATATAATTATAATTTATACTTGATGTGAGAGACAAGGAGATTCTTTAAACTATCATATAATCACCACTCAGACTTGATATGTATAGAGATGAGGAGATAGTTTAGACTTATATAATTATCCCACAGAACAAAGTCTATCATTGATAACTCAAATTACTGCTAAATGCTGCTAAATATCAAAATGGCAGCCATTTTTCGTAAAAAAACTCAATCGCAGCAAACAGATTTGGTTCAAATTTTATATGATGATGCCTAGGGAAAAAGTAAATTTGTTCAAGAAAGAATTTTGAAGATGGTGGCTGAATTTCAAAATGGCTGCCATTTTTCATAAAAAAACGTAATCTTTGATAACTCAAATACTAGTAATACTAATAATGCTAATGCCTAGGGATAATATGAGGTTATATAATGGTTCTTTCTGTATATCGTGTTTATACTCGAGTGAGTATATGATATATTCACAAGTGAGCGTAGCGAACGAGTGAATATATTATATTCTCACGAGAGTATAAAATGCACGATATACAGAATGAACCATTATATAATCTTATTATGCCACTCTAAGTTCAATTACAGTTGATTCGAACACAATCATAACAATTAAAAACCATAAAAATATCCCATTGACAGCCAACTCAATAATGCTGATGTTGATTTATGACGTCACTTGATTCTAGGAAATCATGATTTTTTTCATTATCTCCCAGAATGCACTTCTACAGTGGTATACGCTGGAGTGTATACGGAGGAGTTGTATACGATGACGATATACCACTCTCCACTGTATATCGTTGTTATAGACCCATGTTATACAACTGTAATTGGACTTAGAGTGGTATAAAGGAGCTTACGCTGAAGAAGAGATTTTTTGGCTGCTAAATATCAAATTGGATAAAGGATCTTTTAGAGTTATATAATTATCCAACCGAACGAAGTTCAAGGGGGATAGAGAAAAGTCCTCCGTCCGTATGTTTGTCCTGGCGATAACTCAAATACTGGTTAGTCGAAGGATTTGGTTCAAATTTTATATTCTGATGCCTACCATGATGAAAAGATTTTCAAAATGACTGCCATTTTTCGTAAAAAAGGAATGTATCTTTAATAACTCAAATGCTAATTGACGGATATGGTTTACATTTTATATGTTGATGCCTAGGGACAAACAAGCTCTCCTCAAGAAGGAATTTTGAAAATGGCCACTAATAAGCAAAAAATGTTTTGTTCGGTGAGATTTGCTACTCTATGGTGTTGCTGTTTTTCTAGTTAACTTTGTAAACAAATGGGAAAGAAAAAATATAAATTACTCAAATTACAGATTAGACAGACCCATTAGGGAAACCTAATTTTCAAAAATAGAATGAGTTTTGTTTTATTCCCCGCAATAATTTTCTACTGTTGTGTTTGGACACATGCCTTTAATTCTGACATGGGATGAGAATTTTGATGTGGCATAAAAATAATATGTATTATTTATCATCAAAACCACACCCTGGTTCCAATAAACTATACCATTTATCAAACCATACCTCAGGAGATGCCTGCATGATACTTAATATGCAGAGATACATTATGAGTGAACTTTTTTAACCATCCACTTGTTCGAGATTATTGTTTGTCAATAGCTTTCAACGGATAAAATTGAAAAAACTCTAAAGTTTGCTTGTTCAGTGTGTACCTTGTAACAGAAAAAATAATGTCTGTAGAGCCTAATGAGCAGAAAACTGTGAAAGAAAATATAGATGTCTGTGATTGTATGAAATGTCAGCCAAAGATCAATATTTTTCAAAACACTACCCAAAAAATCTCAATCAGTAATATACCCCCAACGTTTTAATAAAAGAAATCATGAACAGCAAAATTAAAATACTAAAAGATCTTGCCAGATTCCTCCTAGAGTGTGACAAAATAAGGACATTTTAATAGTTTGTAGCATAGTATGTATATAAGCCTATTGTAGGTATTTTCATGTGTTTAACATCCATCTATTTTGTACCGTAATATGTATATAATGTAGCAATTTTTGTAAGTCTATGGTACCATTATGTTAATAACATATTTGGTGTTACTATTTTCATAGTTTAATTTACAACTGATGACCGTCTTATATACTGTAGACAAAAAAGCATGTAAAAACTGTATAGTGACCCATATGTCGGAGAAACTGACATGTTTCAAAGTAGATAAAAGATATACAGTGAAAATTCTCTTTTACAGCATGGGAAAATTATTTTCCTCAAATCACCAGGAGTTATCATTCGTGTACTCATTTTGAACCATCCGATTCAAACTTTGTCTTACTTATTTCAAGATTGCCTCAATTACACTATACTAATTTTACACTAATTTTATGTTGTTATTTTTGGTTAGAACTGTTACCATTCCTCATGTCAATTTATATAGCAGTCTGCAAAACCTGAAAGCAATTGAGAAAAATTAACAGACCTTGTATTGAAAAAATTAATGGTAACTTACAAGGAAAAATTTAAATGCTGAACTGTTTCATCTATAAAATGAAACTAACGATTAAAAAAATAATTTTTTAAAACCTCCAGCATATTAGCAAAATTAAAATTGAATGTTATCATGACACTTGACACTTCTTTACTCTTAATTTTGAAAGAATCAATATTAAAGTTTCACTTTCCAAATTCAAATAATTAAAGGGTGTGTTTTCAGAAAAAAGTAGTTTAGAGCTTATTTTTATTTGTCTCATTGTGAAACCACCTACATGTATGTACATGCGTTGTATTAGGATCCCTTTTACATAAAAATACAATAAAATGGATATAACAAAGTATATTATTTGAATAACAATAGTTGTTTTTCAGTTACATCCTTGTTCAAGAGGTTAGCCACATCTGTATAAATAAAATGAAATGTTTTTTATTATCATTTTAATTTTGTTATAATATATTCAAAAACCTAAAAATGTCAATTTATTTATTTATAATTTTAATGCTAACCACATCCCACTTGTTTTATTCTAGTATTCAAAATAATTAAAGGTACTGGTACATGTTGGAGTTGAGAAATGTTTATTATTAATTTTTGTAACCAATCAGTTCTTCATTTGTGCCTGCCATTCAATGTTGACATTTAGTAATTCTTACATTTTCTAGGTGCTGACATTTTACCACATTAACATAGCCCCTATTTTTATGTCACCATGAAGTACAGTAACCATGCACTGTTTTTCTACCCATGTTAGTGACCAAGCAGTGTCTTCATATGCCAATATGATATAGTACCAATGGTACAGCAATATTTAAAAGACAAATAAGAACACCTTTTCAACTAATGTCATTTGAACTCAGCATATATTTTATTTCTACATATTTTACAGAATATGTTTCAATGATTATTATGAACTTAGATGTCACTTTTATGTTGTTGTTGTTGTTTTAACCAGGTTTGATGATTTCCACATAAATCTTTTCATTATATTCCCCAACGACAGCTCTTCTTCTTGTCTGAAAGTAGAAACCAATGAAACTAAAATTTTCCCAATTTAAAATCAAATAATGATCTGCATTATCAGTAGATTTCTCTTCCTGGAATTCCAAACCTTGAACATTTTGGTATTTTCCAAGTTTGTACATTTATCTGATGGTATTGTTGTTGTTGTTACATGTTTCCATGATTAATTTATGATTACCTGGTTATGTCAATTATCAAAATGGTTTTGAATTAGTATGATATAATATTTATTTAAGACGACTGTCGCTTCATCAGCAATTAGCTTATGTTAAAGGAATATTCCTTGCCAGACCCTTTCTCTCTTGATATGGTAGCTTTAATCATATATATAGTTTCCATATTTAGCAAAACATGGGAAAATGTTTTAATATGGTCAATATTGATCATTTAAAAATCTAGTGCTTATTTCCAGTGAGCTGCTATCTTTTAAGATTTCTTGCAGGAAGTGATGTCATCAACTCTCAACTTCTATAACCTTGCCCATAACAGTATAAGAAAGTAGCACAAAATCAATTCTAGACAAGTGATCATTACTTTCTGTGCAAAAATATTTTCAGGGCTTGTCAACTTAGAATAAAAGAAGAGATTTTCAGAAGGATTAAATAAGATACAAAGTTGAAAAAGAATATTTAGCCGGTTTTGTAATTCTTAATAGCTCCTCACCTAATGCTATATGCAAAGTTGAGAGTCGATGACATCACTTCCTGTGTGAAATTTTAAAAGATGGCAGCTTACTGGAATTGAGCATCACATTTCTAAGTGATCAAATTTGACCATATCAAAACATTTTTGCGTGTTTTGCTTAACATGGCAAGCATATATATATGGTTATAGCTACCATATGAGGAGAGAGATGGTTTGGCAAGGAATATTCCTTTAAGAGTAGGTACAGTAATTAGTTTGAAAACAGGAAGAGTACAACTAAAATTGAACTTCCATTTGAGGAATTTAGGAAAGTGACCCAACTTGTATAAAAATTCCTGAAACTAAGCAATCAGTTTATGAAATTTAAGTTTTGAAAAGATTGCCTAGTTTAAAGGGCAACTAAGGACTGAAACTCTAAGATTTTGTGTTTACTTACTATTAATACATATCTCCTCAGTAAGGTGAATTCCCACCCACTTCAGGTCCTCAAAAACTCCACCCTCAGATGGTCTCTGCATGTCTACAATGGTACAGTTGATTGGTCTTGAGGCCATGTGCTTCCATTCCCGCTCATAGCCATCATTTTTGTCATTGTGATTTGGAAGCCCTTGTTTAACAAGAAATAAAATGAAGTCAAATGAAGCACATAGGGTAATCTTTTTATGAGTTAAGACAGAAATCAATTAATATAAAAACAGGAAATTAAACAACTAAAACTAAACAAAAAGGAAAGGACCAAGCTCCCCAAGAAAATAAATTGAAGATGTGTGGTTGCAATTGAAGGACTATTTCACCCTATAGTCTTCTCTTATTTGCATTCTACTATCTTCACCAATACATTCATCATATCTTTCCTTCCCAGAAATTTACATCAAAAACTAATGCTTAGATTAGCTTTACTTTTACCCACCAATTATGTACACCTCTGCTCCATATTTCTTCAACTTCAGAGCTGCTTTAATGGTAGAAGCTCCACTATCGACTCTTTTTTTCTTAACCTTCCAAGTTCTACCATCTGTTGCTAATACCACTATTTTCCTTACATGGTCATATTGTTTTCTGTTGGATGTCTTGAACTGCTTTAGTGCCATCTCTGGAACATATAATGTATGTATATGTAGCGTTCAATATATCAGTTCAATTAAAATATTGATCACTGTGTACTTGCATGTACAAATTTATTTCAATTGCTGTTAGTTGATATCCAGTTAATTTATATTCCTGGTATCTCATTAACATTTTAGCAAGAAGAGCCTATGGGACTGAGTAGGCATTGTCCATTGGTCCATTGGTCCATTGATGATCTTTCCATCAATCTTCATTTGTGCTTTTTTAAAACTGCTATTTGTCTAATAAGGTTGTGTGCAATTTATGTTATGTATTACAATTTCTCAAAGTATTCAAAGTTTTGAAAATTGCTAATATGATGTCAAACTTCTTATATATCTATGTTGGCACAGGTGGCATTGGGTCAGTTGAGGTTCTTTTCGTGGGTTTAATTTATGTGAAATCAATTCAGTTCACAAGTTTAGATATAAAAACTTTCTTTGAGTAGTTAATATTGAAAAAAAAAATATTTCTTCACTTTGTTTCGATATCCCCATTATGGCCATTAGTCTTCCAGAGCTGTATTAAATAATCATGTACTTACTTAATGCAATATGAGTTGAAGTATATTTGGTTGTTGTCCTTGGGATTTCGTTAACAATTTTAATGAGATCATCCTTGCCATGCTGCCCTAGTTTGGAATGGATCGTTACACCACCCCCATATGTCAAAAGTGCAATCTGGATTGAGAACAAAACAGGAAACATTTAAAAAACAAAATAGCACAAACCTTAATGCTGTATCATGTAATCAAAAAGTGATTCATTACATTCACAATGCAACTAGATACTGAAATGGTAACTTTATATCAAGTACTTGTATTTCTTAATACTATTTATGTCACTGTCACCACTCACTGTCACCCCCATGACAAAATATGCCACCTTTTTATGACTGATTTTCTTCATTTAGCACCATCATTTGATGTCAGTAATAGTGTTGACATTTTGTCATCACAATGCCCCGTTTCTTTTGTTTTAACATTATTTTATAGACTTCATAGATGCTATACCTGAAGTCCTTCAGATTTATCAATCATATTTGGTTCAACAATCTTATCTTGTGCATCTAGAAAATCATCTAGAAATTCTAGCAAATGGTCAACATTCTTTGGGAGAATACTGTTGGATCTGTCCAGTATAAACACCACATCTGCTGTACAACATGGGGGAACTGCAATAAAAATAAAATTCTATGAGGAATAAAATTAGACAGTATTTAATAAATTGGGAGGAGGGTTGACAACAATGTTGTCTGGATTAAGAATAAATATTGGGCTGAATGATTTTGAAAACATTAAGAGTGTCTAAGAATTTAGAAAATCATTTCAAGCATTTAGACACAAAGCAGGGAATATATGTTACTTTCTTACTTGTCTTATCTGTCCTGTATATTTCGAGTAATCCAATTTTTATAGTTTGGTCGTTATTTATCCCAAGGTGCAGGAATGGTACTGATGGTACATTAAACTGTGTTACTACATGATGTGGCAAGATGTTCCATTCTTCATCACCAGTTATTGCTACAGCATTATTGATGGGAAGGATCTTCACCACCTGGATGCTCATTGTGTTTTCTTTTTTCATCTTTAGTGCAGCAAGTATGGTTTTGTCTCTCGCATTTCTAATGGTAAAGCCGTCTTCCTTAGAAATACCATCTGTGAAAATTATGGTGTTATCTGGGACCCCATTATGAACTTTATTTTTGAAAAGTTCATGACATGCTTCTATTGCTTTGTATGTCACAGCAGTATGATCATCACATACACTTTCCACACTCTCTCTCCAAACGTCCTCTATATTCCCAACCTCTGTTGAACATGGCAGTATAACTGTTGCATCTTTGCTATATGTTACCAATGAAAAAGTAGGAGATTGGGTGCTGTGAAGGATTTCAAAAATGTCATCTTTAACACTTTTTAGTATCTTACTTCGATGGTCTTCATTTTCTCGGCAAGATGTTTGAATGATGAAGCAGAAGTCTCCTAAGGTCTCTTTATCTAAAATAGATAAATAGAGGTCATGCCATGGAAGGGATTGTATATTGGGTTTATCCAGAGGGAAACATGTATTATCTCAATTGTAAACTGAAGATACAATCCAACTGGGGATGATGTTTTATACAATGAAATGAAAATTCACCCTCTCCAATGTAAGAAAATTTAGGAAAATATAAAGTGTAGTCCCTAATTCAAAATCACTTACGAGAAACAACTTGACATTTGTTATCCCAGTATTCAGGGCCCAAGTTCAGCTCAAAGCCTTTTCTTTGCTTTGTTGTATAATTACTGTTTTTCATGAGGAGATGCCAGAAGTTGGGGTCACGTCTGCCATAGTGGTTTCTCAGCTCTGCGATACCCGCTGCTTCACTTGTGGGCAGGCTATACAGCATCAGTGTTGTGGCAATTAGAAGCAACATCATTGTGAAAAGCTGCTGTGAATAATTTTATACATTATAACCTACATTTACTATGAACATAATTTCTTCATGTTTGATGGATTCACGACAATGGAATTCAATGGTAAAAGTCTCTTATATTGATGTGAGTAGATACCCTTATACAAATTTACTGGCTGTCACAGCCCGCTGTCACAGCGCTCTCACAGCCCGCTGTCACAGCGCTCTCACAGCCCGCTCTCACAGCGCTCTCACAGCCCGCTGTCACAGCGCTCTCACAGCCCGCTGTCACAGCGCTGCGACAGCGCTGCGACAGCGCTCTCACAGCGCTGTGACAGCCCATCGGAATGTACCATGCAAATGAGGCTGCGACAGCGCTCTCACAGCATTTCCATATATGGCATTGATTATGCATCCTTCCTACACATAAATTTTAGTTACCTATAGCAACAAGACAAGAAGATAAGGGATATCAGAAAACATTTAGCTACCAAGACCCTGCATTTCCATCTAACTGATGACAATATATTTGCACCCTAGATCAAGTTTGCATTTAATTAGAAACTTTCTTTATGGATTCAAGCCAGCTTATATATCTATGCACTCCTTATTTGGTTTTTGCCTTGAATTCCATTGTTCAGTTTGAAAAATGTGTAATAGCTGTTATTGTACATGTACATGCAAATTTCCCCAATTGTATCAATTTTATCCTTTATGGTGCACTATAATGTCTATATGTGCTAATACATTGATATTTCAGACCTTTAGTTTAACCATGCAGTATGTACTAACTTGCACAAAATTCATTTCATTTGATCCTTTTTCTTAGATCACTAGAACATTCCAAAGGTATCTATAAATAATCAGTAGTACAATACCTTACATATGCTTTGTAAATTAGTAATGATATGATGGCCATTTCAGCATAACTCCTTTGTTCTTTCCTCATACAAAATTCCTGCTCTAACTGATTTTTAGTTTGAATTTTTTAACCCACAATGCATTGGTACTTCCTGCTGTGAGAGGGCTGTGAGAGTGCTGTGAGAGCGCTGCCACAAACTGTGGCTAAGAAAGCATGTTGCTGTAATTGATCCAGCCACTTAATTACTGTCACATCCCTCTCGCAGCGATGGATGGAAATAGAATGCTGTGACAGCGCTCTCACAGCGTTCTCGCAGCGTATGGATGTGAGAGGATTGTTGCTGAAATTGATCCAGCCATCATTTTAAGCCTATATGCTGTCACAGCGCTGCGACAGCGCTGTCACAGCGCTGTCGCAGCAATTATTTTCCGTAAGGGTAGTGATGTCAGTGAGTTGTAGTGATGTCACAATTAGGCCACACTGCTATAACTTTTTGATTTTGAGAGATTATCTTCTGTATTTCTTACTTTATTGAGTTATTTTTCACTAAATCGTTCGATTTGACTAGATCAACATTCATGCTAAGCACATACCAAGTCTAAGATCTTACTGACATGATTTAGATAGCGGTTAAGCGCCCCTGATTTTGAAAAAAACGGAGGGCGCTTATAAGGATCGATGTTTAGTATGAATTTCACCCAAACTTCGCACATTCATATATACATGTATATAGATAGACTCATGATCTAGTCAAATCGGCATACCTGGTAAATATTCGACCCATGGTTTCGCAAAAGGTCAATTGACACAGTAGTTCACAGAATAAAATGTGATTATGTTACACAATATCATTGTCAAACATTGTCTAAAGTAATATAGTAAGTCAAACAAATAATCAGTCACTTGAAACAATTAATGTAGAATCGATATTACAAACTGAACAAAATGTATAAATATATTAAAATGCAAATAATATAAGATGAGCTCACCTATCATGTCGTGTTGACAATAACATAAATGAGGAAAGCACCTGTTTCTATATTTGCGGAAGTGATGGAATAAATTATGTATTAATATGAATGTATGTAACAGCATCACCAAGATATAAAGAGACCCCACCAACCAATAATGGTCTATGTATTATGTCCTTCTGTTATGTTCAGTCTTTTATCATGATCCATAGAAATCAAAAATACAAATTTCCAATAACCTTTATGGATATACTTGGTACATTGAATATTTAAAAAGGAACATTAAATGTAGTCAATTGCTTTGATGATTGTTGATAGTGATGTTGAGAGTGAAATGGGAGCCAGGATTCATATAGATGGCAGTTCACTAATTTTCTCCAATGGGTTGTTCTTCACAATCGCCCCATTGGTTTATGTGTAAATATTGCTGTCATATAACTTCAAATACATAAATCAACTTGATATCACATTATCTCTTAATACATGTAATTTACTAAAATGTTTTGAATATGAGACTTTGTATATTTTCTTTGAAAGGAATGGTATCGATATGGAGAACTTTTTGAACACACGTTTCTCTTAAACCAGTCATAAAGAAAATCTAAAAAATGTTACACATCATCAATTTAATGGTCATCTTTTGAATGGTAACAATATGATTTGAATATACTTTCATCTATATTATTTTAGAAAACACATCAAACACTTGTTTTGTTCTTGGTATCATGTTCCAAGAGTGAAATGAAACATCTTTCCGAACCTCATTGGAACAAAACGACATAAACACAACATGTTTAGGTCTCTCAATATTGTAATTGTACAAAGGAAATTTTGGTTGATTTTAAAAAAGTACCTTTTTAATGAAAAAAAGGTTTATCTTGATATTATCTATTTTGGGGGGATTTTGTTTTAATTTTTTGAATACTTTTTTAAAATCAACCCAAAATTCCTTTGTATAACTACTATAATATTGAGAGGTCTAAAAACATGTTGTATAACTTATTTTGTTCCAACAAGGTTTGGAAAGACATTTTATTTCATTCTCAAGAATTGGTAGAAAGGAGCAAAAACATTTGCACTAAAAAAACAAAAAATGTTAACAAAAACAGTTATATAAAATATTTCTAAATAATTTTGCATTAAATTGTTGTCAATCAGTCAACATTACATAAAATACCGTGTTTTTTACAGAATGTTTTCAATGATTGGTTTAAGAGAAAAACATTGTTGAATTCAGTTCTCCATATCGATACCACTCCTTTGATTAAGGAGATTTTGTAGCAATTTTTACAAGTTAGAGTATACTACTGAATGTTTATTGACAGTCCTTATGGCAACTGGGTGTCATTTCTGAAGCATGTCTGAAAACTTCAAGCACAAACATGTGTTTTGCAGTACATGTAGTTTGGAAATAATATTTCCTGTCAGTTTGTTAAGAGATGAGCCTTTAAGATTTAAACATTTACAAGCCTTTAAAATGATTATGTAGGATTCTCTGTGGGAAGAGAATAATGTTAACATTTGAATTTAACAAAACCTCAAACCAAACACTGAAAACCATACCAATGAACAATAGACTATGGCTATTTGAAGTAAATTATATGGTTAGTAGGATGTATTTTTCTGCTCTATGAAGTTTTATGTCAACATTATTCAGTAGACCTACATAGAAGGCCCTCACAATATAATAGGCCTGCTAATGATTTTCTCAATATTGTTAATTTTGTGTATTCATTATTAGGAGACCCTCAGAAGAGGTCTCCTACTAGAAGAGGTATCCTATTATTTTGTCAATTTTATTTATTTATTATTAGAAGGCCTTCAGATGAGGTATTTTATTAATTTTGTGGATATTATTTATAATTTTATTCATTAAGTCTTTTGCATATTTTTTTTCTCCTACTTCCAGCTAGGTTTCAATTATTATGTCACCACCAATAAGTGGTGACATATTGTTATGGTCTCTGTTTTTGTGACGGTGGTTGATGGTATGCGGTCAGCGGATGGTGGTTGGCGATCAGCAGTTGGTGTCTGTAACAAATTCTTAAAACTTCCAATAACTTTAACAAATACTGTTTAGACTGACTTCAGCTTTTTTCAAAATCATCTACAAGTTTTCAGGAGAATATTTAAGATTTGACCTTGAGTGACCCTTTCCAGGTCAATAAAGGTCAAAGGTATTTTTTCAACTTGCTTCAAATTGACAACATTTTTTTCAAAATTATCTACACTTTATCAGAAGTTCAAATCTGACTTCAGATTTGACCTTCATTGACCTTCTCAAGGTCAAAAAAGATCTAAAAGGTCTTTTTCAACTTGCTTCAAATTGACCAATTTTTTCAAAATTATCTACAATTTCTCAGAAGTTCAAATCTGACTTTAGATTTGACATTTCACCTTCAATGACATTTTCAGTGTCAAAAAAGGTATTCGTTCACCTTGCTTCAAATTGACCAATTTCTTTTCAGTGTCATCTACAAGTTCTTAGAAATTCTAATCTGACTTAGGATTGAATTCATAATATTGTGAGCAACTAGTTGGTGACATTTTTTCATGTTAATGCTGGGCTGGCATCGAAATTATTTTTTATCCAGGTCAAGGTCTAAAGCGAAAAAGTTCTCAATTTATTTCAAAATGGCCACCACTTGGATCTACATTGACAGCTATTATGTCAAGTGCTCCGAGCTCATGGCTGGAATTTTTCACAACCATTCTGTCAAAATCTTTGCAAAAGGGCAACTATTTTTTTTGAAAAGTGGTAAAATATTCCAAGCATAAAACGGATACCCATGATACTATTCATTTATTACAAGCGCATAAGTTTCCACCTTGTGTACACACCTGTTCAAACCTAGATGTTATGAAATTAGCAGGATGACATTAATGAAATGTCATTTCGAAGTAATCTTGATTTTAACACGAGTGCAGTATATTCGAGTACAATATTATTATATATATACTAATGTAGCATCTATTGGAAATAATGTCAAATGGTGAAGCCAATTTAACCAATTGTTCCCTAAAATTATGGCTGGCATTTGAAGCCAAATTATGAATGTAATGTCATTGTCAGAAATTGACCATCATTCATAGTGCACAAACACATGAATATAGAAGGTCGTAAATGAAGGCAGAACATTCTCAACATCTACACATCTGTACAGAAGCATATTCAAGAGGAGTTCTGTGATCGCAGTGTAAATGGAATGGAGAAACTAAAGGTAAAGGCATGTAGCTACAGTTCCAATTATTTCTATGTATATGTGCAATACTTTTGTTTGACATTTTATTTATAATACAAAATACATTGAATAGGTAGCGCAGTCTAAAGTAAAATAAAATAAATAAAAAATAATACCTCTCAATTAGACAGGTTTTACTCGGTTATTCTCATTTTCTTTAGTATAATGTTAAAATATACATGACATACCATCAAGGTTGCAATGATGGATCACAAAGGGCTATAATTGATAAAGACAAAGGTATACAAAATTATTTACTTATGTATGTAATAATAACTTATTATTTTCTTACAGTCTTATAACAATGACTTTGCAAGAACAGAAAATGAACATACATGCTGCTACAAACCTAAGTATAATATTAGATTTTACTTCATAATTCAACCACCCACTTGATTGGTCTTTGTGTCTCTCCTCCAGTCTGTCGTTTATCTAATTCAATGATATAATTGAAAAAATTGAAATAGTCCTTCTTTTCAATTGTCTTTTTACTCTAATCTCATTAGTTTGTGAATTTAGATGCAACCTGTCAACATGTCAACATTTTTAAAGTGAAATCATTTCAATTTAGGTGAAGGATAGGCTACCATAAGTGAGAGATGATTGGACAGGACAGGAGACTGAAAAGCAGGTGAGTGCAGTTGCTCATGTGAGCTAATTTTATTGGTATCTTCTCAGTGACTTTTATACAAAAAGTGTCTCTTTTACTCAAATAAATTATAAACTTTATATCACATATTTTGATTCAGGAATTGATTTATGTAGGATTCATTACATTCAACAGGTTGATGTGTTAAGTCTATAAAAGGCTGCTGGTGCAAACTTCTATCAACAACAGACTGAAAAGGGTAATACATTCTTAATTTATTAGATATATTATTTAATATTGATATTGTAGTAGAGTAATAATAAGAAACATTTAATTGTGATCGTATAAATGTCTAATGTTTGCTTCTTATGAATAATGTCAGGGATTACAAAGACTAATCCAGTGTTCACTGTGAAAAAATTGCTGGACAGACTATGTGTGATTGCAAATTATGTTACTCATAATTAATTATTTATTTATTTATCTACTTATTAATAGTATGTTCATTTTTTCAGTTTTCAACAAATAAAAAATAACAATCCATTATTCAATTGTTGCATATAAAATTTATTTATTATTTTATACCATACATTTTCATAGTGTGACAATCTTATGACAGTATTGAATTGAAGCATTATGTGCGTTCAGTACATAGTCAGATGACGTTTCCGATACCAGGTGTTTGGAGCCAATTTGACTATACATTGATGATATATAGGTTTTCACTAATGATGTTATGGTGTATACATAATATTATATATGTGCAATTGATTACATTGAGTCAGTGTAATAGTAATGATGATTGTAACATAGTCACAGCTGCAGAGAAATGGAACTTAATTCCATTAATGTGGTTCAGATGTACATTGGAATAAAAGCTTTCACATTGCACCTTGTTTTGGTAATTTATGATAACACTGAACGATAATTTATGAACTTTCAAAGGCATTTAACACTTATTTGTTACATTATGTAATATTGTTTTCTAATAGATATCTTCATTGTAACCTTGATGATTCCATAGCACTATATAAGACAAAATAAGAGAAAACAGATAAAACAGAACCTTGACCTATTCATTTCATATACATCAGTAACAAATCATATGATCACATCTCATAGTGCTGTTGAGTCTTTTTAATAGGCCATATGTACATCTCTAATTATTGATGTACATCTCTTAATTATGATGTAACATTTGAAGTCTCAGTTTGTTAATATTAGCCACTGTGCCATATAGAAATACAAGATAAGGGTTATCAGTTACTATCAACAAAATATATATTCTCTTAAGAATACATAGCTCTAGGAGTTATGGCTTTTGGTTTAAACTCAGCTATTTAATTTTGACAAAAGTCAGATTATTTTGTAATGATTTGTGATTCATAATTGTTAATATAATTTGTATTGCCTCATTACAGTGGTATTCCAAACCAGAAGACTACATAGGAATGTGGTTATACTATTTAGAGTGAATACATCATGCACACTTTGATGTTTTGAAATTTTCAGAAACGTTACATGACAGGGATGATATGATCCAAGTTTGGCATAATCTTTGACAAATTGCTTTCTTTCTCTGATTCATCCTTTACACTATATGCATATAAGGCCAAATCAGATATGGCACACTTTTATCTGGCATTAGTGTCATAGATATTGTACAATGTGGAAGATCATTTTAAGTGTATACATTGAGGCGTGCTCTTGGATAATTAGAACTGCAGACAACAGTATGTGTTTGATTTTATTCCAGGTTATTCTTTTCATGGTTTGCATCTGTTGCTCCAATTGTCCATGGAGTTGCACATAATGCATAGCTTAATTCTGACCAGATATTGGATCTTCATTTCAATAACGCTCAAACCTACACACTGTTTATGTACATTATAAATAATATTTCTACCATCTAATATGCACATGATTGTATTTACATTATGTGGATTAGCCTTTACATGTACTGTACTTATATACACTCACATCAAATTATATGCACATCTTTGATGACACTTGCATACATATTGCCTTACTCACTTGTAGACAGTTGTCTTATATTTACATGGGACAAATATGATTAAATCCACGCAGAATACTTGTATTCATATAAGAACTAGACACTATGTACACTCTATATTATAAGGGACTAGGTAAATATTGCGATGTTGTCCTGAAACATGAGTAATTACATCCCCAATTTACCCTACCCCTAAAAAGGAAATTTAATTCTTTTTTGATTTTTCAAATCTAAAGATTCTTCTGTTTGAAGATCAGTGTACTGATAGCCATCCCCCAATTTTAATTGGGGGATGGAGTTTGATAATCATGTACATCGATATATTTACCTTCTCCCCAAGTACTTATATATCAGGTGGTCTATTATCACCCATGATTAATGCATAAATTATCCAATAGACTACATTAAATATGAGAAAAGATATAGGGAAAACACGGCGTGATATTTTGTCTATTGTCCTAGCCTTGTGTTTTCCCTCTAAATCAGGCATTATAGCTGTATTGTTTCTTATACTTGAGTCATGTGGCATCGTTTCAATAACCTGAAATAACAGAACAATATTCACATTAGTTTTTCAGTATTGATCATATTCCTGTCTGATAAAAGTAGATTTGTATGGAATCAGTAGACCTTGATTTAGTATTGAATACAGCATTAAAAATCATTAAAAATCTGTACCGCATATAATTACCTCGCCAGCTTCTGAGTCTTTTTTGTTCTTGCTCACTTTTCTTCGTATCATGTTTGGGCGAATACTTTTCACTTCTTTTCTAGACAGTACATTAACAACAGCAAATTCAAGTAGACTAGTGAATACAAAGAGTAAACACACAGACATCCAAACATCTATCGCTTTGACATAAGATACCCTGGGCAGGGAACTAGTGGCCCCAGTAGACTGGGTAGTCATTGTGAGCACAGTTAGCAGTCCTAATGAGACACGGGCTGGGATTGCATCAATGTTTATCCAGAATGCGACCCAGGATAATATAACTATAAGTATACTGGGGATATAAATCTGGATCAAGTAGAAACCAATGTCACGTTTTAGCTCAAAGTTGACTTGTAGGCATGGATAGGCTCCTGAAAGGAAAGTGAATGTAAAGTAAAATTAAGTGCTGAAATGTTGATTTATTTCCTGTTCAATAAATTATTAAATACAAATTCATACACTGAATTTAGAACATACTTTTACAATACAATTCCTGTATGTTATTGCTACTCATTCACAAAATGAATCTCCATATCAAAACATTTCATGTTACATCTTATTGGAGTGCTATAACAATCATATTACCTAATCTTGAATAGTGAAAACCCATGTTGCAGTGATCTGAATAAAAGATTTAATGTCTTCTCTTCATGCAAAAATGTTATCATTAAGCTTACTATCTTACTATCAGATACGGAAGTGTTGTGCCATTGCCTGATTTCAACATTTCTTTTTAGTCTTAGATAATTATATGAAATCAAAGGTGAAATAAGCATCTTTCTCACAATTCACAGATTATTTTATTCAAATTAAAAATGTGTAATAATATAAAAGGCAAACATGTGCATCTTTCGTAATAATTAGTCATGCTTTGTGCTGCAAGGATACTAGCTCATAAACATCTATTGGTATGGAATCATGTCATGGAAAAATCTGTTAAGTCCATATTCTAAATCTATTCCTATACTAATGACTAATAGTATTTAACAGACAACAAACTGTTTTAAAGCACATTAATTTTTTGCATGTCTTCATTTTAAAACAAATAAAAAGTCATCTCAAAATGTTGGGATTGAAACCAAATAATTCCTTCACAATTCAGAATTCTATAGTGGCAGTTGCACCATTATATGAAAAGCATTTTTTGTATATGTATCAAAATAATTCGCAAGTTATGGTGTCATATTGTTATGAAGGCATTCAATCTGCAATCCAATATTTGTTTTTATCTCAGTCTGCTTTGATATCACACAATTTAGCATAAATATAATTGATTGCTTATTGTATCAACATACATGTTGATCTTTTGAGACATTTGAGGTCTTTTAGTATAGAGCCAAATAATTTCACAAAAACGATGTACATGCATTCAGATAGAGTCTTATTATTTAGTGAAGGTAAAAAATGCTGTTTGATGTCCTCATTGAAACTGTTATCATGTTATGTATCTTACTTTCAACATGTCTGTTATTGTTTTCAAAAACATGCACTACTAAAACATGTAAATTTCATAGATTAATCCATTTCATATCTTAGTTAATAAAACATTCTAAGAACATATTCTAAGCTCAAAGTTAAATGTCATTTAGGATGACTTGAGAAAAATCCTATGGTGGACTTTTGGTTTTAAAAATGATTTCAAACCATTGTTAGAACACCATTAGTGGCCAGATCATGCTTATAAATTAACTGTTTGGCATTCTATATGTTGTGAAAGTAAAAAAGCTGGAGAAATATTAGATCTATTATGGATTAAGTAAAAAATATTCTACAACCCTAATGTTTCTCATTTTGTGATTTGTTAATACTTTCCCTAGGATTTGTGTGTGTAGTTTGATATTATTATGCTGTTTATCCTACTTTTGTTAGCTGATCATTTTCAAAAAAGTAATTTAAATTTTTTTCTCGTAGATATGTACAAATAGCCAACATTTTGTAAGTGTTTTATATTTTTCTTTCTGTGTCATTTCAATAACAAATATCATGCTGTCAGTTAACAAACATTCTCTGACCAAAAAAGGATTTTCAAGTTATGTTTAGGAATCATTCACAATAACAGAAGTCCTCTGGTACAACAAACTTTGCGTACATACAGGAGCCAAAATAATGAAAACAACATCAATAGCAGGTAAACACTCACAAATTGACATTAATAGTAATGGAGGGACACATATAAATTGTGCAATGGAAGAAGGATCTAAGAATGCATAAATAACCTGTAGAATAGTTTTGACTACAATCTTTTAGATGAGCCTCCACCAGTCTGAACTGTGGCATTTCCAATGTACCGTCGTGCGCCACAGCTTTGTCCCACCAATTGAAATATATTGTGTCCATTGTATAGCCAACTTAATGATAAAAGTACAGATATGCAATGTGCAATTAAGAATCAACAATATTTAAGCACAGTAAAATGTGTACTCATGTATACTTTGATAGGATATAATCGCAATCATGACATGTTTTTATCCTCCTTGTTCTTTATGATGTAGGCATACTTTCTTATACTGATTTAAAATGATAAATCTGAACAGTCATGTTTACCATTATCTAAGTATACATAGTACAATGAACATGGTACATGTACTTATACAAATGGATATATTATCAATATTCAATGAAAGCACATGCAGGATTAGTTCTGAAATGATGATACTATGCTTCTTCAGGATATTGCCAGTTGTCCTCTCAAGTTTTTGAAGTCATGTAGTATAACAAACAGAAAGGGAGTATAGTTTTCCTAAAATATATAGAAGATTATCAATAGTTGTTCAGTGGGTTTGCATAGTATAGAGGTGCAGGTGGTACTACATACATGCCTTATATATTATGCACAATAATAACATTGGGGACATGAATCCAAGTCATTAGTGCTACCTGAGCTATTTTCTTATTTGCCATATGAACCAAGTTCGAGAAAAGGGATGATATCACAAAAAATCCTTTGATATATGTATTTTGTTTTATAAATCTGAAAAAGCAATAAATTTTACTGTAGTGCAGACTCAACTTCATGAAGTGACATTGGTATTGAGTTTTTAATTTTAATACTGATCATTCTACTTCATCAACCCCAAAATGTTACTAGAAGGATGGTTTTATTGGTTATATTTATTTCATTAATAATGTTAATCCCCATAATCACCCAAGGGCATTATATATAAGAAGGATTTTCTTGTGATTTGGTTCATATACCAATTATTATGCAATAAAACTAAGAATGCCCAATAGGAGCTTATCAAAATGGCAATTAAAGATAATTCATAGGTAGACTAATATTGCGCATTCTGTCTGTTTATTTGTTATGATGGTTTATACAGTGCACCTGTGTCCAGGTGGCAGTATAAAGCAATACATCAAGCACTATTTCCTCACACCATTCTGTTATATCCAAAGCCAAGTTAAGCTTGCATGCCAAACTCCTTAACAGATATATCTGGTTTACCTGTGGAGTAATTTTGAGAACAGTTCTTTCTGTGACTTTCAACTAGTTTAAACTGAGGCATTTCTAAGTTTTTTTCACGTTCTACAGCAGGGTTCCACCACTCAAATTTAATTGTATCCATAGTGTAACCAACTTGAAAAGAATCAACTCTGAGTTAGATTAAATGAGTCACAACTGTAGTAGAAGCAATGAAGTTCCTTGTACTTTGTTGTAGACAGTACTCAATATATAACTGCAATAACCAAGGTGCCATTAAGTTGTTACCACCAGGTGGCTAATTTGGGTCAGATAACATGGCAGACCATGGCAGATCAATTTTAGTGAATCATAACTTAACAAATACTGTATAGACTGATTTCATTTTTTTAAAATCACCTACATGATTTCAGAAGTTCAAACCTGACTTTGAATTAAAGATTTGACCTTCAATGACCTTTTCAAGGTAATAAAAGGTATTTTTACAACTTGCTTCAAATTGACCAATTTTTTCAAAATCATATACAAGTTATTAGAAGTTCAAATCTGACTTTAGAGAGTTTACCTTCAATGACCTTCTCAATGTCAAAAAAGGTTAAAAAGGTCTTTTTCAAATTGAAAATTTGAAAAATTCTTTTCAAAATCATCAACTTCCACAGTTCAAATCTGACTACAAACTTGACCTTCAATGACTTGCTCAAGGTCAAAAAGGTATTTTTTCATCTTGCTTCAAATTGACCAATTTATTTTTCAAAATCATCTACAAGTTCTCAGAAATTCAAATCTGACTAAGATTAAACGCATAATATTGTGAGCAACTAGGTGGTGACATTTTGTCATATTAATGCCTTGTCAAAAACATATTTCTTATTGACTATTTCTACTTGCATCGAGTGTATTTCAACAATCAAATAAAATGCATTATTTAGCTCAAATGATAATATTGAGTAATATTAATGTCTAGTGGAATATGTCTAGTGGAACATAGCTGAAAATATGTCTATGCTTCCAATTACAGACGGACATGGGAGTAGCGCATGTAATGCACAGTACGCCTGTGCTTACTAAATGAATTTGAAAAAAAATGTTTTAAAATGCAATAATTTGTTTGCACATTTTTTGATGATTCTATATTTTTATATTTAACCATTAGAAGTTTCATCAGAATAGAACTAAACGCTCAAATTGCTTCAAATAAAAAATTCCCAAGAGAGCATACCTGGACTCCCCAAGATGTGCCACCTTTAGCCACGCGATCAGACCTACACGGCGATCAGACCAACTCGGCGTACCAACTCAAAATATATTCCTACGACCTTGAAGAATATTGCCATTTCATCCTCAATGTAATAAATGTTTCAGGATGACCATTTGTGTATTGACATTCACCTTAATTTGAATGAAAGACTTTTCTATTTAGTAATGAGTTTTGAGACTATATTTTAGATATTAACATATGTCAAATAATGACAAGAATCCTATTGAAAAGATGATTTTCTTTGATTTTCATGACTCACTTTTTGGGGAGATGGGGCAAATTTAATAGATATATGGGAATAAAAATGTTAATTAAACAATGTTGATTCATGCATCATCAGATATACTAGATATAGTATAATTAGTGGTGTTTTATGGTTAATATGCCCGTATTTTTAGTTCAAGGTCACTCTAGGTATTGGAGAGGTTAAAATATCTAAGGCATGCTTTTTACTGGGGAGGCTACTACAAGAATGAAAATATCAGTCAAAATGCATAGATTATGTCAAAAGTATATATGTATAAATTCAAGAGGTAAGATGGTGAATAACACAGCATTTTTTAGTGTTGAATATTACATTAACTATTTAAGTCTACTGTTATTTCTCAATTTCAATCATATTGACAATAACTGGCTTGTAAATAATCCTAATTCCATTTTAACAGAATCAGATATATGATTAACCATTTAAGTACTTCATTTTTAAACCAAAATTTCTTTTACAAAAATACCTTATTCACAACATCATAATATGCTATATTTTTACAGAAATGTTTGAAATTAAGTTACAATTCACAAATTGTAATATTACATATTGTTTTACACATCCCTACTGTTTTACATGTGTTTCACTATCTAAGCCTATGTACATACAAATTGTGATGGTGCCAAAATAAAATTAAAAATCTAATGAAATAATATATTGTGCATACTTACACGACTCTATCATCATTGGACAAAACTGAGTATCCAAAGGATACTTAGCAAGGTTCATTGGACAAGACAGAGTTGCAGTGATTCTGTAATATATTAAAATGCTCACATTCAAAACTCTATCAAACTAAATCTATGTTTACAATTACACCTCTAAAACTGACTTTTAAAATGAAATAATACAAAATGTAAATTAAAGGAATTCAGTCTTGAACAGTAAAAATGAAATTACATTCCCTAAAATATTTTGTTTGTTCTAGTGTATTCGGATAAGGTCATTAAGTCAAAATTGATAACTTTAGAATATAAGACATGCCTTTATACAACTTAAGTATGGTTTAGAATAAAATCAGAGCAAATCAGAATTGGGATCAAATTAACGTTTGAATTCTCATTTGATACAAGCTAGGGTCTGTTTTCATTTCTACAAACGTATGAACTAGTGCTTCTAATAGTTTTAACTTGCTAATTTTTATTCACATACACGTGTTAATTGACAGTGATATGGCTAAACTGGTTGCGTGACTATTATACAATACTAAAAAATCTAATAGAAAAAATGAATATGTGACATGATCACAACAATGCAGTGATTATTCTTTGTAAATCTGATTTCCAACTTACAGCTCTCAATCATTAACGGGCAGAATTGAGTATCCATAGGGTATTTTATCAGATTCATAGGACATGATAATGTAGTTGTAATCCTAACAATAATACATATGATAAAGTACATGATGATATGATAAAGTACAGTAACAATTGTCCAATGAAAAGTTCAGTGGCTCATTAACTAAATATTATTTGAAACTTTTTAAGTGGAACACCTTTTAGGTACCAAAGGTATTCTACTCACACAGGATTTACTGTACATCTGAATTTTACTGTTATAAAATGTTTCTACATTTCAGGATTTACTGGTAGAACAAAATTCTATTGAATGCGTATTTGGGCTCTCAGATACTGCATTAAATATTAGGAAATGCCACTATTGGAAATAAACTTACTTCATTGCATACCATATTCTTCCATCCATATAAAGTCTCATTAGTCTGTTTGGTATTGTCACTGAATGAAATTCAGCCTTTTTCTCATTTCGGAAAAAAAGATCTGGTACCCATATTTCATCCCATGTACCATCTGGTAATTTGGTCATCTCAGTTTTATCGCTTGGGTCACCCTTTCCAAACTTTATGCGGGGATCATACCAGGATTGCCTGAGATATATGTTGACTGAGTAATCCTGGAATATGTAGACCATTAAAAATGCTAGAAATGCTTAATGTTTAGAAAAGTACAGAAATGTCCAGTTAATCGTTAAAGTCCCCGTCTAAAGTTTAAAATTTTTTTTTTTCATTCATTTACTATTTGTCAGGACTTAAAAAGTGATTTTAGAGATTTTGAACAAAAAAAAAATTTTGAAAAAAAAGTTGTGAGCATTTCATTTCTCAAATATTCAAATTTCCCGCCATTTTTCAAAAAAAGTTGAAATTTCTTAATCATCAAATATTTCTTAATGGATTTCAAAAAAGATTATCTTTTTAACACCAATGCAAAGGTTGAACAAAGGACACACTATTTCAATAATAAAATGCCATATTTAATGGGCCACTTCAATGTTTTAACATATCAAAAATATTTTGAAACATTAGTGATGTCACTAAGGTACCAAAAACTTTTTGAAAAAAATTCAAATTTCTTTTTCGATGTCAATCTTTTCTAAATATGTTAGACTTTCATAAAAAACCAATGTTGATTGTCTAACCAGGTAAAAAGGAAGAATAAATTATGTTTTAAATATCTTTGTACCATTGGTTTCTATGAGAACTAAAATTTTGAAATGCATTTTTCTCAGAACCATTTTCATGCACCGATAAGTTCAATTTTTGCTTGTTTATCAACCGATTTTCTATTTTTTCGGCAAAAAACATGGGAGGATGAATGCTATGCATTGATATGAATTGTGGCTAATTAGAAGATATGAGTGACCTCTAAAAGTTGGTTTTAAATAAATTTACAAATTTTGGAACAAAAAGTCTATCAAAAAACACTTTTTGAAATTTAAAAAAAAAGTTTCACATATCACACTTTGATAACATTGGGTAAGACTACAATATAAGCCAAAGTGGTTTAAACTTTACATGGGGCCTTTAAGAAAGTTACTGAAATGTAAAATTATTTGATGTCCAATACATACTGGGGCAACAGTATCTTGTAAGGTTTGACATAATTTTTTGAAGAAATTCCATTCCATGAATTATTTAGTAGCAATTCTTTACATTATATATTTGTATAGATTTTTATTCAAAAAAGATATACAAAAATCTTGAAACAGGGAGAATAACACCTTCAGTTTAACAAAGACTAGAAATACTGCCATTATTGGCAACATCAACAGTTAGGGTTGCATTGATTTAACATGACATAAAATGACCTAATTGTTGTGTATTCAATATTTTTGTTTAGTGGTTTATTAAATCAAAATGTTATGAATATGTATCATATTCACGGCCATAAATCGACAGAATGAATTGAGGGATGAGGTGATGATTTCAACTAAAAAATTCAACAAATCTGCAAGATTTATTTTTTTCTTGAGAAAGTTTACTAATGAATTTTATAATGAATAGGTGAAAAATATGCTGACATCGTCTTATATGATTTTTTTTAACTATTGCGCTTTTAAGGCTTAAGATCTATTTATAAAGGCGCAACGTCACTCTTTTTGCTATAAATCAAGAAGTGGAGATATACACAAGCTGTGATAAATCTATATAGAGCATCATCATCACAAAATATATGCGTTGTTGTCTTTTTGATATGAGTTGCATACAAAACTTTATGAAAAAATAGTGAAAATGATACAATGAATTGAAGGGGGATTAACAAAAAATCTCCACTCACTGTATTATTCTGATTTTTTTGATATTTTTTTATTACGTTATAACGTCATTTTTTAATTATGTATTATCTTAATAAAAAGTATTTTATCTTGTTTATTGAAAGCTATAACTTACCATCGTTTGTTCACTTATTGAATAGAAACTGTTTATGTAGATTCCTATCTTTACTTGAGTTGCAAGATCTGAAATCAGATAAAATGCATAATGGGAACAATCGTTTTCGATCAAAGAATGTTTTGCTCAAGAGCATGGGGTTCAATAAATGTTAGATTCATTCCTGCCTAAGAAAATCTGTTTAGCTTTATCAGTTTTTACACGTCAACATATCCTACATTCTAATTATTATAGCATTTAACGTGCATGTTATTATTTTGAGTTTCATTATATTAGTCAAACACACTTATTTATTCTTGTAATTGTTCATCATTACACTTTCAGTTTCTGAAATTAGGAAAGATGTGTTGCACTATTATGTTTGTCCTTCACAAAAATTCAATAATCTTCATTAATTTCCTGGAATCTTGTTGGATTAGAGGTTATTAGGTGCCCGACCACCTATTTGGTCTTATAAGAATCTCTACTAATTTCTTAAATTAAAGGCTATTCAGACCTTTACCTTTAAATTGCTGAAGCTAATGAAATAAAAAGGGTAGGATAGTACTTATTGAGTCTAAATTAAGTTAGCTTACATATTATTCAAGGGAAGATCAATAAGTATTGGTTGCTTTTTCACAGATACTTATACTTAGATTTCTTCATAAATGGTGCATCATCCAAATAATTCTTTCCAATCCAAGCACCAGTACTCTATATACCCTTTTATATATCTCATAGTTATTTCCATTGTATGATACCACTAGTTCATGCATTTCATAATGACATGTTTTCATGGTATTTTAGTTTTTTCAGATGTCGTTCATGAGACCTTCTCGTGGGAAAAAGGATTTTCCTTCACAATCAAAAAGTGAAATTAGCAGCATATGAATATGAATATGCTTAAATGAAGCATGTCAAAAATATGAATACATTTACAAATCAAAGTTATTACACCAGTCAACTACATTACATCTACATCATCTAATGCATGTAAAGGATGAATACATTTTATGATTTGATTTTCTTTACATAGTTATACTTGTTTCTCTCAATCCTTTGTTTTATTCCACTCTCTTTGGGTTACATGAATGTTTTTCTTCCTCCAGAAAGCTATAGGTATCCATGGAACGCATTTGTGCATTTAATGACTATTTGACTTGTTGAAGTAGGACTTTTGTACATTTTTGTTTGATAATACTTCACATAACATCATAATCAATAGAACATCTTCATTTCAAAGCCTCTATAATAGTTTATTGTAAAATGAAATGCATAGTACCATAACATGTATGCGTTTATTTATTCCTTTCCATGTGAATTGGAATGAAATAAGGGCTTCACCAGCTGTTTCTATGTGTAATCACTTAGAAAAGAGGAATCAAACTTTTTTGATTTGTGGTAATTCTGCAATTTCTAAGTTAATTGAGTTATAATTTTGCAAAAGTTCTTTTTCAGTTTTAATAAATTTGGGTATTTTGTTAATCTTAATAACTTTGTCAAGATAGTGACTGAGGGAATAATATGGATGTTTTTTCCTATAAATATTGCTTCAAATATTTTACAAATGTCCCTTGGTCTTCTGGTCTTGGATTGTGATATTGGTTCTTGAATGGTGGGAGGAAAGGGGGATTAGACATTGTTTCTTTTCACGTTAGATCATGGTTTTGGGCTATATGGGGTTTGTTTTTCTTGACTGGTATGCACTTAAAGTTTGCTTTTTCTTGCTAAGTTCCATTACAACTTTTGGTCCTTTCCCTTTGGCACTTGTGCTTATATATTTACACTCTTTATCCTTTGCTGCAACTTTAAACTATACCACTCATATCAGGGCCAAGCCAGGATCTCAACATAGAGGAAGTAAATTGAAATAAATGAGGCCAAAATTGATTTTTAAGGCATGGATTATACTTCATTTATAAGGTTTGAACTGAACATGATGTAGCAAAAATAGGGTACACAATTAGTAGTAAATACAAAATGTATATCAATTAATTGGTGTAGAACATTGATTTTATGCATAGTGCATGTATCTAATAGTATATTCTTTGTTCCATTGGGCTAATGCATAAACTACTTACCTCCATGTGGGGACTCTCGTTTGTCATAACCAGCTATCCATTCTCCCCTGATTCTAATTCCTCTGCAAGTGTAACATGATATTTTAATATCATTTTTACAACCAATTGGAAAATGATAAGTCATACAAATGGAAGATGTATTTTAATAATATTTTACAATTCATACATATTAAATATTATCTTGAATTTAGTGATATTTAAAATGATAACTATCTATGTTGATCAAAACATCTATCAAATGGTTTGATACTGAACGCACTACAATAAACAAGTAATGTACAAGAAATCTGCAATGCATTGAATTTGATATAGAGTGAGGTGAAAAATCCTTAAATTGATTGTGAAGTAGATATAAATCCAATACCAGAGTAAAATGGTTTTGGCTCCATTGAATATATTTTGTCAAATTGATTGACACTTCTCACAAATGGTATATTCATTGGAATCCGTGCATGCCACAATTTACAATACTCTAAATGTTCTAATATAATAATGTAAAGTAGATGCATGCATTGTTGAATATAACTGTAGTTTATAAGTGCATTAATGAGAAAGACATGGTAAAGATACATGAAGTCATAAGTGGAAAGATTGAATATTTCATTTTTCTTTTGTGTCAGCTGGAATATATCCATGCTTCATTTTTATGTAATATTATGAATTATAGATATGAAAATGATGATAATTGTTAGATAATGTAATATTTGAAAGACAAAGAACCCATAAACTAAAAGTTAAAATACAAACAATCATATGTCTAAATATGATGACATTTGGAATTTTCTAAACTAATGTTGATCTTCTGTCATCAACATCCACTTACTTAACTTCCTCATCTCCAAAATGCTTTTTAGAGTTCCTGATGCATTAAAATAAGGACAGTCTCACTATATGTGCATTTACATTTGCATATGTGCATGTCTTTGCGATATTAGAACATGTCTTTCCAAGTAAAAACATATACAGTTATATACATATGTGTAGGATGGAGTATGTTATTATATTTTCAGTATGAAAATAATTATTTTATTGATTAAATTAGTTTGAAATGAATAAATAATTCAATAATACATGTACACTGATTTTTTTTAAAATAAATAAACACAATTATAAAAAAACTGTATTTTAAGATAAATTAACAAATTTTTGTTTTTGGTAAAATTAAACACCTTTTTCAATTATTGTTTTACATATACAGAATTGCATTTCCAGAATTTGGGAAATGCATTTAGAAAATGAATAAAACCTTGCATAATACATGTATGATGTTAGTCATATCGTGCTCATTTGGTGTTTTTAAAATGGTTAGACTGGGCCTTAATTTTATAGTCCCCTTGATCCCTAAGTAACATTTATTCTAAGAAAAATAAGATGACTGAGTTATCAGAATTACTTGGCTTAGCACATAATTTGAGTTATGGGCATTCCAAGTCCAATCCTAATAATACTGTTTAAGCTAAATCAGACTTATTACATTGTGCTTTAACTTTTGATATTCTGTGTAATAAGTCAAATGGTATATTTAATAGTCAGGATTAATGGGAGAGGAAGGATGTGCTATGCGACGTAATTGCAACGGTTTTAGACATGTGCACATCATAAATAACACCCAAGAACTGTTAGCTGTCAATACAGGATCATAAATATGTCATAGATGCAGAGTTGTGAATGATATGCATGCAAAAATCTCCAAAAATCAATGGTGCCCAGGGACTCATCTCACTGATTAGATAGTTCCATATCTATTAGATTTTCTTCATTTAAAATTTCTTTTGGAGTTAATCTGTAGATGTGTTTTATTTTACATAATGAGGTATTCCCCTGGGTCTATTTATATCATGACTAAGAGACACTCTGTCAAATAGAGAATTTTTCATCGGAAAACATTCTGCCAAAAATAAAATTCGTATGAAATTTAGAATACATTTGCAATAATCAATTAGCTTAAATTATATTCCTTTTTAAATCTTAACACTGTGTTTCTAATTTTCTTTTTATCTTTTTATGCTTTTTAAAAATGAAATTGTAAAAACTGTGGGTTATAAAAAAATTCTTCAATATCTCATAGAATGGCTATTGGATGGGTTGACATATCGCATACAACCGGAAAAGGTGTCAAGTTTTGTTTCTATGTATCTTTGAATAAGCAACTCTCAAAAATGTCATCTCATGGATGTATACTTTTAACAGGGTCATTTTATATTTTTTGCCAGAAACAAACTTATTTTTTCCTGGCCTTAAGCTGTCTTTACTGCTTATACCTTCATAAACTTTGGAATGTTTTTTAAATAATTAAGTGAATAGTTTTTACTATTCCTGGAATGGCATTGTTATCTGTTAAAATTAAAATCATCCTGTAAAAATATACCAATGTCCATCTTAATGGTATTAAAATGGTATTTTCCCTAGGATTCATGACACTAAACTTTGTAAACAATGAATCAAATGCCTAGAATATAAATAAGATAAAAAGTAAAATCTCACATGAATTTGATTAAATTGTACTTTCACAAACAGGGAGCAATTTTTCCAAATTATACAAATGAATATATAAAATGTATTTCGAAGATTTTTTTAGTCTGAGCCTATATATTACCAAATTTAACTGCTTATAACTTTTATTATGGAAATAAATGATTTAATTCAGTATTTTAATGGCAAAAATGATGATTTTGTTTTTCACTGCCATCTTTATGTCACAATCAAACTGAGAAATGAATCATGTAAAATATAATATAAAGAAAGGAAACTTCAAAATATTATATTTTCCTCAATCCTCTCCCCAGGATTTCATCTCATCTGGGTGCAAAATTCTTATTTTCAAAATTTAGACCAAATTTGGACCAAAAATGCCTATTTTCATTTGACATTTTTGATAGGGTGCAAATGGATTCTCAGGTGGGTGTATGCCTATTATTACAATCTCAAGTGGTTGCAGCAGCCAGTTGCTTTAATGCTGGACGATCACTGGACCTATTATGATACTTTCATAATATTTTAATCATAGCATTTTCATGTCAATAATGTAAGAATTTAAGAATTTAAAGATAAAATAAAACATTTAAAGATTTTTTTAAAATACATTATAGTATACAGCATTTCCAGTTTTAATCAAAATATTGAATATACACAGAAATACATAAAAGAAAAATAGAACATCTTGTCAGACATACATATTCAAGTTAATATTTATAATTATTGTTTAATTCATTGCTTTTCAAAATTTTCTAAAAGTAATTGTTCATCCCGTAGTTATGTGAAAGCTTATGAATCAGGCGTGCAACAAGTTAATTTTTCTAATTAGATCTAATGCAAGTACCTGGTGCTCCCAACTGACTGATCATGATATACATATAATAGTATCTCAACCTTCAGGCAATTAGTTTTCATTCTCTAATGGCAATTCCTGGAAGCCCTAAATTAGTTAATATAGAATCAACACTTCTCAAAACACTTGCTTTTACCAATATTCTGGCCCTACCTTTCACGCTCTTGTTTCCTATGCTTTTTCCCAACTGTGGCACTCAATTCCAGGAGTAGCAGAATAAAGATATTGATAAGATTGATGTGTAGCTTCATGGTCACTTATCCTCCTCTGTAGTGTAGTGTTTCATCCTCTACTGATCAAATAATAATAGGTTTTAATCTAATTCAGACAGTATCTGTCAGCGGTAAAATAATCCATATACATGTAGACATTTAATACCAATTAATACGAATGAAAGTATATCTCTAGTCTGTTGATAGCGTATTCATACTCCTTGCTTGTATTTTTATTTGCTACCCTCTTTAAAAGTAATCGACCTCTGTAGCTATGATATCCTATCCCGTAGACCTTTCATATTATCCAAGTCTTTCCTTTCCATCATAGAGCACCATTAAGGTTCATGTCTGAAAACAGAAAAAGATTTATAAGAAAGGCTTTTAGGATTTAGAAATATCAATTGCTTCTGCTACTAGCTTGCCACCTCAGGCTTACAATACTGTTTCATTTATTTTACGCATCATTTATTGAACAGCTCAGTAGTTTTTTTACTGTTCAATATAAATAATAGAAACAGCATTGATGTTGACTAGGAAGTACAACATTTGATGAACTCAAGCACATATATCCAATAAGACAACTGACAAGGATTATAGACTGCTTATATAATAGAGAGTTGGCATATATGATCTAATTCTTCAAATATATTCTAAGATACTTGTCTAATTGGGCCTCATTTTTAAATCTTCATATACTTTCTAAGATGGTAAGTCATCTTCATATAACCTCATATATATAGGGCCATCAGGCCCATGTTTTAAACATACATTTAGCTCTTTTGATGTAAAATTGGATACAATTGTAATGCGTAAAGAATAGATATTGGTTTTAAACAGTTATTGAATTATGCTTTGTTGATGCACTGGTCTAAAAATGGATATTTGGCCCCATCACGCACCAACATCCTCCCTGCACTGTTTTTACTAGCAACAATCAATAATGAGTATCGGGAAAATATTTTTTATCAATGATGGACGGTGGTATATCATCTAACATGAGAGCATTGGGATGAGTCAATAAAGGCACTGTTTTAAGATAGCAGTATGAGGCTGATTATAATTGTCATTTGTACATGTGTCCATTGCCATGTGTATCCCTTTTCTAATTACACCAACATGGATTAGATGTGGCTAAAAGTTTCAACCTCCAAATACCAAATGTATTTTGTCTTGTTTTTGACATATTCTCAATTTACTCTATTGATTTGCTACATTTAAGATGTTAGGAAACTTATTCAATTTACCTTTTCTTTGCCATAATAAATGTCTTAGATCTGAACAAAATATCTGAATATGCACAAAGCAAATATTTGGAAATAATATTGCTACTATTTTAAGTAAAATATATGATAACTAAGCGAGTTTGTCTTAGTTTGATGGATTAGATTATTTATCTAAGATGATGTAATTTAGCAAAGTAAACTTAAGTCAACTTATTCTATTGCCAATTCAAATTTGCTTTTGTCAAGAAGTTTTGGACTAATTGAATGTGTTCAAGCTTAAACCAGTCTTAAATTGGCAAGTTAAGTGGAAAGAAAATTAATTTCCATTTTCTTTAGGATAAACACCTTACTAAAATTCTGCTGCATCATTGAACCAATTACCAGTCGCAAATGTTAAAAGTTCGAAAGTTCTATGAGAATACCAGGACAACAATAATATGGAGTTTTTAGGCCAGAACGATACTAAGATGAATGTAACATTTATCTGATTATTACATCATTTTTCTAAGTTTGTATTATTCTGTAGGTTGGTATATTTCATTTAGTGATGTTATTCTTTAATTTCCCATTGATGGACCTCGAGTTTTTGCTGCTCGTGTTCATGTTTTCAATGGTTGTTTCAGCTTTGTTTTGGAAATAATCCTACAAAATGTGATAACATTGAAACACATATTCTCAATGCTGTAATACTTTTAGTAGATAATTATTAATCACATCAAAATATTTTTAGTTCCCGTTAGTTCCCACGCATGCTCTTGTAATTGTAATGTATCCCTTGAACTAAGTCAGGCTTCAGCAGATCTACAACATGATTCAAATGTTATATCATTTGTCATTTACAGTATTTATTATATTAAGCATATAACAACTTATCTGATACTCAGACAGCTATCATGTATTTCCCTGAGGATATTTCCTATATCTAAAACCTCCCATACTATAATGTCTACTTTATGTTACTCTAAGCAGTATTATTTATTGGTATTTCTACCTACAGAGGGGTAAAGGTGAAATCTTTGGTACCCCTTGATATTTACATGTTCATTCAACCTCAACATTTAGCGTTGATTTTTTGATTGAAAACATCTCAAACCAATCATTTTGCCTTTGTAAGCATTGGTAATTGATATTTTGTTATGTTAATGCATTGTCTAGACTTGCAGCAACCCATATTCTCCCCCTCTTGCATTATCTTGGTTCTCTAAATCTAAAGTTCTCATAATTTTACCTGTTTTCGTGCAAACTTATTCCAAATTGTACATGAAAAGAAAAGGTCAAAATGTGACTTTAGAAAATTCAAAACTACCTTGATATTGGAGCAGGTATATGGACTGTGGAGAAAAAAAATGAAAAATGTTACCTTTTCTGAGCTATCAAGGCGAAGTTTGGTCTAACTTCTTCCTTATTCCTATTTTATAAAAATGTATGCATATGGCAATATTCATCAACCAGTAGAACTGGCAAATCGTTTAGAATCTACAATTCTATACAAGGAGTCCCACTCATAGATTTTTCAAATTCTTTCCAAGTCGACGTCGAAACACCTAGCGGGTGAAATTGAAACTAATTTTTCTTGCTGCTCGAATCGATAGAATCTCTGATAGTGTGAGTCTTTTTATGAAAATGTTTCTTATAGAAATCACTTGACGATTATTAGAAAGCATTAAAAGTTGAATCCAAAGTGTAACCTGAAATAAAAGTGAAAAAACATTGCGCTGACGTTAGAGAACAAACTTCCTGTTTAATAAAAAATGGTGTTGATGAAGGAGAAGACGCAGACTAAGAATTCGGGGATTTTCTTTTGCCATTATCGATCGATATAAGGTATGTGCACAAATTCTAGTTGCATACATGGAAAATAGATACATTTTTAAAGGCTATAACATATTCAAAGCTTTCATTTTACGATAGGCCCAGGATCCCTGGATACGACTCGGCAGTCTTTATACCCACTTTAATTGAGAACAAAAACATGAATTCTTAAGAACTAACTAAAACACCAGATATTCAATATATGAATCATATTTAATCCTAAGTACCTAAACCAGTACTTTAATCCTAGCCGATAGAGCAAAAACAATCATAGAATGAGAGGCATAATAATTTCAAAGCAATTTTAGAACAAAAACAAATATATTAAAAGACACTGGATCAATAAAACATTTTCACATTTAATCAAAAATACAATTAAACCTTCCTTTTCCAATAAATGTAGCCTAACATAAGCTTTTTCAAACATTCCAAAGTAAATATCAAAGTGTATACTTTATTTGATAGTATGATTTCCATACCCCCAGCAGCTGTTTGTTATTTTGATTACCAATTGTTGTATAAAACCAATTTATTCTTAATTGTTACATTAGAATTCATTGATTAAACATTCCATTACAATCACTGAGACAAATTGTTTTGATTAATGTCATAACAAATATTAAAAGAAATTAAGATTTATTGAACCATTTAAAGTATATTGATGACAGATGGAGCGATCTGTTACCTGTTAACTCTATCAGATCATTTTCTTATGTAACTTGTTCTGGGGTGTTCATTCTTATATCTTTGCAATAATTGACACATTGTTCAAATTCTTATTTATTGTTATTTAGTGAACCGGTAATGAGAATAACACAATGCCTCAAGTGTGTTTATTGTGTTTTGTGATGTGATTATGGGTTTAAGGTGAATTTATGTATATAGGGACATAGGCTATTGGTAATAAATACATTATTAGATAATGTTGTTTCATCTGCAGTTATACTGTATCACAAAACTATTTCTTCTTTTCACAACCTTTATTTTAAGTTAAGATAAGGTTGTGAAAAGAAGAAAATAGTTTTGTGATTTAATAATCCAGCAATTTTAAAATATACTGAGTGGTTTAGATACATGTGATATGCTCATCTTATACAGTTGAACTCTATATAATTTCACTCAGTCAGCAGCTAGCATGTATGTCTATTGTATTTTGTATAACAATTGAATTATATTATGTGTGCAATTCATGTGCACTGTACAAGTGAGTGATTTGTATTGTCAGGCAGCAAACAATGCAAAGCACCAAGTGTCCTGAATAAAGATCTAATCACTGGTCGCTTGATCACTTGACCTTATAGCTTAGTGAAAAATCCCCACTATTCTCAGAGAGCCTGATTAATTTATTGGTACTGTCATCATATATTAAAGACACTGATTGGTTTTGTTATTTTGGAAAAGCATGGTGGTTGGCTTATGGGATATAGAATATACAGTGCCTACTAATATAATAAAAGGGTGTTCACACCTGTTGTAATTTTGGACAATATACAGGGACACAAAAATGTTAATAGCATTCTCCAGAGGGGTGAAGATTGTTTCAACGGTATTGAAGAAATATCTTGTTACATTAACTGCAGAACCTTTTATTACATTATTTGTATATTATTACGATACATACAATAAATACATATGTTGTATTTAGATGTATAATGTCTATTGCCTTCATGTAAATCATAATAAAATGTTCAATGTATGTAAAAGGATTTTACCTCATCTCGTGTCACTGTCTCTTTTTTATTTTTCTATCATAATTGAATATTTATCATACACTTTTGTTTTGGTTTTCACTATAACAATAATAAATCTTTAACTATTGTATTTGAATAGCTGCACCATGTGATAATTTTATGTTTATCATATTTTCACCTATCAGTAGCATACTCCTCCATAATTTGTCCGAAAATGGAATGTTATCGTATTATGTCCCCACCACATAGTGTGGGGCCATATTGTCGGCCTAGGCGCGTCCGTCCGTCCGTCCGTCTGTCTGTCCGTCCGTCGTCCGTCTGGCAGTTTTCTCGAAAACCGCTACAGATATCCCCTTCAAATTTTCAGGGATAACTTATGAGTGCATACAGATGTGGATGAAGAATTTTTAACTCGATATCTACTTCCTGTCGGCCATTTTGAAGTCAAATGCTAAAATCCTTGTCTGCAAACTTGAAGAAAAACGGCTTCACAGTTGCTTTTAAAACGTTAACATCTTGTTCAGCTCACTTCATTCTAGATCTGATTAGGTTTTGGACCTGTTAGCTCAGTCATGGCAGCCATTTTGAATGTCTAAAGAAAAGTTAGCGCGCGATAATACTT